GGCTTCAGAATACAGAAAGATTTTTTTTTTTTTTGGAGGGAGGGAGACTTACTTTATTTTTTTTTCAGCTTTAATTGAGTTTATTGGTACGTTTTAGAGATACAGTAGTGTTAAATTCATTGTTGGGATCTTATACCTCTACACGACAGGTCTTGGTTCTCATTTTTTCCCCTTGTCCCTGCCCTCCCTTCACCCCCTCCTCCCCTCCCCAGAAAGATATTTATAAAGTTGTGGTTTGTTTGTTTTTTTCTGTACTTATATCACAATCATTGACATCTTTATTATCATGGATGAAAGATAACTGTGTGAGAAGCTGCCTTGCTTCTCAGCCACAAATGTTCCTATAGGCCTGATTCAACAGTCTTACTCATATAATATGAAACAGGACAATTCTTGAAGCTTTAAGAATTCAAGAAAGATTTTTTTTCAAGGTCACCCTGTTATCCAGGTATATCTATTTAATGAATCGTCTAAAATGAAGCAGGAAGGCTTTTTTTCCTGCAGCGTGATTCGTGGAGAAGTGTTTAACGTTCAGGGAATTTCTTTCTGCAGGAGCCAGATTTCTATAAGAATTGTCCTCTATAATGTTATTCATTTATTGGAACTCAATGAAAATCTTTTTATACAGCTGAAACCAGAAATCATCTAGGTGGACAGTGTAGGTGAAACTTGAAGTTTTGAAGTCTACGGTGGAATCAAAAGAAATTTATTATCAAAAGAGACAAATTTTTAACAGCACCCATGTTAATACATGACCTAGATTCTTTTCTGTGCTGAATAATGCATTCTAACAACAGACTGCTCTTCCTTATGTCAAGTTCCAGGTAATAAGCTCTGTGACAGGCGTAGTTAGACATGAGCTAATTGAAAAGAATTGCTGCTCGTTACCCTTGGATAGAATTGCAGATCCCAGAAACATCCCTTGAATATGTTCTCATATGAGCTTACTCCTTTACAGAATGTGTATAAAGATGAGTACAACAACTTCTTGAAGGGCATTGGGTGGATCCCTATTGGCTCTCTGGAGGTTGAAAAGGCCAAGAAGGCAGGCGATGCATTAAATGAGCGGAAGTATCGACAGCACCCAGATACTATCAAGTTCACAAGTGTGCCTGACTCCATGGGCATGGTTTTGGCTCAGCAGAACACAAAGCAACTAAGTGATGTAAGTGATTTCCCTTCGAAAGGGTACATTCATTAATAACCTCCTATGACTGAGCCACTCCACCATCTTTCATAATTCAGTACACGAGGAAGCATCTGTGTTAGCAAATAAACTGCTTTCAGAAACATAAGAGAGAGGATTTACTTATGAAGCAGCTTGGTCCTTGAACATAAGGAAAATAGATGGGGGAAAGAAGTCTGTTCCAAATTTGCCTTATTTTCCAAATGTAGAGACTTTGTGCTATTCATGAACAGATCCCTACCCATTTACACATAAAGTGACATTGTTACTGTTATCATCAGCAACTCTGAATTGCAGAACAACCTACTTATTGCTCTGAGCTGCAATAGTTATAGCTGGGTACTAGGGGAAAGGTGCAATGTTCTAATCTCCTGGCATAACAGCTCCATGTTTTGAGGCAATCATAGATTAAGGCCTCTGGAGAACTGTTTGTTTGCAGTCATCTTGGATCTCATTTCTGAGCCCAGGACCCTTGTTCTTTCAAAGGCTAATTAGAATGCTCAGTGACTCTCATCATTTAGTAATTTCAGAATTCTGCTAAAATACCCCATCAGAAAGAGATAAGTAAAAGACAGAGGAAGACTTTTTTGTTTTCAGTCCCAAGTTTTAGAAGGTGGGGAATTTTTTAATTGCTTTATATCTGAGGATTATTTGAATGTTTTTTTGGGGGGAGGTGTTAACACAGGGTCTCACTGTGGGGTCCACACTGGCCTTGAACTCACTATGTAGGTTAGGTTGGCCTTTGAACTTGGGGCAGTCTTCCTGCCTCAGCCTTCTGATTACTGAGATTATAGGTGTGTGTCACCTATCTGTGGGTTTTATTTCTTAGTGCAGTCTATGCTCTTAAATTACTGCAGATGTTTAGGATTAATTCTATTTTAGTTGCCATAAATGATATAGATTATTTTGATTTCTTTTTTTACTAAGTGTCACTTCTCATGGAATTTTCCTAGTTCACTTGGAAAACCATACGTGCCGTATATCAAATCTTCTCCAGCCCAATAAGTGCCATCAACATCTACCTAGTAACTAAAGCTGAAAATGTGGTGCTCTCCTTTAAAACCACCCTGTGTGAACTCTCACATCCAGTCCATCTATGAAGACAGTGTCCTGCCCTCAGTATCTTCCAGCCACCTTGCTGGAGCACTTGTCTTTCTGCTACCACCAATCCTAGTTCTGGCTTCCTTGCCTCTCTTGGAGGGACTTCAGTGATCTGCTGCCTGAACTCCCTGCCTAGGGTCTCAAACAGCAACTTGAGGGGAAGTCTTAAACCAAGAATCATGTCACATCCCTTGAATGTGAAAAATCTCTTAGGAGCATTTCTCTGGCTTTAAAATGTAAACTTACTAACTTGGCTAAAAAGATCCTCCACTCCAAGGCCTGCTCCCTGCTCTGCCTGCCCTTCTTGGCTGCCCTAGGCACATCCAACCCCTGGTTTCAAACTTTCCCCAGCTGCTCATAGTGGCCAGGCTCTTCTGAAAGCAACTCTCTCCTTACTCCAAGTTTGAGTGTAAGTTTTACCCTCGCAGAGAGCCTTTATGACTATCTTTGTTCTCTGCTACAGTTATTTAAAACACCCATTTAAATTAAATTTAAATTAAAAGATCTATTTAAAACACCTCACACATTTTTTCTGTAGTTTGAAATTCACATGTTCATTGTCTGTCTCTTCTAGACTGTAAGCTTCAAGAAGACAGTCTGCCTTTTTCAGCACTTTGCACCCTAGAGCCTAACACCCTGTCTGGACCTCAGTCCAGTAAACATTAGTTGAGTAAGAACATGACCGTGTCAGCCAGAGTCCCCTCCCCGCCATACTGTAGACATTTGCCTTATGTGTGGAAAACCCAAATGATAGCTTCCTTTTTAAAGGAGTGGATGCTCACATTCTGTCAGTTTTTGACATTTGCACATTTCTTCCTTTGTTTGCAGCTGAACTATAAGGTGGAGGGAGAGAAAGTGAAGCACAAGTACACAATAGACCCTGACTTGCCTCAGTTTATTCAAGCCAAGGTCAACGCCTTCAACATGAGTGATGTGAGTGTTTGTCTGAAGCCAGTATTACATTGCATTTGTGGGCCTTTCCTTTCCTGTTTTGGGTCCCTCTTACACTGAGCAGTTGAAGGATAGCAAACCGCATGGAGCCTCTGAGTCCCCAGATGTCCTGATCACACAGTGTGAGACCAAGGCCATCACAAGATTTTGCTTAATGGAGACATTTTCAGAATATGGGCTGGGCCTCATTCATGGGTGGGGAAATCAGTCTAGAAAACGTAGTTGCAGTTTTGAAGAAATGGAAGAAAGCGGAAAATGTAGTAATACATAGTCTATAGTAAGAATAAATATTGCTTTGTACTACTTTGGTTTCAGTTGTTTACTAAAGCTTCTAAAGAGTTCAATTTTCTTATAAAAACTTTTAAAAAATGACTAAGCTTATTTTGGGTAATCTAGACAGAAAACTGGTGAAGCTTTTAAAGTCTATCATTTGGATTGTTTCTTTTTTTAAGAAAATCTTTGTAAATTTTGTGTAATACTGTTGATTTTTTTTAAAAGATGGCTTAGTATTCTTCCTAACATTTTAGGCTGTGGATTGTCCCCAATGTAACTTTTTAGTAATAATTTTTATGCTTTGGCTCATAAAAAAAATTCCCCTAATGCTATAAGTAATATTTAAGCAATAAGATCAATTACAGCTGGGTGGCCTACATTTGTTTTTTTGTTTGTTTATTTGGTTGATTGGTTGGTTTTTTGTTGTTGTTGTTGTTGTTGTTTTTCCAGTATTGGGGATTAAACTCAGGACCTTGAACTTGCAAGGCAGACGTGGTGCCCACTGTACATTTGAATTTTTAATTTGAGCTTCTATACCTGACTGTGTATAAATTTAAAATGCTTCATTCTGAAACTTTTTTCAAAAGTATTATGTGCTTATTATAGAAAAGTTGAATATATAGTTAATTATGAAAAAATAAACATCTTATTTCACATTCAGAGCATTATTTTGTTATGCAAAAATATACATTTTTAAATTATACTTATCGATAGATATATAAAAGATAAACTAATAGCCTAATTCTGTGAATTCTCTTAACAGAAAAGAATGTGTTACGACAAGGTTTTGAAGAAACATTTTGGCATCCTGTCTCATTCCTTTTTTTTTAATAATGGCAAATCACAAAATAATCTTTATTTTTTCTTGAAGGCTCATTATAAAGCAGACTGGAAGAAAACCCTTGCTAAGGGCTATGATTTGAGAACAGACGCTATTCCCATCGTTGCCGCAAAAAGTTCAAGGAATATCGCAAGCGATGTAAGTCTAGTTTGATAATAGTAAATGGCCTCTCCATATCTTTTTAAAATCTCAGGCCGGGGATTTAGCTCAGTGGTTCCAGTGCCTGCCTGGCATGCACGAGGACCTGAGTTTGATCCCCGGTACCAAAATAAATAAATAAATAAAATCTTTTCATAGGTATATGAGACTATGAGTTACATAAAGAAACAAGGAAATTATGATATAAAATATTTCCTGAAATTCTAAGTGCCAATTATATTTTTATATTTCTTGATTTAAATATCTTTAAAAACTTAAGACAGTTGTCACAAAGAAATAGAATTTTTTTAATTGTGAAAACTTTGAAACTCACATTAGTATCATTGTGAGCCTATAAACCCCTTTTTATTTGGGTTTTGTCAAGAGAAAGTCTAGGTATACAAAAATATCACTAAATCAAAAATGCCTCGAAATATTTTAAAAGAATATGCTCTTTTAATTTTATAATTTCTACAAAAAAATCTAGTAAAATAGAAACCAGGAAGAGTTATACAGTGAAAAATAGGATAGCTTTTGTTTTTTACAATGTATGTTATATTTTCTCAATGAATTGATAAAAATGTCTATAGGGTAAAAATTCATTAATTTCAATATTTTATATTAGAGCTTTGCTGAAATTACTCAAGATTATGCAAATACTTTATAAGATAATGCAAATAAGGGAAACAAGATAAAAAGTATATCAAGTGCTTGATAAACTTTTTGGGAATCTTCAAGCATATTCAGAGAATCTACTTATGAACAATCTAGATAAACTACAAATTATACCTTTCTTAATCATCCTCAGAACAAGTTTCAAGACCACCAGTTAGCATTATTTTGCTAGTTTTTTGTTTAAAAACACAGCAAATCTAGATGTTACCTAGATCCAAACTGAGTTTGGCTTTTTGCTTATTCTATGAATTCAAACTTTTACCCTATCAAATTTCTGTCTTTTCTTTCAAATAGTGCAAATATAAAGAGGCTTATGAGAAAGCCAAAGGCAAGCAGATTGGATTTCTCAGTCTTCAAGATGATCCTAAACTGGTTCACTACATGAATGTGGCCAAAATACAATCAGATCGTGAGTACAAGAAAGGCTACGAAGCCAGCAAGACCCGGTACCACACACCTTTGGATATGTTCAGTGTGACTGCTGCAAAGAAATCTCAGGAGGTTGCTACCAATACCAACTACAGACAGCCCTTCCACAACTACACGCTTCTGCCCGATGCCTTGAACGTGGAGCACTCCAGGAATGCCATGCAGATTCAGAGTGATGTATGTGCGGGTCACCAGTTGGCAGCAGAATTAGGCATTTGTTTGTATGGGTGGGAGGGAAGCACAAGAACCGCCCACCCCATTCTACACCTGTTTGGGCTCACTGTTCTCCAGAGATCTCCTGTAGAACTTGAAGTTCAAAAAGAAAAGGAACTCGAAGGTTTGGGATTTCACTTATTTGAACAATATGTGAACATAAATGTGCATATGTTTTAAATTTTCGATCATATGATGTATGAAATTTTTGAAGGCTTATGTAAGTTAAATATAATATTGCCTTCCCAATGCAAAATTCTTTAACTTTTTATATCTTCAAGAAAGTTAATTTTTAAAGGAATTATGAGGTTAGAATTTTCTATCCAAAACACTGTGATTGGAATCATTTTCATAATAATAATTTTTCCCAAAAGACCACAGAAATTAAAACTCAGGTTTTCTCTTCCTCCCTTTTGTATTCTCCCTTCTTTTCTGCTTGATAATGAGTCATGTAGCCAAAGAAATGTGAGCCTTGCCTCTTTCTGAAATGAAAATTCCTTTCTTATTGTAAAGAATCTCTACAAATCTGACTTCACAAACTGGATGAAAGGGATCGGCTGGATCCCAATAGAGTCCTTGGAGGTGGAGAAAGCAAAGAAAGCAGGAGAGATTCTCAGTGAGAAGAAGTATCGCCAGCACCCGGAGAAGCTGAAGTTCACATATGGCATGGACACAATGGAGCAGGAACTTAACAAAAGCAACAAACTGAATATGGATAAGGTACAAGCCCATCTGCTAGCCTCCACTAGACCCTCAGAGCACTCAGGCCACTAAACCTTGCACTGGCCTTAGACTTCTTCAGCATGCTTTTCTTTCTGGTGGCCATATTGGTGGTGGGAACTCCAGTGTGTTCAGAGCTTTCTCTTTTATATTGATTTTCAGGCCACCTCTTCACTCCACATTGAGGGTACAGCATCACTATACAGTTCCACACAATAATGGAGTGAAGGCAAAGTAGCAAATTTTGCTTCAGTGGAAGAGGGCTCCCTTATTGATGATGATTTTTCTCATTGTGTGTTTATTGTCCTCAGCCATCTTTCTGTTTGTCCATTTTCTAGTATCAAACTTAATCTCTTCCATCATGAGGATGTGAATGTCTTTTGCTAGTATGACTACAAACTTGTCCTTCTCCAAATCTCTCATGTGGCTTTCTTTTTGTAGAGGCAGTATACTGAAAAATGGAACAAAGACAAGTCTACAATTCATGTCATGCCTGATACTCCAGACATTTTACTCTCCAGAGTAAACCAAATCACCATGAGTGATGTAAGTGGATCAGCAATGAAAAGTGAGGGAGAAGGTGGAGGGAACTAATACTTAGGAAATGTCTGTCTTCTACGTGACAACCACGTTGAAATCAGGATCCTCATTCAGACACAAGTAATAAGATGATATTTGTCTTGTGTTTTACTGTTTAGAAACTCTACAGAGCTGGCTGGGAAGAAGAAAAGAAGAAAGGATATGATCTGAGGCCTGACGCCATCTCTATAAAGGCTGCAAAAGCCTCAAGAGACATTGCCAGTGATGTAAGCACATCCCCTAGTCCTTCTTTAGGCTGCACAGACAGCAAATCAGCCAAGCCTGCGTGTGTTCAAGAGCTGGTGTCCGTAGCTCCAGTCAGTTTAGGGGGACATCAGGCCACATAACACACAAGATACCTCCCTTCACCCTCTAATCAAGCCCTAGTACTCTCTAATCATTTGTTCATTATTCATTGTAAAAAAGTGACTGGGTCTCATTTTAGTAAGTTTCATTTTGAGTTTCAAACCATTTATAAATAATTCTGCACAAGTGTTAGGATGATACCTACATATTTTACCCCGGGGATCACAACAAGGCTCTTTACTTGCTTTAAAAAGTCACTATCATCAATTGTACCTACAGCCTTTTCTGTGCTTAGATGTCTGAGCAGGAAGAACTGTTTCCTCAGTCACCCTAAGCCAACTTATCTTTATGTCTCTTTAACCTTGAGATTATTTTCTTTCCATGGATTCAAATATAGGATAAAATTTGAAGTACAAAGCTCCCTGGCCATGGTGACCTCTCCATGCTTAATTCTAGAGGAATTCTGAAATCCTTTACCAGCGCACCAAAACCAATGGCACCTAGTGAATGATATTTGTTGTCTTCCTTTCTCTATTTCTATTGTTGTGTTTTCTTTTTTGTCCACAGTACAAATACAAGCAAGCCTATGAACAAGCCAAAGGGAAACACATTGGCTTCCAGAGCCTGGAAGACGACCCCAAGCTGGTGCACTTCATGCAGGTGGCCAAGATGCAGTCAGACCGAGAATACAAGAAGGGATATGAGAAATCCAAGACATCCTTCCACACCCCTGTGGACATGTTCAGTGTGGTGGCTGCCAAGAAGTCTCAGGAAGTGGCCACTAATGCCAACTACAGGAACATAATCCATACCTACAACATGCTTCCTGATGCCATGAGCTTTGAATTGGCCAAGAATATGATGCAGATTCAAAGTGATGTATGTGAAAGCCACAACATTTAAGCAAATCATCATAGTAGTAACATTTTGAAAATCTTGAAGTTCATGTGCAATTTCCTGCTCTGTTATTCTATTTGTTGCCTTAGATAGACTTTAACTCTTTTAATAAAAGCAGATCAACTCAAGAAACTAAAGTCTTACTTTCTACTTTAGTTTCTGTGAGCATTGTATTTTGCATACAGCAACAGACAAATGAGACTTGGTTGCAGGGAGACTGTGTTGAAGGAAATAAGTCTAGCAAAGGGGATCAAGTGCACTATAGGCTCCTGGCAGGAACAAAAATGAAGAAACTCTGAAGCTCCACCCCTCACTCCAACCAGCTTTCATCCCACTACTTCTATCTTTGCAGTTGCCTGTTATTCAAATATTGAGAAGTTCTCCACTGAGGTGGCTTTTGAGATGAATACAGCTGACGAGGCTGTTTGGTGGCTAGATGAATTTAAATTACCAACCAAAAGCAGAGCACACTAAATCAAGACTACATTTCTCTTTGGGGTTGTGAACTTGACCTATTGTTTGCCAGGGAGGAGAATCAGTGCCTAATGAAAGGTGTAGAGAGAAATGTCAGAGCTGAGGGGAAATAAAAATTAGCACCAAGTTCCAGTGGAGTTTCTGTTATGCCTAAGGGAAATGGAATGGTGGCAGATAATCACATTTACACACATAGAGAGAATGGGCTTCCAGAAGTTCCAAGGGAACTTAGAATTTTTTATCCTAGGGGTCAGGCATAGTCACTTTCATAAGGAGATAATAGGCAAATAGCAGATTTGTCTTTTTGGTATTTCTAGCACTGTTTCTTTATGATGACATTAAGAAAAATCACAACATTTCTGTGTATTTTTAATTTTTCATGCAAAAAATGTAAAAAAGATAAAATGTTAGGAATAAAAATGTTTGAATTTCAATATGTTATTGGTTGAAAACTGAGGTTTTTATTTCATCTCAATATTGAATATTTTCATTTTTGGCAGAATCAGTACAAAGCTGACTATGCTAACTTCATGAAGGGCATTGGCTGGCTCCCTCTGGGCTCTCTGGAAGCTGAGAAAAATAAGAAAGCCATGGAAATTATTAGTGAAAAGAAGTACCGGCAGCATCCAGACACTTTGAAGTATTCCACATTGATGGACTCAATGAACATGGTTTTGGCCCAGAATAATGCAAAAATTATGAATGAAGTAAGTCTTTTAATAATGTGTTTCATGTACATCAAAGGAATACAGGTCTCCCTTTGATCCATAGGTTTTGCTAAATCAGTTATGAGGGATCATATTTGAGGCTTTCTTTAGTTTGAGGCTTTCTTTAGTCTTAGAGTTTAAAAAAGAAATAATTCCCAAGTAGTGCCCCCCCACAATGTCTGCTGAACCTTCCTATCTTACTGACATAACAAAATAAGTAGAGACCCTTTCTTTCTTTGATTATATATCTTGAAGATGAGCCAGTCCCATTTGTCTAAGGTAAGGATGAGTAGAAAAGTTCATGACACTGAACCAGCAGAGTGCCTGGAAACAACTTGGTGTATATGTGCCGAGTGAGCTATTTTAAACATTTTAAATACTATCTACACTTTCCCCTTAGCAACTCTACAAACAAGCATGGGAAGCTGACAAGACCAAAGTCCACATCATGCCTGATATCCCTGAGATTATTTTGGCAAAGGCAAATGCAATTAATATGAGTAATGTAAGTATAGTTTCCCTGTTGGCGTCTTTCTTTACAGCTTGTTTGAACCAGTAAGAACAAATTTAACTAATCAATGTCTCTTTCAGTCATATGAATAAATGCTTTAAAAATAATAGTGGAATACACAAATTAGAATTGTTCCCTTTCTAATCTCTGCTAAGAGTTGGGCCTATCAGTGGAGGTTGGGACAAGCAGTTAGGAATTTTAAGAGTGTTCTGGGACAGGAACTCATCAAACGTAGAGGCTTGGTAGGAAGAGAAGGGCTTGTGGCCAGGAGAAAGGAAAAGGAAGTGAGAGTCTCGGGAGCTCACGGTCAGAGAGCTCCTCCACCACACTTTGGAGATGATCCTAAAGAAGGGATTAAATGTGAAGGGAAGATAAACGGTTTGAAGAAATTGGCATAAGCTCCACAACAAGGAATATGGAACACTTGTTAGAAAATGCCTTGATGTTTTACTTCATTTCTTATTCTTCCTAACCATAACTGCTAGGAAATCCTCTAATCCTTTTCTTTGTTTGAATTCCATAGCAATTTGGAATTGCTGACCTTTTAAAATTGTAGAATCTACATACTTATATGATTAAAAGTGCCTGTTATCATTTATTCTGTTTTGACAAATGAAGATGATTATGCTTTATTTTTCCTTAAACTTTTCCTTGATAAGGTACATCAATAAGAATCTGCTTTACATCCTTAATGTACATTTGCATTCTAATAGAGATCAGTACCTTTTTCTTTTTCTGGTGGCTTCTTGATGGTTGAATTTGTAATAGGTTTTTTTTTTCCAAAACACAGTTATGTTACTTATGAGAGCATTCAGCCCCTGAACCACCAACGTAGCCTTCTGCCCAAAATAAAAAGAATGCCACAGTGCTAGTTTACTTTTCTGGAGTAAATCCAGGCTTTCCTAAGTAGAGGAAAACTATTGCCTTTGCTTATCTTTACAGAAAATCTACAAACTTTCTTTGGAAGAGTCTAAAAAGAAAGGCTACGATCTCAGGACAGATGCAATTCCTATCAAAGCCGCCAAGGCCTCGAGAGATATTGCAAGCGATGTAAGTGTGAAGGAAAGCAGTTGCCTGCCTGGGGGTTTCCAGTCAACCAAAATAATAAGGGCTGAGTTCTGGAAACACTGAGTGGGTAAAAAACAAAGAAAAAATGTACGTCTGTTGACAGTAGCCTCACTGGGTCCTATGAATGTCTCTTGGTCTTGTTTGTGTATTTTCCCTGGTATTTCTGGGGAAAAAAACCCAAAAAACAGAATGCCATGTTATGCCTCATAGATCTTGGCTCTCTGCCTCAAGAGATCTAGGTGAACTTACCTTGAATTTCACGATCTAAGTTATGGCTTGTAGAAAGTCTTGGTGAAATGCTTGTGTTGCTCTTGTCTCTGCCTCTTAGGATCCGACTTCCTGACAGAACATCTCATGCAGCATTGTGTTGGGGGTGCAGATTGTTTGGGCTTGTGACAACAGTTTTTAAATAATCAGAAATTTTGCAAACCAGTTGTTAACCCACTCTAGCTTAACATCAGCCATGGTGGGAGTATTTATACCATAGTAATTGACAAATGCTATCAATCAGTGCCCTCATTCCCACCCCAGAGAAAGCCATTGCATCAGTTCAACATTGTCACAACGTATCTGAAACTTAATTCATTCACTGGATCATTTCCACCAGAAATTCACTCCCAGGAAGCATTTAATGACATTTAAAGAAGGAGCACGCTTCAGTGTGTGCTTTCTTGGCTGCCTCCCAGTTGTACTTTCCTCTTCTGTCTCTGTTCTTTACTATCCCTACCTTTACAGCACTTCCCCTGCCCTCTTTTTGTCCTGAGGATTCCACATTCTCCCTCCATACACTGTATTTGTCTTTACTGGCTCCTACTTGATGAAAAGATAGGCAGAACAAGAAATTTTCTATATATCTTGATCTCCACTCAGAAGTTGAGGTGGTAAATAGTAAAAATTTCTTCCATGTCAGTTTAGAGACTCTTAAAAGTAGAGTTACACAAATACAAAGCTACTCTAAAATTTTACTGTGTATTTTATAGTTCAGCCTATTCTTATCAGCAAATAACCAGCTGTTTGATTTCTCAGGGTAGTATTAAATTGCTTAGATCATCTGTTATTTTGTGTATTTATTTTTATAACAACAGAGTGTATGCATAAGTCAGTGAGTGCAGTATGGCATCACAAGTTCTGGGTTCTAATCCTTAATGGCTGCAGCAAGTCATATATAATCATCTATAATATGGGGGCAATAATAAACATTTTCCTATTTACCTTACAAGGTGTAGTTGTAAGAATCAAGTTACATGGTAAATGTCCAGAGCATGTTTTGTGTACTGTAGTGCTCTATACAAGAATCATTTTAGCCAAGAGAATTATTGCTTATACATAGTCATATTTTCTTCACAGTATAAATATAAGTACAACTATGAAAAGGAGAAGGGAAAAATGGTTGGTTTTCGCAGCCTTGAGGATGATCCCAAACTGGTCCATTCCATGCAAGTGGCTAAGATGCAATCTGATCGAGAGTACAAGAAAAACTATGAGAAGACGAAGACCAGCTACCACACCCCTGCTGATATGCTTAGTGTCACAGCCGCCAAGGATGCCCAAGCCAATATCACCAACACTAACTACAAGCACCTGATTCACAAGTACATCCTCCTTCCGGATGCAATGAACATTGAGCTGACCAGGAATATGAATCATATACAGAGTGATGTAAGGCTCTTCCATCCGGGTGATATAGTTGGATTTTTAGTACGGGAAGAAAGATAACAGTCCTTGGTGCCCTAATTTTGTATTTAAATTGATGAGGTAGAGTTTGCCTTTTCTCTTTATAGAATGAATATAAACAAGACTACAATGAATGGTACAAAGGCCTTGGCTGGAGTCCTGCTGGTTCTCTAGAAGTGGAGAAGGCCAAGAAAGCCACAGAGTATGCCAGCGATCAGAAATATCGCCAGCATCCTAGCAACTTCCAGTTTAAGAAGCTGAATGATTCCATGGACATGGTGCTGGCCAAGCAGAATGCGCATACCATGAACAAGGTAGGAGGACTTGCCCTTCCACACAGTTCTCAAATGAGGAAAGGCTGACAGGCTCTGGGCCTTGTTTGGGGAATCCAGCTGAGCTCTACCACTTCTAGCAGTGGAAGACAGTTCTGGAGCATCTCCCTATACCATTTTGTAAGGCCCTCCTTACAAATACCTCCTGTATTTCCTTCACTTGCCCTTCTAATTGAGGTAGAAATTACTTTGGATTTTTAATGATTACATCTGAACTTCTTTCAGTGCATTCTGGCTGATGAAAAGTATCTGAAATAATATTTTTAAAAACTGTTTTCTAACATCTCTTCTTGATCATATCTTACTTATTATTCACTATTTCAAATTAAGTGTATTCAAGTAATCTGTGTATTTATCTTCTCCTGTTTCTCCCAGTTATTCGGCTTTAAATATCTATTTTTTTCCCACTTTCTAGCATTTATACACTGTTGATTGGAATAAAGATAAGACCAAGATTCATGTGATGCCTGATACACCAGATATTTTACAAGCCAAGCAGAATCAAACACTATATAGTCAGGTAAAAGTATATAAATATTACTTTTTGTGTTTTGTCATAAAGCTAATTATAATCTTATAAAATGATTTAATAATAAAATAATTTAACAGTGACGTTAGTGCTTAAGCAAAAGTGGAAGTGAATGACTATAATTGGTTAGCCTAGGGAGTTTGCAGAGTAGAGTTAAGAGCAAGGGGTTTGGCCAGGGCTGTATGCTCCAGAGAGACATATACTCCTCTCTTTTGCTTATCTATATGTTCACTGTGCTTGGAACAAAGTAGGAAATCAACAAATGTTGAAACAAAAAAAAAATGCATCAAACAGATTTGGTAGGAGTTTTGGCTTTGACCTTCAAAATTTGCATGTAATGGGCAAATTTTCCACCTGTCTAAACCTCAGTTTGTTCATTCCTAAAATTAGGACCATAAAAGGGCCCATGACATTGGATTTCCATAAGGACCAGATGAGAAATTTCATGTAAGGCTCTGAGAACAGTACCTGGCACACGGAGAGTATGAGATAACTATTAGCTGTTTTTGTTAATACTAGTTTTAACTCAGGAAGGCGAACTCACTTATTTCAACTCATACAAGGCATTCCACCTTTTACTCTTATCATGTAGGTAATTAGAATATTTAATTGGTGTTTAAAATTGCCAAGATTGTAATTAACAGGTAGAAGAATGGTACTTGATATACCTGATATGACCACATTGCTGCTGAACTGTAAACACCATGTTCAAACACCATAGCACAAAGTGGATCTCACAATGAAAATAAAAAATAAAGCCAGGTCATGTGATACTACATTGGAACTTTCCAAATCTACCAAAACACCTGTTTTGTTTTCACCCATATCTTTAGAAATAGGGCAGCTGATGTTAGAATTGATATCTACTTTCTATTTAATCTTTGGCCTAATAATCTGTCATGATTTTAATATAGAAAGAAGAATGCTCATGAATTTCTTTAATTTTAGAAATTCTATAAACTTGGATGGGAAGAAGCTTTGAAGAAAGGCTATGATCTCCCAATTGATGCAATTTCTGTACAACTGGCCAAAACATCAAGAGACATCGCTAGTGATGTAAGTACTGGTTTGAGTTGTATAAAAGTATAATTTTATCTGAATCAGATAACTTAACACATTGGTAGCTGTTTTTATAGATAAAATTTATTTTGTTGTTCCCTTTGTCTTCTTCCACTTCCTTTACTTATCCAGAATACACTCTTCTTTGTCCCTATTTGAACATCAAAAGGGGCTTCCTGGCCCCTAAGATCTCGTGCATTAAGATATTATAAAGGAATCAGAGATTTCACCTTTTTTCCTAGTTTGTCTGAAATTAATTTTTTTGTTTTCTCCTCTGTTTTAGACAAATTCAAAGTGCCAGATAATGAATCAACCTCTATATCCCCTCTCATATTTAAAAACTGTTAATTATTTTTATTTAGCCCATCCTTGCTATGTTAGCATTCCATGGCTGTGACAAAACACCTTAGGAAACCAGCTTAAAGGAGGAAAGGTTAGTTTGGCTCCTAACTTTCAGAGGTTTCAGAGTCCATGGTCACTTGGCATTATTACATCTGCCTGTGGTAAAGCAGAACATTATGGCAGGGAGCATGTGACAGAATAAAGCAGCTCACTTCATGGCATGTGAGGGGTACAGAGAGGGGGAAAAAGGGATGGAAGGAACGAGAGGGAGAGCAAGGTTTTATAGAAAAGTCCCTCTTCCAAACTCATTGTAGTATGAACCCAGCATACTTGATAAGATCAGTGCCCTCCTGATTCAGACACCTCATGGAGGCCCCATCTCTGATCACTGCTGCATTGCAGACCAATCCTTCAATACGTTAGCCTCTGGAAGACATTCTAGATCCAAACCATAATACTTGCACTTACATAATTATAATAAACTAGCTTGGGGTACAGAGAACCCAGAAACATTCAGGTACTTAGATTTAAGGTCTAGGGATCTTAACTCCCTAGAGTTTCTGTTGGATGTCTGGTCCAAAGTTCATAGAACAAAGATCCTTGTGCTCCAAAAGGCAGTAGTTGTGATTCAAAGGTGGTTAATACCTCTGGTGAGGAAACTAGGTATGGTCCTTACTGAGTCATTATATTTTAATAAATATTACATTTCATGCTCTGCATAGACCAGAATATATCATTTAATTGATCCCAAAAATTAACCAGAAAAAAATTAGAGGATCATAGGGAAAACAACTTTGTAATCAAACTTTTTAAAGCAAAACAATGAGAATTTGGTTCAATATACACAGAGCGGAAAGAATGCGTAAAGACAAGACCTGACAATAAATTCTAAGATATAAAGGAGATTCTGTCTAACTCAACTGTGGCATTTCTGAAATACTGGAAAATTAATTTGATGATATATTATTATCCATTCTCTGGCTTTCAGGTATCTCATTAAAATAACCAATGTCCTGCTGAACCTGAAGCAATAATGATGCTTAAATTTTACCCAGAAAGTAAAATCATTTTTCATTTAGCATTATGTGCTAATGATAGTTTAGGAACTAAAGAAATAACATCAATAATTTGTGACCAAAGCAACCTTTGTTATTACCTAATTTCTTCTGAACCTATTAGTTAGAGCCTACCCTAAAATTAAATTAACTGTAAGTGAACCTTCTCATCATCGTAAAGATTTTATTTCCTCTCTGTTTCAAATGGTTCTTGTATTTATAAAATTTCAGAAAATAAGAGCTATTTTAATATATAATTTAATAATTTATAGATCTAGAATTTAGGGTTTATGCCATTTGTGCATGTAAGACAGAGATCCCAAACAGAACAAGATTGTACGACATATGACAGACCTCTGAAAATCCTGCAACAGTAATCTAAATTTTAGCCTGCTCATGAAATCATATCCATTCCTAGTTTTTCCGCCATTCAGTCTGTTTTTTTCCCATGAGATTATCATTCCCATAAAGATATAACAAGGACTGTATTAAATGCTATCCTAAAGTCAGTGTACACAATGTCTAGCACATCCAAGCACATATTTTTGCCTCTAATAGAACGAATTTCTCAGATAACTTCTCTTAATACTCAGCTACATTAGGTTGTTTGGAAACCTCTGCTTAACCAGGTGTTGCTTAAGTAACAAAACAGTTTTTTTACTAAGATAGGCTAGATATCCCTTCTCTTATTTCAGTTTTGGAAAAAAAAATATATAAAAACAAAGTAAATTGAGCTTGACTCAGCCTTTGTGATACTAAAAGAACTATGTTTCCTCCAATTTCAGTTTAAATATAAACAAGGCTACCGGAAGCAACTTGGACACCATATTGGATTCCGGAGTTTGCAGGATGACCCAAAACTTGTATTGTCTATGAATGTAGCCAAAATGCAGAGTGAAAGAGAATATAAGAAAGACTTTGAGAAGTGGAAAACCAAGTACACAAGTCCTGTGGACATGTTGGGTGTGGTGCTGGCCAAGAAGTGTCAAGCCTTGGTTAGTGATGTGGACTACAAGCACCACTTGCACCAGTGGACGTGCCTGCCTGACCAGAATGATGTTATCCAAGCTAAAAAAGTGTATGAACTACAAAGCGAGGTCAGTGTATATTAAATTCAATAATTTATATATTACTTTATGTTCTACATTAGTGGTTATTTAATCATTAAAAAATAAAAACTAGAAGGAATTTTCATTGAGGATATAGAATGCATCTGCTAATTACACATAGAATCACATAAGGGGTACAGGAAAGCACAGGACTTTAATGGCTTGCTTTGTCCTTTCACAGAATTTGTATAAGTCTGACCTTGAGTGGCTAAGAGGCATAGGATGGAGTCCACTGGGTTCTTTGGAAGCAGAAAAAAATAAGCGGGCTTCAGAAATCATCAGTGAGAAGAAATATCGTCAGCCTCCAGACAAAAACAAGTTTACTAGCATTCCTGATGCCATGGACATAGTTTTGGCAAAGACAAATGCCAAAAATAGGAGTGATGTGAGTAATTCTTTAGAAATCAATAAAACATACTGTGTTGCATACTACTTGGATGCAACTCAGTAGCATTTGCTTAATGAGTGAGAACAGCAAAGCATCGCACCACGTGTTACAGCAAAATGTTTTATATTAGTTTGCTTTAGTTGAATTGTTACCACTCTACACTGAATGATATAAAAATAGTTTAGTTTTTAATTTTAGGTACCCAAATCTTGCTTGCTTATTTAACCAGGCTGTAAGGAGAAAGTTACTGAACATACTTTTTTCTTTCTTTGAAATTTGAATTCATTAAAGACCTAGATTTGTTGTTGTTGGAATAGAGTTTATACAGTGGAGAGGTTTGAAGTACCTTACAAAATTACAGTGGAAATGTTATAAAAGTGTATTTTCTGGCAAGTATTTAAAATTAAATGTAAATAAGAGTAGAGTAAATAAGTATATTTTCCACCTTCAGCTTGTTTCCAGCACTGGTATTAGAGCCTGATATATAATAGGTATTCGATAAGTATTCGTTGAATAAAATAAATGAGAACTAACTGTGTAACAGTATTATATAGAGAAGTAAATGATTACACATCATTACTAAAAAACCTAACCCTGTTATAACCTAACCCTACTATAGAAAAATGAATTATGTGCCCTGAGATTCTAGAACTCTGGTAAAGAAGTTTAAGTATATGACAGTCATCTTAATTTTAGGAGAATCTAAATATACATACTATATATAATGTTACAGATTTTGCATGAATACAGTTTAAAATTTATGTGATGTGTATAAGCCCATAATCATCTTATATGTAGTAAGCATTGATAAATTGTGGCTCCTCTCTTCCTAACCAACCCTTCATAGACATTGATGTTTTGTTTCGAAATTATAGTAAATGCTGACCAGTAAGCTTCATTATGAATATTTAAGTATCCTTTTTTGTTTTTCTTATTGTGCAGTTTGAATCCAAAAGATTGACTAGAAAAGTACAAAATTATGAAAAATATCTCCCCTTTCTTAGAATCCTACTTTCTTTTCTCTCCACGAAACAGAAGAGACAAACTGATCTAATAAGATTACCAACAGAGAAGTTCTAGGGCATAAAATTGATCAATACATTCTGACAGTAAGTTCTATACTTGCAGGAATGCTGCAATTTGATCCCTCTCAGGCCTCAGGGCATTCAGGTAGAACTGGGCCAGCTGGGCCCCTAGGGCCTGCTGTTTCTTCCTTTTAGTAGACTGAACCATCTATTCCAGTATAGACTACATTACTTTTTTTTTTTTTTTTTTGGCCCCCTGTGTTCCATAAGATGAAACTGGCACATGGTACTGAAGAAATAGTTTAGTGGTTCTCCACAAGGGGCAGTTTTGTCTCACAAGAGACCTTTGACCACATCTAAAAACATTTTTACTGGTCACACTCGAGGGTGGTATGCCACTGGCCCCTAGTGGATAGAAACCAGGTATGCTGCTAAAAATCCCACAAGATAGTCCTTTCAATAATCATCTAGTACATGACCACAGTAGTTATGAGGCTAAGAAACTCTGGTGTTCTTAATCAGAAAGGTTGGTGTAGAATGGGGGTAAATGTATTTTATGAAAAGTAATGAACTTCGTTCTATTTTGGTCCTAAAAATCTTAATCAGTTTCTCAAATTGTATGCACTGTTGTAAATATGTTCAAAAAGAAGAAAAGTGCCAGCCCATCTTACACTGTACAACTCAAAGGGAAAGTGACAAGTCTAAAGAAATCATTGTAACTTTACCGTTTTTATATTGGAGTAATTTCAGTCATACATAAAAGGTAAAAATTTGTCTAAATTTTATATATATAAAATTTTACCCACATTTCACAAACATTAATTTTTCACACATTTACATTCTCTTGTTCTCCACCCCGCTCTTTTTCTTCTTTTGTCTCATATATGTGTCTATATGAGAAGGAAAATTGCTTCATGATGCCATTTACCCCTAAATACTTCAGTGTGTATCTTTTGAGAGAAAGAGCATTCACTTACATAACCGTAATGGAATGATCAAAACCATGAATTAATGTTGATGCAGTACTAGTATGCAGAATTTATTCAATTTTACCACTAATGTCCTTTATTAGAAAAAGAAAAAAAAACTTCTCTGGTCCAGGATCCAATTCAAGACCACAGGTTGCATTTATTTGCTATATCTTTAATTTATTTTTCTCTGGACTACTACTTCACTGTTTCTTTGCATTCCAAGTCCTTGACATTTGTGAAAATTACAAACCAGTTATCCTATAAATACCCTTCAGTTTGGTGTTTATTTGATTGTTTGTTTTGGTGTATTCTTGTTATTAGATTTAGATTGTTTTTTCACATTATTACAAGTTTTCATGTGTAAGTTTTTATTTAAATATTGTGTCCTCAGTTTATCATATCAGGAGGCACATGGTATCACTCTGTCCCATTTCTGAGCATTTAACTTTGATAACTGGATTAAAGTAGTATTGCTAGATTCCTCCACTATCAAGTTACTATTTTTCTTTCATAACTAATAAACATCTTATGGAAAAGTTTTCTGACACCATGTAAATATTCTGCTTTTCAACCTTTCACCACCTTGTTTTAGTAAACTGGGAGATTTTCTTTCTGTTTTCTCTTATCTTCTGTTCAAGACAGACATAAGAATGGATTAGAGATGTCCAAGAGATTTTGATAAATTCCTAAACAATCCTTTTGAGAGTCCCGATCCTCTAAAATAATTATGAATTATACCTATAAAGACTAAATTAGAGGGGAAGTGGGAGGGGTAGAGGATAGGAAAGAAGGGAATGGAGTTAACATGAGAAAATGAAAAAAATGGAAACAAAGTCTTTGTAAATAGAGAGGGATAAATAGAATGGGGAAAATTAACAATCAAGATATATTCTTGGTACAAATTTCCAACAATGAATGTCATTATATTGTATATCTAAAATGTACCAATAAAATTATTTTTTGAAAGTAAATTATATGGGCAGGAGATTTAGCTAGTGGCACCACACCTGCCTCACAGGTGCAAGGTCCTGAGTTCACTCCCCAGTACTGAAAAAAAAAATTTATAAAAGAAAAGAAACTCCCAGTGGTAATGTGAAATAGAAAGAAAAGGGCTAAATGTGCAGGGGAAGTAGGAAGTGTAGGGGAAAGTAAATAAGGGAAAAGAAAAATTATGCAAAAAGGAAGAAATGGAAACAAAGTCTTTGTAAATAGGGGAGGTTGGAGAGGGCGAAGAGAGGGCGGGGTATGGGAAAAAAATGAGAACCAAGATCTGTCATGTAAAGGTACAAGATCCCAATGATTAACGTATATAGGTACTGTATACCTAAAAAGTACCAATAAACTCAATGAAAAAAAAAAAGAAACTCCCTAATTTCTAAGCATACTTGGAGTAAGTCTTCTTTGGAGAAGGCAAGGACTGTCTCCTAGTCAAACACTAAAGGACTTGCACAATCCAAAAGACAGAGAATTCAGTACCATTTGATAGTACTAGCAGAGGTTCTAATTATATGGATTGACTTTTTAGGTAGAATTACCTATAATTTTAAAAAGGTGATCCATAATCTATATTTTTAAAGGAAATTATATACAAGACAAGAAAACCACATCTATTTTTTTCTTACCTTAGCAATGGTAATGTTAATGTGGATGAATCTAGTAATCCTGTATGAAACCCACTGTGTCATGTACTAATCTAATAAGACCACTGAAAATCTAATAAGTCCACTTATTTCTCCTTCTAGAGACTGTATAGAGAAGCTTGGGACAAGGACAAGACTCAAATTCACATCATGCCAGATACACCTGACATTATTCTGGCTAAGGCAAACTTGATCAATACAAGTGATGTAAGTTTCCAAATTCAGCATGCATTTTCAGAAATCTCAATTGCTTCTAAGTCAGTGAAGATATTTGGAAGTTGTGTGTGTGTGTGTGTTTGTGTGTGTTTGTGGGGGTACCAGGGATTGAATTCAGGACCTTGCGCTTGCGAGGCAAACTGCGGAACCACTGAGCTATATCCCTGGCCCTGGAAGTTATTTTGAATCTCTAAATCATTTTGATTAATAAACTAGGTGGTTCTACTTCCTTCTTTAATGGGTTTTAGATGAAACATCGAAATGTTTGTACTCCCTCTTTTGCGTAGTGTTAGGGACTGTTTTAAGTGTTCCTTGCCCCTTATTATTACACATCCCTCCATAAAGCAGTCATTTACCTCACTCACCCCTGTATGGCCGGGTGTTCTGTGTAGGCAGAGACAATTATTAGATCTGCAGTACATGCTTAGTGTTGTGCCTGACACATAGTAGTTACTCCACAAAATTTCAAGGGAGTGAACATACAAAATCATGCAGGAGACTTACATTTTTATATTTATTGTCATCATTGCATAATCTCCTGAAATTTGTGGATATAAAAATTAAATATTAAAAAAGTCTAAGCTCTGATAAATGACTGTAACATTAACAAATGTGTTAGAGTAATACCATGAACACTGAAATATAAACCCAAGTGCAAGATCAATAGGCATGTTAAACAATTTGGTTTCTAGAGTAAAGTATACTTAAGTTATAATCTCAGTTATTCAATTATGTCACAAATATGAAAAATTAAATTATTGCACATAAATTTTAAAGCTTTCCCTAAAATACAATATTTTTTAAACTCTGGAGGACTCATGTTACCTACAAACATGTAAGAAGTCTTTGCATGGTCCTGTATTATGAGGCAGATGCTGTTTCACAATGCATTAGCTACAAAAAGTAATAGCCCCTTCTACATGTTTTTTTGCCCTCTAGAGAACTAAGAAGGAAAGGTATCACTCTTTTCTTACAATTATCAGTGATGCACTCAACATTAATTGGAAAATAGCACCTAAATAATATTTCATCTATCAGTTTACTTCTGCTGCATTCTCACAAGAATTTGGGAAGAGCTGACATTTAATTTTGTTCATCTAGGTTAATGACAGCACTCTAAAGTTTAAAACAGGATTATCAGCAATCCGTGGGCATAATTTCCAAATACATTGGAGTAATCTAAAGCACAAATACTAGTGTCATGGATTCCTAAAATATTTAGCACTTTTGATTCATTTTTCCTACAGTTGTTTCTGAAGAATTTTTTTTCTCAAAGTCATCTTCATTTCTCACCAGAAACTCTACCGAATGGGTTATGAAGAGCTGAAGAAAAAGGGTTATGATCTTCCAGTGGATGCCATACCAATCAAAGCAGCAAAAGCATCCCGGGAAATTGCCAGTGAAGTAAGATATTGTCCCCTGTTGTATTGATTTGATTGCAATTTATCACTTCCTAACAGTTTCAATTTAATTTTAAATTCGACAAAATCTTTTAAGGGATAACAAATTAAAACAGAGACAGCTGATCCCAGACTTTCAGTATAGAATAAGGATAAGATCAAGGATACATTCATTATGTATGGAATTTATAGCTGAATTTAGCCTCTAATCTTTTCTATCAAAAATCAGAAATCCATAGCTCCATATGTTTAATAAGATACCTGGAGTCAACGTGCTTTGTAATTTGCCATAAAGATGGCAACATAAGATAATTTTGAAAGGAAAAAGGCATATTTTTTTCCACAGTACAAGTACAAAGAAGGCTTTCGAAAGCAACTGGGCCACCACATTGGTGCACGGAACATTAAGGATGACCCCAAGATGATGTGGTCCATGCACGTGGCCAAGATCCAGAGTGACAGGGAGTACAAGAAGGACTTTGAGAAGTGGAAGACCAAGTACAGCAGCCCAGTGGACATGCTGGGGGTGGTGCTAGCCAAGAAGTGCCAGACCCTCGTAAGCGACATAGACTACAAGCACCACCTGCACCAGTGGACGTGTCTGCCTGACCAGAGTGACGTCATCCATGCTCGGCAGGCCTATGACCTCCAGAGCGATGTGAGTCTAAGGTTTTCCTTTACTCAGTTAAATACTATGACCGCGTTCCTCAGTATCAAAATCCCCCTAACGTGCAGGAAGTTTGGTTTACAGAACTGAGTTCTACTTTCCTGGGCTAATGCCCAGGCTCTATTCAGTCATCCAGTTGTCTGAAGACGCTGTTAGTCTATAAAGAGTGAGCCGGCAAAGTCCCTTTTCTTTGGTGGAAGCAGTGGAATTGCTGATCTAGAGAACTGGAGAACTGAACAATTCTACATGTTTAAGCGTTTTTCAAAGTATGCTTCTAATTGGATCTTTTCTGGGTTTACAATTCATATCACAATTTTGAAATTACCCAAGAATTCAAGCATTAAAATATCTTGTGTATATGTATACAAGCGTATATAATATAGTGTTTTGTTTGTACGCGTAATATAAATGCAGTATAATAAAATTATATTGCAATATATGATGCAATATAAATGTTTAATTTCTTTTGGGACATATGCTGACAGTGACTTGTCATTTGCAATTTCAGAATTTGTACAAGTCTGATCTTAATTGGCTAAAAGGCATTGGCTGGATACCCACTGGTTCTCTTGAGGATGAGAAGAACAAAAGAGCTACTCAAATTTTGAGTGACCATGTCTACCGTCAACACCCAGATAAATTCAAGTTTTCCAGCCTTATGGATTCCATACCTATGGTTTTGGCAAAAAACAATGCTATTACCATGAACCATGTAAGTCCTTTCTTTGTATGTGGATTGTACTTTTGTGTGTGTGTGGAGGCACTAAAATATGTTTTTATGAAAGAATATGTCTGTTCAGCTCTTTTCCTTACTACTAAAGTGATTTTAATCTAAATGTTGTGCTTCTTACTGACACAGGACATCTAAACCTGAAAATGTCAGAAATAACCAGCTCACAGAGCAGAATCTCTTTATTCTCATTAAGAATCAGACTGCTCATACTGACCTGTACTTGTCCTGTCTTATTGTTTGTTTTAGCACCTCTATACAGAAGGCTGGAATAAAGATAAAACTACTATCCACATTATGCCAGACACCCCTGAAGTTTTACTAGCTAAACAAAACAAAATAAACTATAGCGAGGTAAGAAATAAATATGTGGTGCATCGTATATTTTCCTTATCATTCATGTTACAAATCAAACTGAAGATTACTTGTATCTGTTCCAGAAATTATATAAGCTTGGCCTAGAAGAAGCCAGGAAGAAAGGCTATGATATGCGACTTGATGCCATTCCCATCAAGGCAGCCAAGGCCTCCAGAGACATTGCAAGTGATGTGAGTACACCTGAGAAGTTCTTTGCTTTAGCTCTGGCTTGGAGATCACTTTCTCTCTCCTGAATTTATAGTGGAGAAAGTAAATGAAGAGGTTAAAGTTGTTGTTAACAGTTCATTTTGTCATTAAATGGTATAATATAATGGTAATACAATGCTCAGCACCAAAGTCTAACTGTGGCTGAGTCTGTGCAACACGCTTTTCAAATATTATCTATTTCCTGCTGAATAAAACCACTGTGTACTTAACTATGCTTCTGGTATAATTTTTTGGCTTGTAAACACAATGTGTGCTTTTTTAATACAATCAAACTTACTGTAAGCTTCTTTCAAAACCCCAGCCATGCCCTGGCAACTAAGGACATGTTAATAGGCGTTCTACCTTCCAAGTTGGGCCCTCCATGTAGACCATATATTTGTTTGTGCACCCAGTGATCAGCTACAAATATTTGTTTTCTTTAAAAGGTTAATTTGCTAAGATTTCTAAAATAGTTATCATTTGTTTTATCTACGAAGATAAAATACATTTTTATTTCCAAAATATGGGAAATAATTATCATACTTTAAAAATAAATGATCAGCAAGGAAAGTGGTTGTATAGTGAAATACCTGCTGCTATTTAAAAATCATCTTTATAAAGATTAATTAGTGACATAGAAAATGCTTATATAATAACTGAAAAGAGCAGGGAGAAAAACTACATAATGTATGACTCATGTGCTGATTTTATTCTCTGTTTCATACACATACACACCATAAAACGTTGTCTTTACCGATCGAACTATGTTAATTTTTCTTTCTTTTTTTAATACATACATTTAACTTATTTTCTAAATGGTTTGTAAGTTGCATGTGTCATATATTATTATATTATACATGTATTATTATATTATTCATTAATATATTATGCATGTATTATATATTATTTATATTCAAAGAAAATAATTATTTTTAATGACTAGGAATTGCTTTTTTATCAAAGTCAAAGGAGACAAGTAGTTGTCTTTTTCTTCTAGTTCAAGTACAAAGAAGGCTACCGAAAGCAGCTTGGTCACCATATTGGTGCTCGAGCGATTCATGATGACCCGAAGATGATGTGGTCCATGCACGTGGCCAAGATCCAGAGTGACAGGGAGTACAAGAAGGACTTTGAGAAGTGGAAGACCAAGTTCAGCAGCCCAGTGGACATGCTGGGGGTGGTGCTGGCCAAGAAGTGCCAGACCCTCGTAAGCGACATAGACTACAAGCACCACCTGCATCAGTGGACGTGTCTGCCTGACCAGAGCGACGTCATCCATGCTCGGCAGGCCTATGACCTCCAAAGCGATGTGAGTCTAAGGTTTTCCTTTGCTCAGTTAAATACTATGACCATATTCCTAAGTATCAAAATTCCACTAACGTGCGGGAAGTTCGGTTTACAGAACTGAGTTCTACATTCCTGGACTAATGCCCAGGCTCTATTCAGTCATCCAGTTGTCTCACGACACTGTTAGTCTATAAAGAGTGAGCCAGCAAAGTCCCTTTTCTTTTTTTTTTCTTTTTTTTTAATTGAGTTTATTAGTACAATCTAGTTCTACAATACAGTTACATTCATTACTGGGATCCTTACCTTTACATGGCAGGTCTTGGTTCTCATTTTTTCCCCTTGTCCCTGCCCTCCCTCACCCCCTCCTTCTCTCCCCATTAACAAACTTTTTTTTTTCCATTTTTTCATTTTCTCATATTTTTTCTTTTCCCTTATTTCCTTGCCCCTACCCTTCCCCCTTTTCCTACACCTTTAGCCCTTTTCTTCCTATTTCACACTCTTAATTATCCCATTAGGATCTTGTGTACTATTATAGTTTTTCACACCAGAGAAACTATTCGGGATTTACACATGTGTGACTTATTTATTTCACTTACGAGTATATCCTCAATATGTGTCCATTTTCCTACGAATGACTCTAATTTCTCATTCTTTATGGCTGAGTAGTATTCCATTTTATAGGAAAACCAATCTTCTTTATCCATTTTCCAACAAATGGGCAGATGGGCTGTTTCCAAGTTTTAGCTATTACCAACTGTGCCGCTATAAACATTGGTGTGCATATAGCACTGTGGTGTGATTCTTTTAAATCTTTTGGAAAGATACCCAGCAGAGGGATGGCTGAGTCAAATTGAACCTCTAGACCTAGCTCTTTGAGGTATCTCCATATTGATTTCCATAGTGGTTGCACCAGTCTGCACTCCTACCAACAATGGAGAAGGGTTCCTTTGTCCCCACAACCCCGCCAACATTTGTTATTGAGTGATTTCTTGATAGCAGCCATTCTTTGTGGGGTGAGGTAGAATCTCAGTTTTGTTTTCATCTGCATCTCTTGAATGACCAGTGATGTGGAACATTTTTTCATATATTTACTTGCTGCTTTTACTACTTTGTCTGAGAAATGCCTGTTCATTTCAGATGCCCATTTTTGAATTGGGTCTTTATATTTGGGGGGGCTGATTGTTTTGAGTTCTTTATATATTCTAGATAATAGTCCTTTTTCTGAGGAGCAGCTGGTAAAAATTTTTTCCCATATTGTAGGCTCTCTCTTAGTTATGTTGATGGTTTCTTTTGCAGTGCAGAGCTTTTCAATAAGGTGAGATCCCAGTTATTGATTCTTTCTGCTAGTTCCCATGCTACTGAGGACTTGTTCATAAAGTCTTTTCCTATGCCAATGTCTTCCAGAGTTCTGCCTAACTTATCTTCCAGAAAGTTTAGTGTTTCTGTTTTAATATTTAGATCTTTAATCCACTTTGATTTTAATTTAGTGCATGGTGAAAGATAAGGGTCCAGTTTTAATCTTTGGCAGGTTGAGATCCAGTTTTTCCAGCACCATTTATTAAAGACGGTACCTTTCCTCCAGTGGGGATAGTCAGCTCCTTTGTCAAAGATGAGGTAACTGAGTACATGTGGAGTTGTTTCTGTATCTTCCAGTCCAGTCTTTTCCATTGATCCTAAGGTCTGTTTCTTTGCCAGTACCATGCTGTTTTTATCACAGTGGCTTTGTAGTATAGTTTCAAATTGGGAATTGTTATACCCGCTGCCATGTGTCTGTTGCCTCGTATGGCTTTTGCTATTCTAGGTCTCTTATGGTTCCAAATGAATTTTTGGATTCTTCTTTCTAGTTCTGTGAAGAATAGTATTGGAATTTCAATTGGTATCGCATTGAATCTGTATAGCAGTTTTCTTAGTAAGGCTATTTTCACTATGTTGATTCTTCCTACCCAGGAGCAGGGGATATCTTTCCATTTTCTTATATCCTCTTCGATCTCTTTTTTTCAGAGTGCTGTAGTTTTCAGTATAGAGATCTTTTGCTTCTTTTGTTAGATTGATTCCCAGATACTTCATTTTTTTGCATGCTATTGTGAAAGGAATTGTTTCCCTAATTTCTCGTTCAGCAAGTCTGTTATTTGTGTACAAGAAGGCTATTGATTTTTGGGTGTTGACCTTGTATCCAGGTACTCTGCTAAAAGTGTCAATTAAGTCAAGAAGTCTTTTGGTGGAGTTTTTTGGGTCTTCAATGTAGAGTATCATATCATCAACAAATAATGACAGTTTAACTTCTTCCTTTCCTATCTTTATTGCTTTAATTTCTTTCTCTTGTCTGATTGCTATGGCTAATATTTCCAGAACTATATTGAAAAGGAGTGGTGATAGTGGGCATCCTTGTCTTGTTCCTGATTTTAACGTGAAGGATTTCAGTTTTTGGCCATTTAATATGATATTGGCTGTTGGTTTTTCATAGATACCCTTTATTAATTTGAGATATAGACCATCTATTCCAATTTTTTTGTAGAGTTTTTAATCATGAATGGGTATTGAATTTTGTCAAATGCTTTTTCTGCATCTATCGAGAGGATCATGTGGTTCTTGTCTTTGATTTTGTTAATATAGTGTATTACATTTATTGATTTACGTATGTTGAACCATCCTTGCATCCCTGGAATAAATCCGACTTGGTCAGGATGTATGATCTTTTTGATGATCCTCTGTATTCTGTTTGCTAGTATCTTATTGAGGATTTTTGCATCTATATTCATTAAGGAGATTGGCCTGTAGTTCTCTTTTTTAGTGCTTTTCCTTCTTTTGGGAATCAAAGTGATACTTGCTTCCAGGAATGAATTTGGAAGTATTGCTTCCCTTTCAATTTCATTGAAAAGTCTGAAGTGTAATGGCAGTAGTTCTTCTCTAAATGTCTTGTAAAATTCAGCAGTGAATCCGTCAGGACCTGGGCTTTTCTTTGTTGGTAAGTTTTTAATTGCATTTTCAATTTCACTGATTGTAATTGGGGTGTATAAAATGTTTTTACCTTCTTCATTCTACTTTGGTAATTCATAAGTATCTAGAAATCTGTCCGTTTCTTCTGTATTTTCCATTTTATTAGAGTACAGGTTCTCATGGTACGTATTAAATGATCCTCTGGATTTCTATTGGATCTGTTGTGACTTTGCCTTTTTCATTCCTAATTGCATGGATCTGAGCCTTTTCTTTCCTTCTTTTGATAAGGTTTGCTAAGGGTTTATCAATTTTATTTAGTCTTTCAAAAAACCAACTCTTCAATTCATTTATTTTTTGTATCATTTTCTTAGTTTCCATTGCATTGATTTCTGCTCTAATCTTTATAATTTCCTCTCTTGTTCGAGCTTTGGGTTTTTCTTGCTCTTGTTTTTCTAGGAATCTAAGAGTCATCGTTGGGTTGTTTATTTAAGCTTGCTCTGTTTTCCTAATGTGGGCATTCGGTGCTATGAATTTTCCACGTAGAACTGCTTTCATTGTGTCCCATAGATTCCTGTATGTTGTATTTGCATTTTCGTTTATTTGTAAAAACTGTCTAATTTCTTCTTTAATTTCCTCTGTGATCCATTGATTGTTCAGGAGAGTGTTGTTCAATTTCCATGTGTTTGTGAAGTTCCTACGGTTTCTTATGCCATTGATCTCCAGCTTTATTGCACTGTGATCTGATAATATACAGGGAATAACTTCAATTCTTCTGCATTTCTTCAACATGTTTTGTGGGCTAGTATGTGATCTATCTTGCAGAATGACCCATGTGCAGCTGAAAAGAATGTATATTCTGATTTTGTGGGGTGAACACTCTTTAGACATCTAATAAATCCATGCATTCAAAAACTTGATTCAGTTATAGTATTTCATTGTTGCTTTTTTTGCCTAAATGATCTATCTATTTGTGATAGCAAGGTATTTAGATTCCCCCACTACAATTGCATTAGTACTTATTTGATTTTTCATGTTATTTAATATTTGTTTTATATAGTTGGGGGCATTTATATTTGTTGCATATATGTTTATGATTGTTATTTCTTCCTCTTGGATTGTTCCCTTTATAAGAATGTAGTGGCCTTCTTTGTCTCTCTTAATCAGTTTTGGTTTGAAATTTACTTTGTCTGCAAGTAAGACTGCTACCCCTGCTTTTTTCTGAGATCCTGTCACATGGAGAATTGTTTTCCACCCTTTCACTTTCAGTCTATGGGCTTCCTTTTGCACTAGGTGTGTTTCTTGTATAAAACATATTGTTGGACTTTGCTTCTTAATCCATTCTGCCACTCTTTTTCTCTTGATTGGTGACTTGAGGCCATTGACATTGTCAGTTATAACTGATATGTACTGACTTATTATTGTCATGTTATTGTCCTTTTGTTGACTCTTTTTAATTTTTTGTCCTCTCCTTTTAGTTTCTTGCCTTGGCTATTTGATTTTTCTCTGTTGGGCCTCATGGTGTTGTGATCTTCATTGTCTTTTTGTAGGATATTGTTTAAAATTCCTTGTAGTGCTGGTTTAGTATTCATGAAGTTTCTCAAATTTTCTTTGTCATGGAAGTATCTTATTTCTCCATCCATTGCTCTTATAGTATTTTATTCTTCTGTTGGGTTTCTGGGATCTTGATTATTATATGTCTAGGTGTAGGTTTTTTTTATCGTGGCTAGTTGGAGTCCTATATGCCTCGCTTATCTGTATGTCAAATTCTTCCCCTCTATTTGGGAAGTTTTCTGTCATTAATTCTGTGAACAGCTTTTTTAAGTCATTTGCATTTTCTCCTGCTACTTCATGGATTTTATTCTTCTGTTGGGTTTCTGGGATCTTGATTATTATATGTCTAGGTGTAGGTTTTTTTTATCGTGGCTAGTTGGAGTCCTATATGCCTCGCTTATCTGTATGTCAAATTCTTCCCCTCTATTTGGGAAGTTTTCTGTCATTAATTCTGTGAACAGCTTTTTTAAGTCATTTGCATTTTCTCCTGCTACTTCATGGATTCCTATCAGTCTTATGTTATTCTTCTTTGCATCATCTAGAAGTTGTTGGATCGATTTCTCATGATCCCTTACTGTTTTTAAGAGACCTCTCTTTTCATGGTCACCTTCTGTGATCCTATCTTCTATATCTGAGATTCTATTTTCACAATCTTTTATTCTGTTGCATACACTTTCAATAGAGTTTTTAATCTCCTGGATATCTGTTTGAATCTTTTTAATGGATTCTATTTCTTTCCTATGTTGAGTGCTCATTGTTTCCATTTCTTTCTTATTCTGGGCATTCATAGTTTCTGTTATGTTCCTAAGCTCATCTGTTTTTTTGTCAGTTTCTGTTCTGCAGTCTCGAATCATGTCTTTCATTTTTCTCACCATCTCTATGGTTATCTGGGAAATAATTTCTGTTTTGAATTTTTCTAGAGCTTGATTGATCAGTTTTTTAACTTCCTGTGCTGTGAGTTCTGAGTGTCCTGGAGGTTCACTATCTGATTTCTCATCCTCCTTTGCCCTACTGTTTGCCTTTGGTGAACTGGAAATTGGTTTTTGTGTCTTGCTTAAGTGTTTTCTCATCTTTATTTTTGCTGTTGGGTTGCCCTTCATTCAATCTCTGAGTCATTAAATTTTCCTGATATTGTTGCGTCCCAGCCTTTGTTTCTGTAGTGACTTATAGACATTCTCATTTTCATAATTGAGAAAACACCTCATCAAATCAATCCTTATCCTTTATCCCAGTGAATACAGTCAGGAACACAGTAGGATCAATCACTGCCCTTTATAGCCAGCCATGCCTCTGCAGAGTGCATCCAAGGACTGGCACAATCAGGAGATCTGAGAGGGATTGGCACCCTCCTGGCATGTCGGGGCAATCAATGGCGCCTGCGGGGAAAGGCATAGCTATGGAGGAGGACTGTAGATCAGGCCAGGCGGCAGAGTGAGATCTGTGGTCCAAGTGGGGGCCACTTGCCTGAAACTCACTCTCCTGGCTCTGGGTTGGGGCAATCAATCCAAAGTCCCTTTTCTTTGGTGTAAGTAGTAAGATTGCTGATCTAGAGAACTGGAGAAATGAAAAATTCTACATGCTTAAGTGTTTTTCAAAGTATGCTTCTAATTGGATCTTTTCTGGGTTTACAATTCATATCACAATTTTGAAATTACCCAAGAATTCAAGCATTAAAATATCTTGTGTATATGTATACAAGCGTATATAATATAGTGTTTTGTTTGTACGCGTAATATAAATGCAGTATAATAAAATTATATTGCAATATATGATGCAATATAAATGTTTAATTTCTTTTGGGACATATGCTGACAGTGACTTGTCATTTGCAATTTCAGAATTTGTACAAGTCTGATCTTAATTGGCTAAAAGGCATTGGCTGGATACCCACTGGTTCTCTTGAGGATGAGAAGAACAAAAGAGCTACTCAAATTTTGAGTGACCATGTCTACCGTCAACACCCAGATAAATTCAAGTTTTCCAGCCTTATGGATTCCATACCTATGGTTTTGGCAAAAAACAATGCTATTACCATGAACCATGTAAGTCCTTTCTTTGTATGTGGATTGTACTTTTGTGTGTGTGTGGAGGCACTAAAATATGTTTTTATGAAAGAATATGTCTGTTCAGCTCTTTTCCTTACTACTAAAGTGATTTTAATCTAAATGTTGTGCTTCTTACTGACACAGGACATCTAAACCTGAAAATGTCAGAAATAACCAGCTCACAGAGCAGAATCTCTTTATTCTCATTAAGAATCAGACTGCTCATACTGACCTGTACTTGTCCTGTCTTATTGTTTGTTTTAGCACCTCTATACAGAAGGCTGGAATAAAGATAAAACTACTATCCACATTATGCCAGACACCCCTGAAGTTTTACTAGCTAAACAAAACAAAATAAACTATAGCGAGGTAAGAAATAAATATGTGGTGCATCGTATATTTTCCTTATCATTCATGTTACAAATCAAACTGAAGATTACTTGTATCTGTTCCAGAAATTATATAAGCTTGGCCTAGAAGAAGCCAGGAAGAAAGGCTATGATATGCGACTTGATGCCATTCCCATCAAGGCAGCCAAGGCCTCCAGAGACATTGCAAGTGATGTGAGTACACCTGAGAAGTTCTTTGCTTTAGCTCTGGCTTGGAGATCACTTTCTCTCTCCTGAATTTATAGTGGAGAAAGTAAATGAAGAGGTTAAAGTTGTTGTTAACAGTTCATTTTGTCATTAAATGGTATAATATAATGGTAATACAATGCTTAGCACCAAAGTCTAACTGTGGCTGAGTCTGTGCAACACACTTTTCAAATATTATCTATTTCCTGCTGAATAAAACCACTGTGTACTTAACTATGCTTCTGGTATAATTTTTTGGCTTGTAAACACAATGTGTGCTTTTTTAATACAATCAAACTTACTGTAAGCTTCTTTCAAAACCCCAGCCATGCCCTGGCAACTAAGGACATGTTAATAGGCGTTCTACCTTCCAAGTTGGGCCCTCCATGTAGACCATATATTTGTTTGTGCACCCAGTGATCAGCTACAAATATTTGTTTTCTTTAAAAGGTTAATTTGCTAAGATTTCTAAAATAGTTATCATTTGTTTTATCTACGAAGATAAAATACATTTTTATTTCCAAAATATGGGAAATAATTATCATACTTTAAAAATAAATGATCAGCAAGGAAAGTGGTTGTATAGTGAAATACCTGCTGCTATTTAAAAATCATCTTTATAAAGATTAATTAGTGACATAGAAAATGCTTATATAATAACTGAAAAGAGCAGGGAGAAAAACTACATAATGTATGACTCATGTGCTGATTTTATTCTCTGTTTCATACACATACACACCATAAAACGTTGTCTTTACCGATCGAACTATGTTAATTTTTCTTTCTTTTTTTAATACATACATTTAACTTATTTTCTAAATGGTTTGTAAGTTGCATGTGTCATATATTATTATATTATACATGTATTATTATATTATTCATTAATATATTATGCATGTATTATATATTATTTATATTCAAAGAAAATAATTATTTTTAATGACTAGGAATTGCTTTTTTATCAAAGTCAAAGGAGACAAGTAGTTGTCTTTTTCTTCTAGTTCAAGTACAAAGAAGGCTACCGAAAGCAGCTTGGTCACCATATTGGTGCTCGAGCGATTCATGATGACCCGAAGATGATGTGGTCCATGCACGTGGCCAAGATCCAGAGTGACAGGGAGTACAAGAAGGACTTTGAGAAGTGGAAGACCAAGTTCAGCAGCCCAGTGGACATGCTGGGGGTGGTGCTGGCCAAGAAGTGCCAGACCCTCGTAAGCGACATAGACTACAAGCACCACCTGCACCAGTGGACGTGTCTGCCTGACCAGAGCGACGTCATCCATGCTCGACAGGCCTATGACCTCCAGAGCGATGTGAGTACTGAGAGTCTTAAGAACATACAAAGGGGGGAAATTAGTGAATTAACTTTGCTTAAGAAGTAGCAATAGGTAGTACCAAGTCAGCAGCCCCTACAAGGAGGGAATAGAATGCCTGCTTTCCATATGAATGTTAATCATTTAACCCTCCAGACAAAATGAAGTACTGCCTGAACCCTGCTCACCCACCACACTATATTTTAGTATATGTGCTGCCAAAATGAACACTACCAAGATATATTGTAAAGAATGCTACTGTTTGATTTAATGCCCCTTAGAGACAATGCATGCCTAATACAGGGATCAATATTTATTGAATATTTGTATCAACAGAATTTGTATAAGTCAGATCTCCAGTGGATGAGAGGCATTGGCTGGGTGCCCATTGGCTCTTTGGATGTGGAAAAATGCAAAAGGGCAACTGAGATTTTGAGTGATAAGATTTATCGTCAGCCTCCAGACAAATTCAAGTTTACCAGTGTGACTGATTCTCTGGAACAAGTGTTGGCTAAGAATAATGCCATCACTATGAACAAGGTGAGGTTTACAAATTCAGACACTCAAGATAGGGTTCCTGAAGCTGACTCAAAGAAAACCATTACTGAGAAAAAAAAAAAGGAGTACAGTACTGAACAACAAAAGGCACCTACCATCCCTCTCCTCTATCCTTGTCTGTGTCTACCTCTACTTCTGTGTAAAATATGTCATTTATCTTTTAATATTTACTTCATTATTGTGTCATTGTTGTGATAAAATACTGTATTTTCAGAAAAAAGTCTTTTCATAAAAGATAAATATAATTTAGTATTTTCAGATTATCAGAAAACACTTATAAAGTATTCCACTGTGAATGATTACTTGAGACATATGTAAAATACATAATGTATGAAAAGTACCATAATTTTGTCTTTTGTTTGTTTATAAAGTTAGTATGGCCCTGAAATTCCTATTATTTATACACTGAATTTTTTCTAATGGTGCTAATGTATTTTCCTTGATAGCGTTTGTACACAGAATCCTGGGACAAAGACAAGACGCAGATCCACATAATGCCAGATACACCAGAAATTACGTTGGCAAGAATGAACAAAATCAACTACAGTGAGGTGAGAACAGTGGCTAATTCTGTGATGTTTGCATGGGTTTTTTCATTTCAGTTGATCTGTTCCACAGAGATATAATGCTAAAATGGCAGCTTTATAAAAAGAAACTTTTTTCTTGCTTCATATGAAAAGCAACTTCTGGGTTTCTGAATCACCATTATAAATGTCAAACTTTCAAGTAATAAGAATCATCACTTAGGGGAATCAGGGATTGAAGAATTACTGATTTCAGCACCAACCATAAGAGCAAGTAGATCATTTTTTTGCAAGTAGATCATTTTTATTAATTTTTGAAATGAGATTAGCAATAGACTGGTACACATACATGTATCTCCCATTAATGCTAAAGCAAACTTTAGCGAATATATTTTCCATTTATAGCATATTGCTCTTAAATTGCAGCTTAGGGTCAAAATTTAAGATTTTTTAAATCACAGTACAACCCAATCTCTCTCTTCTCTCTCTCTCTCTCTCTCTCTCTCTCTCTCTCTCTCTCTCTCTCTCACACACACACACACACACACACACACACACAGTAACAATGAGAGTCAGTGAATGTATTAACAAAACCATGGCCTTTTTACTTCCAGTGAACACAGGGCTACATGCCCCCATATTGGAATCGCAGTACCTAGACCTAGGTAGAGTGATTCTAAAGAGGTCCTGTCCCCTCTTCTAGCACAGGAATTCCATATAGCAGGTTGTTCTGTCTTTGCTTCAGGGTTCCGAGTCACAAGGACCTTATCCTCACAAGTCAGTTCATTTGTTCTGGAAAATTCCATTAGAAAGTGCTTCTGAGGTATTCAATCACATTTCTCTCTGTAAAGGCATATAGTCCTCTGAGGCAGCAGAACCAGTCTGTGCCCACCCATGAAGATAGGGACAGCCTCCAGGATCCTTCCCTGCCCCACCCCACACGAGCTCTCTCTGTAACCCACAAACTTCAAATTCCTGAAATGTCTTCCCTGGAAAAATGTGAATCAGAGCTGAACAAGATACTTAGAATAAGGAATGACCAGAGTACAATACAGTTAAGGATCACATTTCCTCTTCTGGACATTTGAGGTTCCCTGTGCTTCTGGGACACACTGGCTGCTGTGTCACTGCATTTAGTAATTGAAATCTTGGCTCAACAATTGAATTTTTCTTCGTCTTAGATTGAGGCTATGGTTTAAAGCTATGGAGATTTTTGTGAATCTAAGATTCTGTCAGCTGATGTATTAATTTTTTTCTCCAAATTTTGTGCCACCAGCAAATAAAATGTTTCTGGCAGCACAGATAAACGGAATTTTGCTCTTCTGTGGGATATTATACAGAATAACAGCCATCTCCAGTAATTTTATTTTAGTGATGCAGATTATATTTTACTGCTTGTATAAGTAGTCCTTAATTGTCAACAGAAACTGAAAACATTAAATCCTATTTTCAAATCAGAAAGGATTGAAGTTTTAACTAAACTTACATTAGAGTCCCTTAATTGTTTCATGAAGGCAAATATTACATGTGGAGGAATTTCAGGAGACAGTACCTGTAAGTCACCACTCAGAATTTCTAAAGTTTTTAGCTCTGTTTTTGCTGAAAAACCTCACAGGTCCTAGAATACAGCTTTCTAGTTCAACCAGGCCCAGTAGAGAGCCATTGACTGAATGCCTAACTTGCCTAGACTCCTTTCTCTGTCTTTTCTCTGCCAATGTACATAGTTCCATTTATTTGTGTTTCAGTTAGGATAAGAAGACAACAATGAAAATTTATTATGTTACCCTTTCCTCTTAAAATTTTTTGTTGTTTCCTATTTCTTGTAAAACCAAGCAACAATTCTTAAAGTATTTCTGGTTCAATTTGAGGTTCTTTTCAGTTCTCTCTTAGCACTTCTCCCTGGGGCTTCATCCCACTTCCTTCAATACCTGGGCACATCCGTGTGCCCTAATTGATGTGATTTTCTCTCCTTTTGGCTGGAAACCTAGCTTATCATTCAAGGTTCAACTCAAAGGTCACACTCAGCAGAACTTCCCCGTTTCTTAGTTCAGAATAAGTGACTGTGCATTAATGCACTTTCCTGTTGTTGTTAAACAATTCTTGACATCCAGAATTTAAAGGAGGAGAGGTTTTTTTGGCATATGATTTCAGAGCATTCAGTCCATGGTCAGCTGGCTCCAAGGCAGAGATATGGTGGAAGGGTGCATCAGTCTCACCCAGAGTGTACTACAAATCCCCTAGCTTAATTGTCATAGACTCCTTCCTGGAGCTCTCTTTTTTCTGGTACTAGGGATTGAACTCAGGACCTTGTGCAGCAGTGGAACAACTGAGCTAAATCCCTGGCTGGAGCTCTTTTTTGATAATTTAGCTAAATCATTTCTTGTGGTTTGATTCTCAGTTCTCCATGTTATCATTCTTCATTACTTCAAACAGACACTTTAAAGTTAAAGGAGATCTCACCCTCATCTTTAATTTATATGTACCTAGTAATGTCACAGACTCAAAGTCAGGAGAGAATAGATGTGAATTTAATTAATTGCCATGAACAGCATTTTTCCTGTTTACTGCCTTAGGTCTGTGAGTTTCAGCTGAATTTTTCTAGTACTTCCAAACTTGATTGTTTTACGTAAAAATTTTTAAACAAAATAACTTTTTATTAATTCCGTTTAAGTGAGAAAATAAAAATCAGATGCAGTGTTCTTCATAGGTATCCTTTTAATTTTGACAAAAATGCAGAAGGCTTAGAATTTCCAAAATGATATTATTGTGGGCACTCATGGAGAATTTAGTGACTTATGTAAATTCTTTATCAGTTTCTGGATATAAATGTCAACATTTAACTTTGTGGCCCAAATTTAGAGTCTGTATAAACTTGCCAATGAGGAAGCCAAGAAGAAGGGCTATGACTTGAGAAGTGACGCCATCCCCATTGTGGCAGCCAAGGCCTCCAGAGACATCGCCAGTGATGTGAGTGGTCCATTCTGCTCCCCGTGTATGAGCAGCGTGATGTGGCATTTTCACTGAACTAAATCTTTACAAAGGACCTTTGAAAATATGTCCTCATGTACTTTTGTGGGATTTTTCAGAAAATCTAGCTTTGGGGGAAATGGAAAATTTGATGTTCATAGAAAGGATTTGTAACCTGTAGGACACAGTGGCTTCCGTGAAAACTGGCTCACCGAGAATAGAGATAGATCCAGTCATGTACGAACTGTTGTAGTGCAGCTGCAGGCTTGGAGATGTGTATCCTCACAGAAAGGATTTTAGAAAGTGTAACTCAGAACTTAAGTTCTCCAGGTAAGAATCATGACCTGGCCTTGTGCAACATTTTAATATCCAACATTTAAAAAACTCAGAGACGCTTGCTATTACAGTTTGTCCTTGTAAGATTATGATATTATTCGTTGATCAATACCAGAGGAAGGCTATGGGCGGCTGTGCAGTGCCACCCTCCAGAGTAAAACTAACATCCTGTCTTGGTGCCTCAAGGATTCTTGAAGAACAGACAACTGCTGTAAAAATCCAGGCCCACATTCAGGACGATGACCTTCATGCTGGAATATTACATTAGTGACTGTCCTCAATTTGTGCATGTTGTCCTCTCTTCACCCCCAGCAAATGTTCATATGTCAATAATAGTAAATCATTAAATAATAATCAAAAAGTATTGAGAACTCTGTACTGAGAGCTTTACATGCATTTTCTCACTCTTTATAATTACCCTGGGCTATCAATATCATTATCCACATTTGTGAATTAAGAAACTTCCCTTTAAAAGTCAAAGTTTTAGTGGGCAGAGAGTTGGGACAACTTCATTCCTTTGTACTGTACTGTATTCCCTCCAAATGATGGTTTCTGTACTTTCTACTCAGTTGGCTTTGAAATCAGAAGCACCTATTGGAGATAATTGGCCTAGTGAAACCTAAACCCATGACCTTGTTAGAAGCGTCCTCTAACCACTGGGATTGCTAAGTCAGCTTTACTAATCAGTTTTCAAAATGATTACTATGGCCACTGAATGCATAAATCCAATATAAAATATAGTATTTTATCCTGTGCTGCTGCTCGAGGTGTTACTTGACCTAAGTTCAGTACTTTGGACTTACTCATTTTACAGCCACTCATTATACAGCTCATTAAGCACACAGACCACCTGCACATCCCTTGCCCTACCCACATTTTTGTATAGGATCTAATTCTCCAGGTTTCCTGCTTCAAATAACCGCTCCCTGATTTCCACAGGAGCCCACTCTGTGTGCTTCCTGGCCCCCGAACTTTTGCAACTGGTGGGCTATAGGCAATTTGAGTCTACACTATAATTATATGAATTTCATATATTTTATTACATCCAGAGTCTTCCAGGGTAAATGTAAGGATGTGGGCTGGAGTTGGGGCTTATAGCAAAAGTCAGTTAAAAATAATATGGCTTTGTACAGATTTGTGACCTCCAAAGGTTTATAGTAAAGGTTTGACTTATGCTTTTTATTTCAGTACAAATACAAAGATGGATACCGCAAGCAATTGGGCCACCACATCGGTGCACGGAACATTGAGGATGACCCCAAGATGATGTGGTCCATGCACGTGGCCAAGATCCAGAGTGACAGGGAGTACAAGAAGGACTTTGAGAAGTGGAAGACCAAGTTCAGCAGCCCAGTGGACATGCTGGGGGTGGTGCTGGCCAAGAAGTGCCAGACCCTCGTAAGCGACATAGACTACAAGCACCACCTGCACCAGTGGACGTGTCTGCCTGACCAGAGTGACGTCATCCATGCTCGGCAGGCCTATGACCTCCAGAGCGACGTGAGTACAATGTCTATACTACAACAGGGTGTAAAAATATTTTAAAACTATAAAAATTATCTTTTACACACAACCTATTAGCCTATTCAAGCTAGGATGTATTGCTAAGTAAATAAGATTTGAATCAGTGTTTCACATAGTTTTAGTGCTTATTATAAACATATTTGTAGTCCTCAAAAGGAAGTAAAGTTTCTAAACTGGAATTGGTCTTATGAAACAAAGCAGAGGACCAGGGATTTAGCTCAGTGGTTCTGCTGCCTGCCTTGCAAGCACAGGGACCTGAGTTTGATCCCCGGTTCCCCCCCCCAAAAAAAAGAAACAAACAAACAAACAAAGCAGATATTGTTCAGTGTTAGAGTTCAGGCCCCACCAGAGGGAGACATTTTCTTGTAAAGGAAAATGAAATAACACATTTTTATTAAAAAGAAAAAAATAGTCTGGAATTTGTTGTTGGCGTGTCCTTGCTAAATGAAGGAGGTTATGGTTATTAGACCATTAATGCCAGCTATACTGGTACATATTATTCTTCAGAAATCAAAGAAGCCTTTGTGCTATGTCTCTAACCATTGGATTGTTTCACTGACACTTGCTCCTTTAGTGTGGCTGTCTTTGTGGATGGGCCACATGATAATGTCGGAACCTAGTACCTATTGGAAGCAGGTGCACTATCCCAAATATGAGTATGAGAAGCACATTCACTGCACTGCATATTGTATAAATGTGTGAAGGAATTATTAAGCATTCGGGAACACTGGAGAATAACACAAATTCACTGTAATTATACATTAATTGCCTGTTCTAGAAACTGTGCAGCCTGTGTGGAGAACTCCCACATCTGTTCTGTAGCTTTCAACACAAAGAGCCCTGTGTTTTGTAATTGTCTCCAAAAAGAAAGACTTCACCTACACAAAGGTAGTTTTAAAAGGTTGGTGTCACCCATAGAGTGACAGACTGACTGCCATCTGTCTATTTCTTTGGTCATTCTTTATGGATTACCCTCCTCCCACTGTGACTGGTCCTAATATGTGAGAGGCATTTGCAAGGAAAAAGTCCTCCAGAGCCATAAGATGTTACTGTTTTTATTCTCGCTGCTGTTACCTAGGTGACAACTAGTCAGCATAGAATAAGTCCAGTTGGCTTTTTGTCTGCAAATTAGCAGTTTGTATTTTCTACTTAGTTGCTGTTACTGGTGAAATCTCTGCAGTGGGTAGATCAGAGATCTAGTTGCACTTCTGCGAAGTAGTTAGAACTGTAAGGGGTATCTAAATCTAAAACTGTTTAGCAGAAAACATGATTAAAAGTGAAGTGAGAAGGATACAGCATGATGATTCAGGAAGAGTCTGCATTGCCTATGCTGGGAAATGCAGTGGAGGAAAGGACTGGGACCCTACATATGGTCATTTATTGCCCTGAATCTTAGACAATATTATAGCTTTCAGATATCTGCCTTAGGACATCAGGAGCTCTACACCATTATATGTCATTTTAACTTCTCTGTTCCTCTTTTTTTTAAGAGCATTATAAATATAAAAACAATTAATAGAACACAATAATAATTCTGCTCAGTCTCACTGCTAAAAAAGCTTATTTTTACCTGTATAATATACCTACATACATTGTTTCATATGCTATTTCTTCATTTAATATTATGTTCAATCAATTCTCCATCTCATCAATATTTTCACAAAATGAGGATTTTTAATAGCTGCAGAGTGTTTCATTTAGCTAGGTCTAAAACTAACTTATTGATGGCCCATTGGGTATTGTATGTGCTTTACCTCTCTCTGGTTGGCAATCTTCCCTGTGCATGTGGACATTAAGGTCACATTCACTGAACTGACTGACAGAAGATATTAGTTCAGTCTTCTCCTAACAAGCTAAAATGTTGAAGAATTTTTAAAATTTGTCTCACAGACATTTCTGGATAATTTTAAAAATACGGTTCCTCCTTCAGTCTGAGGAATACAGGAAGTTTATTTTCTATGAAAATGAAAGGGAATCACACTTCATTATTGATGCCATTTGCACCTTTATCCTCACTCAGTATGGTGACTTTGATGAAGAGTTTCTTCCTTTTACCCCCTCTCCTTAGAATGTGTACAAATCAGATCTGCAGTGGCTGAAAGGCATCGGCTGGGTCCCCATTGGTTCACTGGATGTGGTCAAGTGCAAGAGAGCTGCAGAGATCCTGAGTGATAACATCTACCGCCAGCCTCCAGACAAGCTGAAGTTTACCAGCGTGCCCGATTCTCTGGAACAGGTGCTGGCCAAGAGCAATGCCCTCAACATGAACAAGGTGAGCCCCAGCTACCTCAAATGTTCCAAGATGTCCAGGGATGTTGTTATACTTTAATGACCAGCGGATTCAAAATTATTCGTACAGGTGTCGGGTTACATTTTCTCCTTAAGGTTTATACTTGAAATCTTCTAAATGATTTATATTATTTTCAGTTGCGCGTGTGTATACAGAGGCCTGGGACAAAGACAAGACTCAAATTCATATGATGCCTGATACACCGGAGATCATGTTGGCAAGGCAGAACAAAATCAACTACAGTGAGGTAGGGGTGAAAACTGTGGGGCAGCACTTTCTTGTCCTCATTGTTTAGTTTTCTGCACTTAGTTTTGTTGGACTTCTTGCACCAGGGCTGTTGTGATTCATGTGGCTTTTTCGTGTTCACACTCAGCCCATCCAAACTTTCTTCTCTGGTTTGAATGTTATATTTCATTGGATTCTGCACGCAAACTTAAGTCACATTGTCGTTTCAGTTGTGACTTTTCCCAGGATGAATCCATAGGACTGGGGAGTATTTTTTACATTCCCGGGGAGTAGGATTGCCAGATAAAACACTGCCTCATTATATTTATACAAAAACATTCTTTGTTATTTACCTGAAATGTGAGTTCATCTGGGTGTGCTACATTTTCATTTGCTAAATTTGTTCAGAGAGGTCTCTAACAATGTATACCTCTTACATACTTGAGTCCTGAATAAGACTGAGAAATAAAACAAAGGAGACAAAACAAGAAGCCAAAAATCTCATTTTTTTAAACCAAAAAAGTTTGTTTAAAGGACACATTTGTATGAGAGCCTCACTCACTGAACCTCAGTCAGTTTCCCTACTCAAGTACAGGCTGCAGGAAGCAGGTGACCCTCCTAACGCCCACCCTGAAGCTCTGCTGAGAGACAGAAGGCCACTAGACTGGTTCTTAGAGGGAGAGAAGGGGAGGCTTGGGCTGAGCCTGCCCACTAATCCCATCCATGCCAACAAGATAACTCAGGAAATCACTGTATATCTCTAGGACAGAAAAAGACCAGAGTTAAGACAACTTAACTTCTATTTTATAGAAAGGAAACTTTAAGCGTACACAAGACATATTCTCCATCAATAACACTGACTCCTGATTTTTTAAACACGTTTTACTAATATAATATAGTCAAAGATTAGAATCCTAAAGTTGAGATCATAGTCATTAACTGGGCTTTAATTATATTTTTTAAATGTTTGCTTTGTTTTTGAAACATTGTAACATAGTACATAACTCTAAACATTTAAGTAATAAATGAATGAACGTATATTTTATTAAAAATGAATAATATTAAATGTACTATTCTGCCAGTTTTCATTTAGCAATATGTATGGATGATAATTTGTCTTTCAGTCCATATTACTAGATGACATTAATCTATATTGATATCTATATCATACTGGTCTACAAGTTGTACAAATCCATAATTTTATAGAATAGATTAACATATCAATCTGTATTAATATCCATTGATATATATCACTTGTTTCTAATATTATATAGTTTTTTGTAAGATAGGACATACTTTATGGTTCTTCTCTATTGCTAGAAATATACATATATTGTCTCCAGTTCCTATCCTTTAAAAGTTATATGGGTTAAGTCACTTGATAATCTCCAGATTGTTGCTGTCAGATCTTTTCCTTTAACTCTTTGACTCCCTTTCTGTAGACTCTGTATAAACTTGCCAATGAGGAAGCAAAGCAGAAAGGCTATGACCTGCGAGTTGATGCTATCCCAATCGTGGCAGCCAAGGCCTCCAGAGACATCGCCAGTGATGTGAGTAGCAACGGTGGATGTTTATGTGGATGGATGGATGGATGGATGGATGGATGGATGAAGGGAAAGCGCATTATTGTGACGGGGGAATGCATGCAGAGGCCAATTGCAGCCCATTGATTGACAATTATTTTATTTAGTAAAAAAAATTTTTCATTTAAAAAATACTTTTTTTAACTCATAAGAGATTAATATCTGGGTACTTTGGGAGACCTTTGGGAATCCTAAACTTTGGTATGAAGTTGAATGAGAATTTACCAATTTTTAATTTACAATTATGACAAATTCTTCATATCTGGAGCATGTAGCCCTCACAGAAATTTTAAAGGTACTAGAAAAATAGGAACTTGGTTACTTGGATTGGTCCAACCTCAGCTAAAGACCTGGCAGAACCCAAACTATGAAATTCTACCTTTCCTCAAACCTGCTCTTCATTTTTGTTGAAGATTACCTTCGGTGCTTCCTACTGAGTTCCTTTTAAATGAACATAGAGATCCAAAACAAAGAATGGTGAACCTGGTTGCTCTTTCTGCTTTCTCTGAAGAAAGTGGTTCCTTTGATAGAGAAATTAGACTTCTGAAAGTATACAATAGGATTTGTATGATGTTCTTGCCTAAATCATAGAGAAAATATCTGGAACCAGCCCTTATATGACCAATGAAATGTTTTCTTACTTATTTATAGTTCACTTTATCATTGAGGAATCCCAGACAACCTCAGCCAAATTTGAACTTCTTGTGAGATAGAGACAAAGTCTGTCCTGTCAGGGTATCAGGTGACCCACGAAAGTCATCAGAGCTAGATTTGGGAGGGACAGTAGGTGATTAGGATGAGGTGGAAATGGTATCTTCACACACATGAATACCATTTTTAAATTCACATGTAAGATTTGTAGGTTAGTGTCTTCACCAGTCCAACATGAAGAAGAGGCAGTGTACAATGCTGATTAATATGAAAAGGTTTGCTGCCTTTATTTCCAGAGACTTAACGTCTGCAGACCAAAGGATTATGTGGTTTGGTCTGTCTTCCCATTAAACTATTGCTGTGATGTCTAATCAGATTTTAATACAAGGAGACAAGTTAATATTCAGAAACTGCATTTTTCAAACAACACACTTTTAAATTGCAAAGACTCTTCACCATTTCTCTTTATTTTAATTATTAAACACTTCCCTTTCATTTCAGTACAAATACAAAGATGGATACCGCAAGCAATTGGGCCATCATATTGGAGCACGCAACATTGAGGATGACCCCAAGATGATGTGGTCCATGCATGTGGCCAAGATCCAGAGTGACAGGGAGTACAAGAAGGACTTTGAGAAGTGGAAGACCAAGTACAGCAGCCCAGTGGACATGCTGGGGTTGGTGCTGGCCAAGAAGTGCCAGACCCTCGTAAGTGACATAGACTACAAGCACCACCTGCACCAGTGGACGTGTCTGCCCGACCAGAACGATGTCATCCATGCTCGGCAGGCCTATGACCTCCAGAGCGATGTGAGTACTGAGCTCTGTGGTAACCAAGCTTATGGTGGCAATACATAGTAACACCTGGGCAATGGTCTTGAACTAGATAGGACCTCCAGAAAGATGATGTCTCTGGTCTCCATTGCTAATTTTTAAAAAATATCCTTTACTTTTTAAAAAGAGAGAACCTAATAATACCATGAGCCTTCATATTTTATTTTTTAATTTTTTCCATTACGTTTATTGGTACATTTTAGGTATACAGTACAATTATATTCATCATTGGGATCTTGTTCCTTTAAATGATATATTTTGGTTCTTATTTTTTCCCCATCCCCTACTCTTCCTTCACCCCTCCAGCCTTTCGTATTTACAAAGACTTTGTTTCCATGTTTTTCCATTTCTCATATTTTTTTCTTTTCCCTCCTTTCCTTTCCTGAACTCCTCCCACTTCCTCTACTCCTTTAGACATTTTCTTCCTATTTCACAAAATCAATTATACATTTCACCCTCATTTACAATTTTAGTTTTTCACACCAGAGAAAATATTTGATATTTACACATGTGTCCTATTAATTTCAGCTAGAGTATGGCCTCAATATGCATGCACTTAGCTATAAATGTCTCTAGTTTCTCATTCTTTATGGCTGAGTAGTACTCCATTTTATTAAAAAAAATACATCTTTATCCAGTCTTGAGTTGGTGGGCAATTGGGCGGTTTCGAAGTTTTAACTATTGCAAACTGTGCTGCTATAAACATGGATTGCGCATATCACTGAGGTACGATTCTTTTAATTCTTTTGGGAAGATACCCAGCAGAGGAATAGCTGAGTCAAATGTGACTTCTAATCCTAGTTGTTAAAGGTATATCAATATTGATTTCCATAGTGGTTGCACCAGTCTGCACTCCCACCAACGATGAAGAAGGGTTCCTTTCTCCCCACAACCCCACCAACATTTATTATTGGTTGATTTCTTGATAGCAGCCATTCTTTGTGGGGTGAGGTAAAATCTCAGCGTTGTTTGCATCTGCATCTCTCAAATGACCTGTGATGTTGAACATTTTTTCATAGGTTTATTTGCTCTGTTACTTTTTTCTTTTTCTCAGAAATGTCTGTTCATTTCAGATGCCCATTTTTGGATTGGGTCTTCATATTGGGGGGAGGTCTGATTTTTTTGAGTTCTTTATAGACCATTGTCTGAGGAACAACTGTTGAAAGTTTAGCTCTGTTGGTGGTTTCTCTTGCAGTGTAGAAACTTTTTAAAAAGATGAGATCCCTGTTGTTGATTCTTTGTGCTTGTTCTTGTGCTACTGTGGATTTGTTCAGAAAGTCTTTTCCAATGCCAATGTATTTGAGAATTGTACCTAACTTATCTTCCAGCAAGTGTAGTGTCTCTGTTTAATAATTATATCTTTAATCCACTTGGACTTTAGTTCAGTTTATAATGAATGAAAAGCGTCTAGCTTTAATCTTTGGCAGGTTGAAATCCAGTTTTTCCAACACATTTATTAAAGAGGCTTTCTTTCCTCTAGCGAGGATGGTTGGCTCCTTTGTCAAAGATGAGGTAGCTAAGTGTGTCTAGAGTTGTTTCTGCATCCTCAGATCTATTCCACTGATCCTCAGGTCTGTTTCTTTGCCAGTACCATGCTTTTGTTTTTATCACAGTGACTTTGTAGTATAGCCTTAAGTTGGGAATTGTGATACCCACTGCCATTTCTCTGTTGCCTAGAATTGCTTTTGCTATCCTTAGCCTTCATATTTCAGAAGACATAGGCACTCCTTTTCCAAAGTTTTCCAGTCTTCATTTTTGAAATTGTGCCATAGGAACTCCAGTATTATTGGCTTTTGTGTTTGATCTCATCAGAATGTTTATAAATCTGATCTGCAATGGCTGAGAGGCATCGGCTGGGTCCCCATCGGGTCAGTGGATGTGGTCAAGTGCAAGAGAGCTGCAGAGATCCTGAGTGATAACATCTACCGCCAGCCTCCAGACAAGCTGAAGTTTACCAGCGTGCCCGATTCTCTGGAACAGGTGCTGGCCAAGAGCAATGCCCTCAACATGAACAAGGTGAGCCCCAGCTACCTCAAATGTTCCAAGATGTCCAGGGATGTTGTTATACTTTAATGACCAGCGGATTCAAAATTATTCGTACAGGTGTCGGGTTACATTTTCTCCTTAAGGTTTATACTTGAAATCTTCTAAATGATTTATATTATTTTCAGTTTTACTATTAACCATTGGTAATACCCAAATCTCCAGTGGACTGTCTTGTATCCAAATCTGATTATTTTTCCTAATTAGGTCAATAATAACTCCTTTAATTTAACCTTTTGTATTTTTATCTCAAATGTTTTTCAGTCAAACATGTTACCTTCTTTTATAGCGTTTGTATACAGAGGCCTGGGACAAAGACAAGACTCAAATTCATATGATGCCTGATACATTGCGCATATCACTGAGGTACGATTCTTTTAATTCTTTTGGGAAGATACCCAGCAGAGGAATAGCTGAGTCAAATGTGACTTCTAATCCTAGTTGTTAAAGGTATATCAATATTGATTTCCATAGTGGTTGCACCAGTCTGCACTCCCACCAACAATGAAGAGAAGGGTTCCTTTCTCCCCACAACCCTGCCGCATTTATTATTGGTTGATTTCTTGATAGCAGCCATTCTTTGTGGGGTGAGGTAGAATCTCAGCGTTGTTTGCATCTGCATCTCTCAAATGACCTGTGATGTTGAACATTTTTTCATAGGTTTATTTGCTCTGTTACTTTTTTCTTTTTCTCAGAAATGTCTGTTCATTTCAGATGCCCATTTTTGGATTGGGTCTTCATATTGGGGGGAGGTCTGATTTTTTTGAGTTCTTTATAGACCATTGTCTGAGGAACAACTGTTGAAAGTTTAGCTCTGTTGGTGGTTTCTCTTGCAGTGTAGAAACTTTTTAAAAAGATGAGATCCCTGTTGTTGATTCTTTGTGCTTGTTCTTGTGCTACTGTGGATTTGTTCAGAAAGTCTTTTTTGGATGTGGTCAAGTGCAAGAGAGCTGCAGAGATCCTGAGTGATAACATCTACCGCCAGCCTCCAGACAAGCTGAAGTTTACCAGCGTGCCCGATTCTCTGGAACAGGTGCTGGCCAAGAGCAATGCCCTCAACATGAACAAGGTGAGCCCCAGCTACCTCAAATGTTCCAAGATGTCCAGGGATGTTGTTATACTTTAATGACCAGCGGATTCAAAATTATTCGTACAGGTGTCGGGTTACATTTTCTCCTTAAGGTTTATACTTGAAATCTTCTAAATGATTTATATTATTTTCAGTTTTACTATTAACCATTGGCAATACCCAAATCTCCAGTGGACTGTCTTGTATCCAAATCTGATTATTTTTCCTAATTAGGTCAATAATAACTCCTTTAATTTAACCTTTTGTATTTTTATCTCAAATGTTTTTCAGTCAAACATGTTACCTTCTTTTATAGCGTTTGTATACAGAGGCCTGGGACAAAGACAAGACTCAAATTCATATGATGCCTGATACACCGGAGATCATGTTGGCAAGGCAGAACAAAATCAACTACAGTGAGGTAGGGGTGAAAACTGTGGGGCAGCACTTTCTTGTCCTCATTGTTTAGTTTTCTGCACTTAGTTTTGTTGGACTTCTTGCACCAGGGCTGTTGTGATTCATGTGGCTTTTTCGTGTTCACACTCAGCCCATCCAAACTTTCTTCTCTGGTTTGAATGTTATATTTCATTGGATTCTGCACGCAAACTTAAGTCACATTGTCGTTTCAGTTGTGACTTTTCCCAGGATGAATCCATAGGACTGGGGAGTATTTTTTACATTCCCGGGGAGTAGGATTGCCAGATAAAACACTGCCTCATTATATTTATACAAAAACATTCTTTGTTATTTACCTGAAATGTGAGTTCATCTGGGTGTGCTACATTTTCATTTGCTAAATTTGTTCAGAGAGGTCTCTAACAATGTATACCTCTTACATACTTGAGTCCTGAATAAGACTGAGAAATAAAACAAAGGAGACAAAACAAGAAGCCAAAAATCTCATTTTTTTAAACCAAAAAAGTTTGTTTAAAGGACACATTTGTATGAGAGCCTCACTCACTGAACCTCAGTCAGTTTCCCTACTCAAGTACAGGCTGCAGGAAGCAGGTGACCCTCCTAACGCCCACCCTGAAGCTCTGCTGAGAGACAGAAGGCCACTAGACTGGTTCTTAGAGGGAGAGAAGGGGAGGCTTGGGCTGAGCCTGCCCACTAATCCCATCCATGCCAACAAGATAACTCAGGAAATCACTGTATATCTCTAGGACAGAAAAAGACCAGAGTTAAGACAACTTAACTTCTATTTTATAGAAAGGAAACTTTAAGCGTACACAAGACATATTCTCCATCAATAACACTGACTCCTGATTTTTTAAACACGTTTTACTAATATAATATAGTCAAAGATTAGAATCCTAAAGTTGAGATCATAGTCATTAACTGGGCTTTAATTATATTTTTTAAATGTTTGCTTTGTTTTTGAAACATTGTAACATAGTACATAACTCTAAACATTTAAGTAATAAATGAATGAACGTATATTTTATTAAAAATGAATAATATTAAATGTACTATTCTGCCAGTTTTCATTTAGCAATATGTATGGATGATAATTTGTCTTTCAGTCCATATTACTAGATGACATTAATCTATATTGATATCTATATCATACTGGTCTACAAGTTGTACAAATCCATAATTTTATAGAATAGATTAACATATCAATCTGTATTAATATCCATTGATATATATCACTTGTTTCTAATATTATATAGTTTTTTGTAAGATAGGACATACTTTATGGTTCTTCTCTATTGCTAGAAATATATATATATTGTCTCCAGTTCCTATCCTTTAAAAGTTATATGGGTTAAGTCACTTGATAATCTCCAGATTGTTGCTGTCAGATCTTTTCCTTTAACTCTTTGACTCCCTTTCTGTAGACTCTGTATAAACTTGCCAATGAGGAAGCAAAGCAGAAAGGCTATGACCTGCGAGTTGATGCTATCCCAATCGTGGCAGCCAAGGCCTCCAGAGACATCGCCAGTGATGTGAGTAGCAACGGTGGATGTTTATGTGGATGGATGGATGGATGGATGGATGGATGGATGAAGGGAAAGCGCATTATTGTGACGGGGGAATGCATGCAGAGGCCAATTGCAGCCCATTGATTGACAATTATTTTATTTAGTAAAAAAAATTTTTCATTTAAAAAATACTTTTTTTAACTCATAAGAGATTAATATCTGGGTACTTTGGGAGACCTTTGGGAATCCTAAACTTTGGTATGAAGTTGAATGAGAATTTACCAATTTTTAATTTACAATTATGACAAATTCTTCATATCTGGAGCATGTAGCCCTCACAGAAATTTTAAAGGTACTAGAAAAATAGGAACTTGGTTACTTGGATTGGTCCAACCTCAGCTAAAGACCTGGCAGAACCCAAACTAGGAATTTCTACCTTTCCTCAAACCTGCTCTTCATTTTTGTTGAAGATTACCTTCGGTGCTTCCTACTGAGTTCCTTTTAAATGAACATAGAGATCCAAAACAAAGAATGGTGAACCTGGTTGCTCTTTCTGCTTTCTCTGAAGAAAGTGGCTCCTTTGATAGAGAAATTAGACTTCTGAAAATATACAATAGGATTTGTATGATGTTCTTGCCTAAATCATAGAGAAAATATCTGGAACCAGCCCTTATATGACCAATGAAATGTTTTCTTACTTATTTATAGTTCACTTTATCATTGAGGAATCCCAGACAACCTCAGCCAAATTTGATCTTCCTGTGAGATAGAGACAAAGTCTGTCCTGTCAGGGTATCAGGTGACCCACGAAAGTCATCAGAGCTAGATTTGGGAGGGACAGTAGGTGATTAGGATGAGGTGGAAATGGTATCTTCACACACATGAATACCATCTTAAAATTCACATGTAAGATTTGTAGGTTAGTGTCTTCACCAGTCCAACATGAAGAAGAGGCAGTGTACAATGCTGATTAATTTGAAAAGGTTTGCTGCCTTTATTTCCAGAGACTTAATGTCTGCAGACCAAAGGATTATGTGGTTTGGTCTGTCTTCCCATTAAACTATTGCTGTGAGGTCTAATCAGATTTTAATACAAGGAGACAAGTTAATATTCAGAAACTGCATTTTTCTGCAAGAATTAGGAAATTTTCTGACAACACAGTTTTAAATTGCAAAGACTCTTCACCATTTCTCTTTATTTTAATTATTAAACACTTTCCGTTCAGTACAAATACAAAGATGGATACCGCAAACAATTGGGCCATCATATTGGAGCACGCAACATTGAGGATGACCCCAAAATGATGTGGTCCATCCATGCGGCCAAGATCCAGAGTGACAGGGAGTACAAGAAGGACTTTGAGAAGTGGAAGACCAAGTACAGCAGCCCAGTGGACATGCTGGGGTTGGTGCTGGCCAAGAAGTGCCAGACCCTCGTAAGTGACATAGACTACAAGCACCACCTGCACCAGTGGACGTGTCTGCCCGACCAGAACGATGTCATCCATGCTCGGCAGGCCTATGACCTCCAGAGCGATGTGAGTACTGAGCTCTGTGGTAACCATGCTTATGGTGGCAATACATAGTAACACCTGGGCAATGGTCTTGAACTAGATAGGACCTCCAGAAAGATGATGTCTCTGGTCTCCATTGCTAATTTTTAAAAAATATCCTTTACTTTTTAAAAAGAGAGAACCTAATAATACCATGAGCCTTCATATTTTATTTTTTAATTTTTTCCATTAAGTTTATTGGTACATTTTAGGTATACAGTACAATTATATTCATCATTGGGATCTTGTTCCTTTAAATGATATATTTTGGTTCTTATTTTTTCCCCATCCCCTACTCTTCCTTCACCCCCTCCAGCCTTTCGTATTTACAAAGACTTTGTTTCCATGTTTTTCCATTTCTCATATTTTTTTCTTTTCCCTCCTTTCCTTTCCTGAACTCCTCCCACTTCCTCTACTCCTTTAGACATTTTCTTCCTATTTCACAAAATCAATTATACATTTCACCCTCATTTACAATTTTAGTTTTTCACACCAGAGAAAATATTTGATATTTACACATGTGTCCTATTAATTTCAGCTAGAGTATGGCCTCAATATGCATGCACTTAGCTATAAATGTCTCTAGTTTCTCATTCTTTATGGCTGAGTAGTACTCCATTTTATTAAAAAAATATACATCTTTCTCCAGTCTTGAGTTGATGGGCAATTGGGCGGTTTCGAAGTTTTAACTATTGCAAACTGTGCTGCTATAAACATGGATGTGCGCATATCACTGAGGTACGATTCTTTTAATTCTTTTGGGAAGATACCCAGCAGAGGAATAGCTGAGTCAAATGTGACTTCCAATCCTAGTTGTTAAAGGTATATCAATATTGATTTCCATAGTGGTTGCACCAGTCTGCACTCCCACCAACGATGAAGAAGGGTTCCTTTCTCCCCACAACCCCACCAACATTTATTATTGGTTGATTTCTTGATAGCAGCCATTCTTTGTGGGGTGAGGTAATTTTATTTGCTCTGTTACTTTTTTCTTTTTCTCAGAAATGTCTGTTCATTTCAGATGCCCATTTTTGGATTGGGTCTTCATATTGGGGGGAGGTCTGATTTTTTTGAGTTCTTTATAGACCATTGTCTGAGGAACAACTGTTGAAAGTTTAGCTCTGTTGGTGGTTTCTCTTGCAGTGTAGAAACTTTTTAAAAAGATGAGATCCCTGTTGTTGATTCTTTGTGCTTGTTCTTGTGCTACTGTGGATTTGTTCAGAAAGTCTTTTCCAATGCCAATGTATTTGAGAATTGTACCTAACTTATCTTCCAGCAAGTGTAGTGTCTCTGTTTAATAATTATATCTTTAATCCACTTGGACTTTAGTTCAGTTTATAATGAATGAAAAGCGTCTAGCTTTAATCTTTGGCAGGTTGAAATCCAGTTTTTCCAACACATTTATTAAAGAGGCTTTCTTTCCTCTAGCGAGGATGGTTGGCTCCTTTGTCAAAGATGAGGTAGCTAAGTGTGTCTAGAGTTGTTTCTGCATCCTCAGATCTATTCCACTGATCCTCAGGTCTGTTTCTTTGCCAGTACCATGCTTTTGTTTTTATCACAGTGACTTTGTAGTATAGCCTTAAGTTGGGAATTGTGATACCCACTGCCATTTCTCTGTTGCCTAGAATTGCTTTTGCTATCCTTAGCCTTCATATTTCAGAAGACATAGGCACTCCTTTTCCAAAGTTTTCCAGTCTTCATTTTTGAAATTGTGCCATAGGAACTCCAGTATTATTGGCTTTTGTGTTTGATCTCATCAGAATGTTTATAAATCTGATCTGCAATGGCTGAGAGGCATCGGCTGGGTCCCCATCGGGTCAGTGGATGTGGTCAAGTGCAAGAGAGCTGCAGAGATCCTGAGTGATAACATCTACCGCCAGCCTCCAGACAAGCTGAAGTTTACCAGCGTGCCCGATTCTCTGGAACAGGTGCTGGCCAAGAGCAATGCCCTCAACATGAACAAGGTGAGCCTGAACTTGAGGGAAAATAAAACAGTATTATGTGCTATTTAAAAGGCCTATGAATAATTACTTTAGTCTTTTTTTTGGTTTATGCAATTAAATGTTTATCCATTTATTGCAGTATAGAAATTTGATTTAATTCTGTCTTCCTTTGTGTAAGAATTCTAAGTATTTATGGAGAATTTCTGCCTTGATTTGCTTTATGAAATAGCCAGATCAGAATGGACAGCTGGCAAAGTACACTGGTACATGTCTCTAATGCCAGCACTTGGGACGCTGAAGAAGGTGGATCCAGTCTCACCTTTGAAAATTATTGAGACCTTTTCTCATGAGAATGTAGCTCAGTGGTGAAGCACCCCTGTATTTGATCCCTAGCCCCTCCCCCAAAAAAGATTAGGACATTACTTTTGGGTCAGATTATCTGAAATCTGTGAGAGTTACACATTTTTTTGGTGTCAAGCTGGGTTTGTTTGTTTGTTTGTTTGTTTTTGCTTGCTACCTATCTGGTTAAGCACAGAACAAGTAAAACATAGTGTTTATAATATTTATTAAAAGGAAATACGGAGATGGCATCTCCAAATATAATCTAGAGTTAATCAGTAGCATCTAGTAAACAAAGCCATAGGAAATAGTTGTTAATATTATCACAATACACATATGAGTATGTATATTTGCTTGGGAAATAATTGTGCCTTTTTTTAACTGGGACGTGGGTAAAATGGTAACATAAGTACATTTGGTACCATAAACATTTTTTCTTTTTATATGTTAGTGTACATCTATATTTAGTTACAGTGAATAGCCTATAAAATCAAAGAAGTTGAAAACAGTTTTCATAGACAGTACACAGTGCACAGAGCAAGGAGGAGGGCTTTCCATTTTCTCATGATCTTTTCATTGAAAACTCCTGCTTATAAAAGTTATGTTTTTCTGATCATTAACCTTTTATCTTTCACAGCGCTTGTACACAGAAGCCTGGGACAAAGACAAGACCCAAATCCATATTATGCCTGATACACCTGAAATTATGTTGGCAAGACAAAATAAAATAAATTATAGTGTGGTAAGACCAGCTGTTTTATTTTCTTCCTCTGGTCACACTGATTTTTGGTGATGTAGAAACATTAGAATTATGGATTTAATTTTCATGTAAGCCAAGTAGATTAGTTTTGGTTTTTATATTCTTTATCCTTCCTTGAATAGACATATCATTATATTAAAAATAAGTAGATAGAAAGATAAACACAAAAATTTTCCATGTCAGTTGAGAAAAACGCCCTTGCTACCAGTGATTCATGACTGAAACATATTATAACTTAATTAAAAATGAAAAATAATTTTAAAAAATCAAATAGTTATTGCTGTTTTTCAAATTAGGATTTGTTTCAAAATTTGTTCTGCATATTTGTTTTCTTCACTTACCTTATCTGTAAAATGGGATAAAAATCCCTATCTTGAAAACTTCCGTGATGATGAAATGAGGTAAAATATATGTAACGTGCCTACTGTGGAGCCTGGTACAAAACAGCTGCTTAATAGATCTTAATTTATTTCATTTGTCCACAAGTCACCATCAAAATTAGATGGATTTAATATTTACAAAAATTGCAATGAGAATTCTAGAATTTACTCACTTCAAAATTGCCTGAGGCCAGTACAGTTGTCTTTTATAAACTACTTCAGGTCTGCAATCCAGAAATTTCCTGAATAAATAGCTTCATGCTGAATTGCTTTTGTCCATATCTGGCTGATTCAGGAATACCAATTTCTTATATGTTCATGAATATTTATTTTTTAAAAAGAAAGGAATAATTTTCTTCAGTTTGAAAACACCAGGAAATTTGAATAGTGATTCTCAAAACTTGACTGTTTATTATTTTATCCATATTATTTACTTTTGCCCAAAATACAATGTAGTCCTAAAGAAGAGGAACACTTATTTCAAATAATCATGATAAATACAATGAAGCAGAAGTGATTTTGCTCTCTCCAGAATTATAAAACAGCCCAGAGGGCCAGGCTGAATGTTTGGTCTTGGCTTTAGTCACTTGTGAATGCGCAAGTCTCCTGGCCCCAGAGCGCCTCTGTTGGATTAGGTTCTCTCAGAAGATTTGTTTTAACCTAAAGCAGATGGAATGGGTTTCTTTCCCAGCTTGTGATGAAGCTTATAACCTCCCTTTTGTTTATCTGAGGTGAAGTGAGATAGATTTTCTTTTCAAACTGCTGAGAGGCTATCAAGGTGTTTTTTAAATCCAGAAACTTTCAGCTATATTTACTTTCTTTAAAATTGTAAGATTATGTTAATTCCCTCAGAACTGTTTTCTGAAAATTAGATTTCAGAATAACTTATTTGAATTTCTTCTCAAGCCATTAGCAATGGTTTATTCCATTCTTCCCTCCACAAATGTAAAAGAAACAAGCACATCTTTTTTTTTTTCTCTTAGATTCTCATTTAGTTAGTCCAGGGCTCTCTTGGGTAAGAGAGCCAAAACAAAACAAAACACCAAGCTAACTTTAAAACAGACCCTTGGTGATAATGAAACTTGTTTTCTTTGAAGCACTGTATCTTTGCAAATGATGGAAGAATTAAATTTGTTTGGCCTGAAGCAATGAGATAAATCAAGCACAATTTTTCCCACTTATACTATGTAGACATATTCAAGCAGTTACTCTACAATGGAAAATATAATACATGAAGTATTTAATTCTTCAGTTATAAGAAACATTTGTAGAAATATTTTTAAAAAAAGAAACCCTTTGAATTTTATCTCAAAGATATTGTTTATTATATTTACTTTAGCTTTTCCTTACAAAAATCTCATCTTAAAAAGAATATGAACTGTAATATCTTAACAATCCAAGTTACACATTTTCAATAACACTTTTCTAAGATTCTTAAGTAATTTGAATATTAATACTTCTGCATCATATTTAAAATTCAGATGTTAGGCCAGTGTTCTTAATCTAATTTGAGAATGGGACATAATAATAATAAAACAATTAACTTTAATTATTTCGAGCCGGGAGTGGTGGCGCATGCCTGTAATCCCAGCACTTGGGAGGCTGAGGCAGGAGGATCGCTGTGAGTTCAAAACCAGCCTGGGCTACATAGTGAGTTCCAGGTCAGTCTCAACTACATAGTGAGACCCTGTCTCAAAAAACAAAAAACAAACAAACAAAAAAAAACTTTAATTATTTCTATATACTTCTAAAGAATTTTTCCTTACAGTTAAGATTGTGTCTTTACATAGCCTCAACAATGAAAAGTTCACCAAACAGTATAAGATAGAAGAAGGATAAAGCCTTAAGAAATTATGGAATATTGTTTTTCCCTTTAAAACCATAAGTGATTTCTACATCCTTTCCAGAACTACCTACTGATACTATGTCTGCTTTAACCAACTCAATAAATTTCTTACTAGAAGAAAGTAAAAACAAATTAAAGATTAAAATATTAAGCTGTAGCCAGGCGTGGTAGCTCACGCCTGTAATCCTAGCACTCGGGAGGCTGAGGCAGGAGGATCGCTGTGAGTTCGAGACCAGCCTGGGCTACATTGTGAGTTCCAGTTCAGTCTCAACTACATAGTGAGACCCTGTCTCAAAAAACAAACAAAAAACAAAACAAAACAAAAAAATTAAGCTGTACACTTATTTAATTACAAATCATGTAAAGTAAATCATATAACATACCTGACTGTTGTGCAGACTCTACCTGAAAATGACCCTGCCCTCTAAAGCGATGCTCCATCTCCTCTTTCATAGTCACTCTTCTTTCTCTTCAAAATAAGAAAGGCAAAGTTTAAAGGTGGAGAAACTAGACAAAAAAAAGTAACTTGTGCTCTTGAATTATCGATAGAAAAATTACTGTTACAAAGAATATTACTGGGACATTTGGTGAAATTTGAATAATCATTGTATATTAGACGATAATATTGCATTAATATTAAATTTCTGATACTTGATAATTATATTGGGATTAAGCAAAACTATTTATAGGAGATAAATGATGAAACATTTAAAGGTGAAGTTCATGATATATATAATTTTCTCTTAATTGGTTCAATAATTAAAAATAACAATAAGAAAAATATGCACACAATGTATACTCATACACATGTAAACAGAAACAGTTCCAATATGGCAAAAGTTTGAATCAATTGGTTATTTAAGTGTTCATTGTACCATTCTGACAACTTTTATGTATGTTCAATTTTTCAAAATAAGGGAAATATACATTTTAAAAGATTAAAAAATACATTAAAATCTTTTGAATAAATGTAATTATATGTAAAGATTTTACTTGTAAAAGAAGAAAAGAGAATTCCTGGCCCAGTAATTACTGTGACACCAATTTGAAGCATTTAAACAACTCTGGACAGGCATGATGGCCTGTAATCCCAGCACTGTGGAAGGCTAAGACAGGAGGTTTGCAAGATCAAGCCCCACCTGGAGTATTTAGTGATTTAGTAAGACCCTGTCTCAAAATTTTAAAAAGGTCTGAGGATTTATCTTAGTGCAAAGGCCCTGGGTTCTACCTCTATTACTATAAGCAACAAACAAACACATGGTTGGGGATATACTTCAGTGAAAAGGTCCTAGGTTCAATCCCTAGCACTGAAGAGAGACAAATCTTTCAAATAAACAATTTAATTAATTAGTGCCCCCCATCACCAAAATCATTTTCAATCAAGGTACATGAGCTCCAGTAAGTCACAACAATCTCAATAAAAGGACAATACATTTTTACTTCTTATGTTTAAAAATTGCCAAAATGTATATTTTGTTTTGACTTATGAAATACCAACATTCGCAATTGTTTTAAGTTTCATGACATTTTAATTGAGTACAGAATTGGTTAAAATTCTTATAAACAAAGAAACAAAGACTAAAAAAGGCTGATAAAAGGAGAAAGCTAATCACTATTGCAATAGATGCTTTGTCTGATACATGTTTCCCAAGCTGCGCTCCATGGAACATCTGCACTTTGCCTTTCTGTGTGTGTCTGTAGGTGGTAGCTCTCAATTCAAAGGAAGAAACAAATAAATTTTTATCATCTTAGTTATTTTAACTCATAAATCTTTGGTACTTGCCATCTCACATCTGCAATTTCTAGCAATCAATACCAATAAAAGCAAGCAAATAAATATTGACAGGGAAATTCAGAAATAGCAGTTGACTCTTATTTCAATGCTATTTTGATTGTGGACATATTCCCTTACTGATAGTGTTATATATTAGTATGTGATTGCAATGGCTAATAGTAGAATTGTTCCTAAGTCAAATTTGGAGTTAAATAAATAAGTATTTCTAAGTTGTCTCATGAAAAAAGCAAGTTCTGAACAATCTAAACACATTTAGAAATATTGATTTAAAGTATAAAATGTGTAAGGATTTGTATAGTGAGTTATGATTTTAAAACTTGCTGAATATGAAATTTCTATTTAATTTGATAGTTTAGAAAAATAGAAAGTAAGAAGTGGTTCTTATGTACCAGCAAACTTCTATATCAAAATGTAGCCTGCCTTTGACAAAAATGTAGTTTTAGATTGAATGTGAGTTCTATGCCTAACAGCTACTACTTTTTTCCTCAGAGCCTCTATCGCCAGGCCATGGAAGAAGCCAAGAAAGAAGGCTATGACTTACGAAGTGATGCCATCCCCATTGTGGCTGCCAAGGCCTCTCGGGATATTGCCAGTGATGTAAGAGCTGATCTAGTCCTCGGATTGGTTACCCTCAGGCCAACCACATTCTCAGGGAATCACATTACTGGAATAGTGCCAGAAGTCCCCAGTCATTGTGCACCTTAATCACCTCCACTGGACAAACATAAATTTAGGCTGAGACAGGAGGAATAACCTAGATCGTAGTATCATCATACTGTCAAAAATCTACTATGGGATGTGTTTTCTCTCCCTCTTGTCTATTGGTCTTTGCTTAGTAGAAATGAATATGTCACATAAAGTCAGATGGGCATGTATTTAGATACTCCTAAAACCTCATGAGTTCTCCTTGGGATACACTCAAGGCAAAGATGACAGAAAAGAATTAGGCTTAACTGAGTTCATCACACAGGAAGCGGGGGCAGGCATTCGGTAACAGAAAGCCTAAAAGTCTCCTTGCTGTGAGGTCCACCGAATCAGTATTTCCTTACCCTCAAAAGTGACATCAGATTTGTAGCCATCTGAAAAATTTATCCAGAAGTAGAAAAATTATCCATTTTTTAATATTTTCATGGTAAAAAAAATATGTAAAACGTACCATCTTAACTGTTTTCAAGTATACAATCGATAGTGTTCATCCTATTCATATTGTGCATCCAATCTCCATAACATTTTCATTTTGCAAAACTGAACCTCTATACATTAAATAGCAAAACGTGCCCCTTTTTTAAACTACCCTAACTGCATTATTTGTCGAAGGGAAACTATTTCTCACATTCCTCCGAAAAAGATTGTGATGAACCATGTGAACACTTGCCTAGGAGCACTGTCAGGTAGGCTTGTTCACATGACTTCTGAGGTGCTGTCATTCCTTGTCACCATCAGTGGGCTCTCCCTTTGATAGGTATAAAGGAACTGTTGTAGAGTTTTGTGGAGAGGTAGGCGCCAATGACACAACATTCTCTTCAGGAGAAAGCCTACCCTATGTGTAAAATTGCAGTGTCATGTTAAAGAAAACCCCATTTCTGAAAGATTTCACAGAACAGTAGCCCCCACCCGGAAAGAGCATCAGGGAACAGCCCTCATTACCTCCTCCATATGAACTGGGTTCTCTATTTCAGTACAAATACAAAGAAGGCTACCGTAAGCAGTTGGGTCACCACATTGGTGCCCGAGCGATACATGATGACCCCAAGATGATGTGGTGCGTACACGTCGCCAAAATGCAGAGTGACCGCGAGTACAAGAAAGAATTTGAGAAGTACAAGACACGGTACAGCAGCCCAGTGGACATGTTGGGTATTGTTTTAGCCAAGAAGTGTCAAACCTTGGTCAGTGACGTGGATTACAAACATCTTCTGCACGAGTGGACCTGCCTGCCTGACCAGAACGATGTTATTCAGGCACGAAAAGCCTATGACCTCCAGAGTGATGTGAGTATCCTGGCATTGGGTCTGCATGTTAAAAGCAGATCGGGAATGTGGCCATGGGTTGTGATTGTGTCTGTGTACTGAAATCTGTACATTTCAAACAAGATACAGTTGATATCTGAAAGGAGTTCCCCATTGCAAGTACTACAATTTGTTTTATGATTTTTCTTCTCCAAAAGTTATACATAAAAGAAGAAATAAATATTATCAATTCTATGCTGATATGTATCTTCCTAGTGCTCGGAGTTGCCTTTGTTTGAATCAGATGAAACTGGGGCCTCAGAAATTGATCACTATCAATTTTAGGCTGAAGAGAGTAGTGTGGAGAGACTGGGAAGAAAAGTGTACTGTACTAAATTATTTTAATAAATATTCACATTTTACATTTGCTGACAAGAAAATTCTACAATATTCTTGTATTTTGCAAAATCAATCATCTCTTATTAAGCATATCTTATTGAGAGTAAATTAAATGAGTAGGTAAATATCTAATATCTTTATATTAGGTTTCTTTAACACATTTGATATTTTGTAGCTTTTGAAGTTGGAACGGAAGACAGGAGTTTTGTGTTTGCAATACTCATACACCACTGGTCTGAGTGTGTGGTTGTATTTGGAGATGTTAGAGCTCATTTTCAAAGCCTAAAGAAGCCCTGCTTTGGGGTAAACATTTTATAATACTCTCAAAGGAAGACCATGTCTTTTTTTTTTGTACCCCAGGGATTGAGTTTGGGACCTTGCGTTTGCGAGGCAGGTGGTGGAACCACTGAGCCAAATCCCCACCCCAAGACCATGTCTTTTTAAGAATGTTTTTCATCATTATTTGTATAATCTTTTGTGCCAAAAAATGAGCTGAGGAAAAAAAATACACTTGGGATTCAATAATACGTGCAAGTGATTGACTGTGCTGGGACCTTTATCTATTCATCAGAACTTTTTATTCCTCTAGTATGACCCATTTTTTTACTGTAAATCTGAAACACTAACGAATACATTTTTTATCTGCTGATCTTCAGAATATTTATAAGTCAGACCTTGAGTGGATGAAAGGCATTGGCTGGGTACCAATAGGTTCCGTGGAAGTTCTTAAAGCCAAAAGAGCCACAGAGATACTGAGTGATAATATCTACCGCCAGCGTCCAGATGCACTAAAGTTCACCAGTGTTACCGACTCTCCAGAGCAGGTGTTGGCGAAGAATAATGCGATAAACATGAATAAGGTGAGTCTTCAGTCCTTACTGTTAGCTATCAGAAGTTATCATGGAACAGGGGAAGGGTACTCATTATTACATTTCAATAATTACTGTAAGATTTATGATACCTTCTTAAAATGATTTTTCTACCATAATACCAAGTTACTTAGTGCTACTTCAAAATATTAAACCTGTGTTAAAAATACTATGCTGTGGGCCGGGATTTAGCTCAGTGGTGCTGCCATGAATCCATAATTCTTTAACAATTAAAGAATTAAATTTTTGAAGGATTTTAATAAAAGGTGAACCAAGCATGGTGGCCCACATCTGTAGTTCCATGATTCTGGGGGTCTGAGAGAGAAAGATTGAAAGACTGCCCAACCTGGGCAACTGAAGATAACTTAGTGAGATAACAATTTAAAATAACTTGTGTCTCAAAATGAAAAATGAATAAAGGCTGAGGAGGTAACTCAACTTAGAGACCCTGGGTTCAATCTCCAATACTGGAAATAAAAGGAATTTATAGAGATTTAATAATTTATTTCTACATTATATACAATAGAAATGACTGGCATATAATCAAAAGGAAAAATGCCTGTGAACACCGACAGAGGTTTTTTTCATTTCTTAATAGCGCTTATATATTGAAGCCTGGGAAAATGACAAGAAAACAATCCACGTCATGCCTGACACACCAGAAATCATGCTAGCCAAACTCAACCGAATAAACTACAGTGACGTGAGTAAACTGTCCCTCTTGCAATGAATAGAAGGGCGAAAGCACACTGCTGCAACTGTTTCCTCCAGGAGATGTCTTGACTAATTCATTATGCAGATAGTGTCAGGAAAAGAGTTCTCTCTCCATTCAGTTTTTGGGCCATGTGCTGAGTCCACAGAGGAGCCCAGTGTTCTGTTACAGGCTCACAGGGGAGTGCAGATGGAAAGCTATCCTGGTAGTAACTGCATACTTAGAGCCTTCCCCTGTGGGCCTTCACATCTGGCCCTCCATATCTGTGGGTTCCACATCTGCAGAGTCAATCCACCATGGATCAAAAAGGTTTTATTTAATAATTACATCGGTACCTAATATAGATAGGCATTTTTCTTACAATTATTCTCCACGCCATAGCGTATAACAACTACTTATGTAGTATTTACATTGCATTAAATATTATATGTAATCTAGAGATAAAGTACATAGGAGAAAGCACATAGGTTATATACAAATCTGTGCCATTTGAGGTAGGGGGGCTTCAGCCTCAAAGAATTTTGGTACTGGGTCAGGGAAGAGATTCCTGGAACAAATCCCTCCTGTATACTGAGGTCCAACTATATTTTATTCAACCACTCTAATGGACAGGCATGAAATTATAACTCAGTAGTTATTATGCCTGGTATTATTTTGCTGCTTCAGTGTGTGCTGGTATAATTCAGTGTTGTTTCAAGCACTTTGTAATCCCTTTTATTAGAAACAATCTTTTCATAAGAGAAATGAGCCCAGAACCCATGGTCCTTGATGATAGTTCACAGCAAAGTGAGAAAAAATAAGGACAATTCACTATGTTTTTTATGAAATCAAATATATTCCATTTTTAACACCTTTCTTGTTCTTTTCCTTCTTTAGCTTTAAGATGGACTTTCTTTTTATGGTATGGTGGCAATGGTAAATAGTTACTTTTTACATGTGCTTGTTTGGCAAAATAAAAATTTTTCAATGAAATACCGATTTCCTCCAAATTCTTGAAATTTACTAGTCAACAAAATCTGAAAATTTAGAACACATGCTTTAACATCAGTGAGCACCATGAGGCATAATTACTTAGAAACCCACCTGAATTCTTGATTTTGCAAACATGTGTCAGTAGTTTGAGGCTGGGGAAAATTTAACAGCAACAACAAGCACAAACCAATTTCAATTTTTATGAAAGGAGTGATGACTAATGACTCTCTTTTCCACAGAAACTCTATAAACTTGCTTTGGAAGAGTCCAAGAAGGAGGGCTATGACTTGCGCCTGGACGCTATTCCAATCCAAGCTGCCAAGGCTTCAAGAGACATTGCCAGTGATGTAAGTTGATATTTTTGAAAGAAGCCTTTCTTACCCAAAGGTACTGACAAATGGAAGTTATCTGAGTTTTTCTCACCAGAACTTTAGTTATCCCTATAAGTCTCAATTCCTTTTAGTGATTCCCTCATATACAAAGTTGTAAATTTTTTTAAAAGAAAAGGAAGAATACTCTGGTTTCTCTTCAGATCACATAAATCTTTCACCTTTTAAAAGAAAAAGAAGAAAGGAAGGCATTAAATGTTATGTCCATAATACCTGTTAACCAGTCAAATATAAATACATGTCTTAAAAAATAAATCTTTTAGCTGGGCATGGTGGCACAAGCCTGAAATATCAACATTTAGAAGGTAGAAGCAGGAGGATTATGAGTTTGAGGCCAGCCTGGACTGCACAGCGAGTTCAAGGACAACCTGAATTTACATAGACCGTGTTTCAAAAAAACAACAACAGCAGCAAACCTGCTTTATTTTTGAGCTTCAGAATTTATTTTGAGCACTGTCTAGCCCACATGTTTATGAGATTAAACACATTGATACCACAGCTAAATCAACTAATACAAATGGGAAGTCTTTTTTACTAAATCTGGAAGACAAGATAATGGATGTGTTTTATCCTTTGTAACTATCAGAGTTTCTCTTACTAAGAGGTCCCTTACAGGACACAAGAGCAAACTGAAGTAACTAAAGATCTTTCTTAGCACCCGCTTGCCTCGTCTCTACTTTTCCTCACATGAGAAAGACCTCCTGAGGGTGTCCGTGTCAGAAATGTGTACCCGGTTTCCTAAGGACACAAATCCAGACTTCTATACGGATCCCCTGCCTCAGAATTCTGCTTCATGCCTTCTGTTATCAAACCGTTTTCCCACTGTCACTGGAGAATCCCATGTTATTGACTGCATCATGGTAAAAGAACCATGATTTAATGTTGTTCTTGAGGGTTTTTATTTTCTTTTTCGTTCAGTTTATTGGTACTTTTTAAGTATACAGTACAGTTACATTCATAATTGGGATCTTGTACCTTTACATGTTAGATCTTGGTTCTCAGTTTTTCCCATACCTCTGCCCTCCCTTTACCCTTTCCACCCTCCCCTATTTACAAAAACTTTGTTTCCATTTTTACCTTTTCTCGTAATTTTTCATGTCCCTTATTTCCTTTCCCCTACCCTTCCCACTTCCCCTACACCTTTAGCCCTTTTCTTCATATTTCACACTCTCAGTTATACCATTTGAATATTATTTACACTTTTAGTTTTTCATACCAGAGAAACTATTCAGTATTTACACATGCGTGTCTTATTGTTCTTGAGTTTTATTTTGGTACCGGGAATCAAACTTGGGTCCTTGTGCTTGCAAGGCAGGTGGCAGAACCACTGAGCTAAATCCCTGGCTGACTGTTCTTGAGTTTTAAAAGTAGATAGAATCTTAACCCAAAGGAACGACTCTTCCCTGTATAAAGTTCGGTGATGCTGAGTGAGGTTATTTCCTTGTGACACATTAAACTCTACCTAAATGTAACACATATCCTTAATTGGGGAATTCATTAAAAATTCTAACCACAGAGAGCTGGGTATGGTGGTACATACCTGTAATTCCAGAACTCTGAGAGATAGAGGCAGGAGGATTGAAAATTTGAGTCCGATGCTTGGGTGATTTAGTGAAAGTTGTTTCAACATAAAAAATTTAAAAAAGGCTGGGAATTTAGCTCATTGTGAAGGCCCTGGGTTAAATCCCCAGGACTGGGGTGACGGGGAGGAAATCTAATAACAAGGGAAATATTTTAAAGTAGTCTTAATGTCAAACGTTTTTAGAAACAATGACCATGTCTTTAAGTGGATGCTCCACTAGATTGCATAGATGTTTTACTTTTACTTGTTCAGGAATCAGATGTATGCTAGGCAATGTAGTTTAAGAAAGGGAAAATAATTTTGGGCCAAGAAGCTCTGTAGTCTCAATCCTGTCACCTACTTGTAATATGATCTTCAGGCTTCTGTTTCACAAGATGTTGTTGGCATTCACTTTTCTCCTTCATGACAGTAGTGGGGAAAATTAAAAACAAATAGTGTGTGTCCTTCTAATTAGACTCCCATTCCTTTTCTTTCTTCAGTACAAGTACAAGGAAGGCTACCGCAAACAGCTTGGCCACCATATTGGAGCACGGAACATTGAGGATGACCCCAAGATGATGTGGTCCATCCATGCGGCCAAGATCCAGAGTGACAGGGAGTACAAGAAGGACTTTGAGAAGTGGAAGACCAAGTTCAGCAGCCCAGTGGACATGCTGGGGGTGGTGCTGGCCAAGAAGTGCCAGATCCTCGTAAGCGACATAGACTACAAGCATCCGCTACATGAGTGGACGTGCCTGCCAGATCAGAATGATGTCATTCAGGCTCGGAAAGCTTATGACCTGCAGAGTGATGTGAGTGGGTTAACATTCTCCAGTTAGCTGTTTGAAGGCCTTAAAACGGGGATTTTAAATTTTTTGTCATGGAATCTTTTGGAAGAGTGATAAAACCTATGAACACTTTCCCAGGACAGTGTCATGAAGTAAATAAGTTAGCATTAAAAGAAACCATTGGGGGCCGGAGATTTAGCTCAGTGGTTCGGTGGCCTGCCTTGCAAGCGCAAGGACCCGAGTTCAATCCCTGGTACCAAAAAAAAAAAAAAGAAAAGAAATCATTGACATACGATTGTGAAAATGTTGTCAAATCTGTGATGTAATACTATAATAATATACATGCTTTTAATTAACATTAAATAATGGCAACCACAAGTATAATAACTAGGTATGCAGTATGATGACTAATTTTCAAAGAAGTAATGGACATAAATATCTTAAGATATATGCAAAAACTAACAATACATGAAATACTTGTGATGTCTATTGCTTACAAAGTCATATGTGTCAGGCTGGGAATTTAGCTCAGTGGCACCACGCCTGCCTCACAAACACAAGGTCCTGAGTTTGATCCCTGGTACCAAAAAGAAGTCATGTGTTGCTTACAAAGTCACATTTAGTGTTACTACAACTATGATCTATTGCCTATACTTTTACTTAACGAAAAGCCATATTTCAGTTGATAGTTAATAAGCAAAGGATGCGCTCCCATTTCTAAGTTCTCTGGTGTCAGGTTAAGGATTTCTGGTTTAAAGCAAGCTGATTTTTCAAATGAATTGATGTCATCATTTACTGACTTCTATTTCTTAACTTATAGGAAGTATCTATTACAACTTGTGAATGATAGTTTAGAAATGAATTATACGTATTTTGATAATTTTTCTAGGAATTAAAAAACAACTGCTACTCAGAAATTTGTTAGGTGCTCTTTTGCTCTTCTGAAGACTGAATCCATGTTCTTTGTACTGAGCTCTACAGCTCTAGTTCAACAGGGTCTCTAAATCTCTAAGTTGTCTGTGCTGGGCTCAAATTAGCAACCCTCCTGCCTCAGGCTCTCAGAGTGCTGAGGTTACAGGTGGCACCACTGTGCCTGGCTGTTGGGCACATTTTTATTTCTTTGTTTTGTTTCTTTCAGCCAGTAGATTGTTGTTTGTGGACACAAATACCTTATTGGTACTGTAGCTCCTACTTTAATCAGGCTCTGACTAAGCAGTAACTTTTGGAAGAATGACAAGCGGTAGAATTTTTTTTAATTTCAAAAAGTCATAAAAATAAAAAGAATTGTTACCCTTGCTTACAAGAAAAATTCTATAGCTAATTATTTAAATTCAAGGAAAAAATGAAAAGATAAAAATTATCATTTTTACTTAAATTTTAAGACAAGAAAAGGGACATGAGATAAATAAGAGTAAGAAGATATGAGTTCTTTGACTTACAATCATATGAATAAAGATGCCATTTTTCTTGTCTCCGGAAAACATTAATTCACAGGTGGCCAAGTGGTAGTGTACATCCCTTGTATAAAACACATGAGTGGTTGTGAAGGCCACTGCTCAATAAGGGAGGCACCACATTCTAAGACAGTGTTACTCCCATGCACAGAGGCTTGGGCAGTCAAATCAGAGAATAAATAGGAGACAGGCAGTAATTCCCTCCAAGTGGTTTTGTATCACTGAAATCACATATTATTAGATAGATTTTTGTGGGCCTTTAAAATAGCAAGTACTGTCTTCCCTCACAGATAAGGTATTTGACCCACCATTCTACCTTCCTTGAAATTTATATAAATAAGTTTCAGTATGTGTTAAGATCAGAATGAATAGGTAATGTCTATAAATATTCGACATTATTTCATTTTCAGGCTATTTACAAGGCGGACCTTGAGTGGCTGAGAGGCATTGGATGGGTTCCCATTGGCTCTGTGGAGGTTGAGAAGGTTAAGAGAGCTGGAGAAATCCTGAGTGACAGGAAGTACCGTCAGCCTGCAGACCAGCTCAAATTCACGTGCATTGCAGACACCCCAGAAATTGTCCTGGCAAAGAACAACACCCTCACAATAAGCAAGGTGAGTCCTCAGCTGTTTCTCATTGTCAGAGGCATACCTGCCATGGGCTCATCTTGTAAAGTGAAAACTACTCTGACAGGTCTCCACAGAAAGGAAATGGGATGCGCCTGATCCTCCTGCAGGCCTGCCGCAGAGCATCTGCTTGAATTGTCGTTGGCTGTTTGTTCTCTTCTCAACACAGGCCTCTAATTCTCCCTGTGCAAGTGAAAACATAGCCTGGCACCTGATCCCTAGAGTAACACAAACTAACACACACACACACACACACACGCATGCACGCACACACACACACCCTCCTGAGCCATCAGCCCCACCCTGAGATATCAGCATTTCCTTCTTTATACAGAGCCTACCCAGTCTGTTAGTTTTTCTCTGTCCACACGACACACAGCATTTCATGGCAGTAGAATTTCATAGCTCACAATAGGACTCTGATTTGCTCTCTTAGGCTGTGGAAATCCAAATCTGAAGGAAAGCTGCTCTTGTTGCTTTCAGTTTTATTACACAAATAAATGATCACTTTTTTTCCATCAGAATTCTATCCATCTGCTTATCCTTTAGGCAGTGAGTAGGCTCTTACTGTTCACACCGTAGACTGAACTGAACTGAATTCTCCCACCTCTACCCAAAAATCTTCATATCATTCAGGTAGTGAAATTGATTGCTAAGGCAGAATAGCAAATATCTGCTCTCAGATAGCAAACTCCAGAGTTTGGTATATATAATATCATTCTCACCAACAATCATCACAAAGGTAACAACAATAGAAAACAAATCCTTCAAAAAAGCACAAAAGACTTCCTATGGCTCAGGTATTTTACATATTACAGTAATTAAAAATATTCAATACAAAAGATATGATTATCACCCATTTAGAAATGAGGAACGTGAGGAGTTATATATCTTTCTCAAGATCACTTGGCTTGGAAATAATTTGAACTTGAGATTGACTGCTAGAGATTTCTACTGTAATCAAGCTCCATCTTTAGACATCCCAAGAGTAATTTTGTGACTCACTGGATGAAATAAATTAATAATTAGACCATCATATTGCTTCATATTAGCTATGAAAATATTGTATAGCTGTTTGAATATTGCCTTGTTTTATTCTCCACTCCCCTTTTGCTTCTCTCTCCTCCAAGTAACCCTAAAAGGAACTGTTTTATAATTAAATGTGAGTTAAATTTGAAAATAACTGCCAACATGGATGGCTTTAATAAAGGAGTTTATTCCTCCCTACCCTCCATAGCATTTGTACACAGAAGCTTGGGATGCTGACAAAACCTCTATCCACGTGATGCCAGACACTCCAGAAATTCTGCTGGCCAAGAGCAATTCTGCCAACATTAGTCAAGTAAGAGACTTTCTGGTTGTTTAAGCTTTGCTAGAAGTCATTAAAATGTTTCTTCCACTTTGAAAATTCCTTCTTTGGCGCTGGCCTACTAAATTTTCTAAAACAATTTTGTTTTCTATTGTGTTCTATCCTCTGCTTAGAAACTTTATACCAAAGGATGGGACGAGTCAAAGATGAAGGACTATGATCTGAGACAAGATGCTATTTCCATCAAAAGCGCCAAGGCCTCCAGGGATATTGCCAGTGATGTAAGTGCTTGTCTACTCCCTTGGTCTCCACAGTGTTAAGCAAACTGATGAGCCACACTTGCAGTTGCTTCCTCATGTACTCCCCAGCCTTGCTTCCTACCTTGCAAGAATTTTCCCTTGGTTATCACAGAGAATAAAATACAGTTTTTTAATTAGAGTTGCTGTAAGGAAAGGTCCCCACCAATGAAGGATATAATTATAGTCATTTTTATGATAATATGAATATATATAAAGAGACTCATATATATATATATATATATATATATATACATACACATTTGTTCAGAAAGGTTAAAACGTTTGAGGTATGAAATTGTTGCTTGTAATTGTCAGCACGAGCATCACCCTAAAACTGTATATCTAAGCCTATATTTCTGTCATTTTAGTATAAATACAAGGAAGCATATGAGAAACAGAAAGGCCACCACATCGGAGCTCAAAGCATTGAAGATGATCCTAGGATTATGTGTGCCATACATGCAGGGAAGATCCACAGTGACAGGGAATACAAGAAGGAATTCCAGAAGTGGAAGACCAAGTTCAGTAGCCCAGTGGACATGTTGGGAATCTTGCTGGCCAAGAAATGTCAGACTTTGGTCAGTGATATTGATTATCGCAACTACCTGCATCACTGGACGTGCTTACCTGACCAAAATGATGTTATCCAAGCAAAGAAGGCCTATGATCTGCAGAGTAATGTATGTACCATGAATGGTGGAAAGGCATAGATATGTTCATTTTCCAATCAGTTCCTTTGAGGGCATACCCATATATCTGCATAACCCAGATGGGGGGACACTATTCACTTTATTCAGTACAAAGCCATATTTAGAGTTATATCACAGGAAGCAAAATACAGAGATGAAGAGCCCTACTGAGGTCGTGTCCTTTACTTCCTGGCCTTGATTCCAAACTGTTTTCTTTATGTCATTTGTAATTTCTAGCACTGAGAATATAAAACATGTAAGTTTTAAAAATAACTGCCATTGCTTTGCTAGATCTAAAACACTGCACACTATTTCATTGGTTCAGTTATTACAAGATTAAAATGGACTGAAATTCAACAAAATTTCTCTAAATTTTTTGCAAGTATGTAATTTTTTGGAATATCAAATAATCATATGGTATTCATTATTAATGTTATTTATTGTTACTCATAGCTAATATAAATAATTATGCTTCTACAAATTACTTTTGCCATCAATATTAAAAATTTCAAGTCATATAAGATCTTAGGTCTTACTGTCTTACTATCTTCAATACTTATTATCCCTTCAACCCCAAGCACTTTATTTTGCAGTTTAGGAATAAGATACCTAACATGTGGAGCAACGCTTTTTTCTAACACCCTTGCAGAATGTGTACAAAGCAGACCTAGAATGGCTGCGTGGCATTGGCTGGATGCCAGAAGGCTCTGTAGAAATGACCAGAGTCAAGAATGCTCAGGATCTGGTGAATGAAAGGCTGTACAAGACCCCACGAGAAGCCTTGAAATTCACCTGCATTGTGGACACTCCGGAAATTGTCCTGGCCAAAGCCAACTCTCTGCAAATGAGTGAAGTAAGGACTAGCTGCCTAACAAGCTTTTGTTTTCCTGGATATGATATGTGACATAATACTCATAATAAATGTTATAACGTTGTATGGGTGTGGATTTCTTAGAAAAACAGATTCATTAGAATGTACAAATGATCAAAAATACAGTGAATGTTTAAATTATTAAAAATTCATTATAGTAAAAGACACATTGCAGCTGGGCATGCTGGTGCACACCTGCAATCCCAGCACTCGGGAGGCTGAGGCAGGAGGATCACTGTGAGTTTGAGACCAGCCTGGGCTACAGAGTCAGTTCCAGGTCAGTCTCAACTACATAGTGAGACCCTGTCTCCAAAAAACAAAGACACACTGCAGTTAGTCCTCTTCATCACATCCTTCTTGCCACTTTCTGAAGCAGTTCTGAAAGTCTCTCGTGAGTGTCTTTCCAAGGTGTGATCAGTAGTTGCTGCTACTGAGCACCAACCAATGGAAAGGTAGGCTTGTAAAAATGGTACTATATGTCCTCGTCCACCTTATCACTGCATCTGACACTTCAACTTCTAGCTCTTCCACAAAGTCAAAATGACCATAAATGGTAACTGTTTTGAATCTATTCCAATCACGAGGCAGTCACAACTGTGCAACACTCACAAAAGCGGACTTCCACAACTGCTTCAGATAGTGGCAGGAAGGATGAGATAAGCATGTTCGAAGCAAGGAGATGAGAGTGTTCATCAAAGGCAGTGTGTGTTTTGCTGTAATAAATTCTTTTAAATGTATACATTCATTGTATGTCTTAGTCATACTGTATATATAAATAGAAAGAGGGAGAGGGAGAGAGACTGAGATTTGAAGGAATTGATTCATGTAATTGCTCAGCCTGGTAAGTAAAAAATCTGCAAGGTCGGCCAGCAGAAACCAAGGGAAGAGCTTCAAACTCAAAATCTGCCTGCTAGCAGAATTCTTTCTTGGCTTGGAGAGGTCAGGGATTAGGGTTTTCAACTGATTTGATGTTGTGCTCCCACTTTGGGGAGTACTTTGCTTTATGACTATGATGTAAGTGTTAATTGCATCTGAAAAGTAACTTAACAGAAACATTCAGAATAATGTTTAACCAAATATCTGTGCGCCATTGGCTAACCAAATTAATAAGCATATATAGGGAATTTTTTTCCAGATACAGCAATTGCTAAGGCTTAATGTTTCAAATAGTCATTCTCTATCACTGAATTAAAGTTACAATTTCCTTCTCTCTACAGAAGCTGTATCAAGAAGCCTGGAACAAAGATAAAACCAACATCTCCATCCCTTCAGATACTCCAGTCATGCTGCAGGCCCATATCAATGCCTTGCAAATCAGCAATGTAAGAGACATAAAGATGTAGTGCCTGAATGGGACCGTACTTGTCAGTATCTGCCAGAGTTAGGAGTATGGGACAGTGGACACGTTACCTTAGAAATGTTCATGGTTTTTTGTGTTATGCTTTTTTTAGCTATCATTCCCAAAGCAAATCCATAGAAATGTTTTTTCTTTCAAATGTTAGCAAAGACATACACCTAAGCGCCTAGACTATGGAAGTTGGGAGATGAGAATCCTTTGGCGTTTTCCTTCCAACCTTTTTTTTTTTCAACACTAGGAATTGAACCCAGGATCTCATATTGTATACTAAGCAAATGCTCTATTACTGAGCTATATCCCCAGACCTTTTTTTATTTTATTTTGAGACAGGATCTTGCTATGTTGCAAATCTGATTTACAGTTTGCAATCCTCCTGCCTCAGCTTCCTGAGATGCTGGAATCACCAACAAATGCCACCATGCCGAGCTTCCTTACAACTTTGAAGTCATCTCCCTCCCTGAATCCAATGTCTATGGCTCAGTTCCTTCTTTATGACCTGGGAGTAATGAAACCCTAATGAAACTCCTCTGGCTTTCATCCTGTCCCTTGTTTGTTTGTTCTGTTTTATTTTGGTCTTTTGATTGACTAAGGACTTTCTTGAAAAGGAAGCCATATAAAAGACAAAAGACAATTTTAATTATATTCAAATAATAGAGTGATATACATGATACCTGTGTTACATTCCTTTTTTTTTTTTTTTTTTTTTTTTTTTTTTTTTTTGGTTTTTGAGACAGGGTCTCACTATGTAGTGAGACTGACCTGGAACTCACTATGTAGCTCAGGCTGGTCTTGAACTCACAGCTATCCTCCTGCCTCAGCCTCCCGAGTGCTAGGATTATAGGCGTGCGCCACCACGCCTGTCTGGCTCTGTGTTACATTCCTTTAACAAAAAACCATGGTTGGTCAAAGATCAAAATTAGGAAAAATCTCAGATTTTCTCTTGTACCTTGATGAAGGATCTATGGCTTTATCATAGATTCTTAGTTTCTGTGTGCTGTGTAGTGAAATATTTTTAAATGTACACCATATTGTGATGAATATAAATATTCAAAAATTAATAGTTATATTAGTTTAAAATTGTAATCTAAAGTATTCTATACTTTATAAAGAGCCAATAATAAAAAGAACTCAGAAATGAATTTTTTCTGTATGTTTCCTTCTTAACATTATGGATCATGATTTATATTATGACTACCTTGAATATATTTGCTTGTTCTCAATTCTTATAAGCAAACCCATGCTTTCCCACAATAGAAACTGTACCAGAAAGACTGGGATGAAGCCAAGCAGAAAGGCTATGACTTAAGAGCTGACGCCATTGAAATCAAACACGCCAAAGCCTCCAGAGAAATTGCTAGTGAGGTAACTTCCTGTTATTTTCTTTTTCCTCTATGAAGCAAATAGGGCAACTATTTTTCAAGAATTTTGATTTTTAAATCTGTGCAACAGTTGCATTTTGTCTTGTGCTCAAGTCTTTCTGTACTTAAAAATATGAAAATAAGATAACATTGTATGGATCAAGATTCCTTGGAAACATAGACCCACCGGGGATTTAGCTCAGTGGTTCTGCTGCCTGCCTCACAAGCACAAGGACCCGAGTTTGATCCTCAGTACCACAAAAAATAAAGAAAAGAAAAGAAACACAGCCCCAATAGGATGTATGTAAATAATGTTTGCATTGTTTCTCAGTAAAAAATAAAATATCACAAAGAATCCTTATGAAAAAATTTGAAAAAGTCAATAATCAATATATCATTTTGTTCCCCAGCTTCATCTATATATATATATAGATACAGTTTTATATCTGTTAAGACTTATGACTGAACTCATGCCTTACATAAAATATCACTTTATAGTGAAAGCTTACATGGAATATTTTTAGTAATATTTTCAAGTTCATTTAACTTTTTTTTTTTTTTTTTTTTTTTTTTTTTTTGATACTGGGATCCAACTCAGGACCTTGCGCTTGTGAGGCAGGCGCTGTGCCACTGAGCTACATTCCTGGCCCAATTTAACACTAACTTTGCAACTTATTAATCATCAAAATTATTATCCTGCCAAGCTTACCCCTACTCCTAGCTGAAAATCTTTAAGCCATTTTTTTTCCTTTTTCTGGCTCCTCTTTATTTTTATCTCATGTATCCAGATGTTTCCTTCTTGTAAGTCTTCATTTTGATCTGTAATAATCAGTAACCAGTAACGATTACTGGTATGCAGTGACCTCTTCAATCCTAGTTTTCTCTCTACACTGTCCATCCAGACTTTCCTATGTTGTCCAAACATAGGAAAGAAAAAGACACCATCTTACTCCAGTCTTAAGATGCCCATCAGATGGAAACTCTTGTCCACAGACAGTTTTCTGTCTTCTGATTTTACTTTTCTGTCCCGAAATGTACATATTTCTTTTCTGTTTCTAACACTATACCTGTGAATTTTTCCTACTTGTGGTACCTTCAATACTCATGGGAGACCATCTGGCCTAAAATTCCAGTAGCTAGGCAACCTTGGTTATCTTCACCATGCTTTACTTCTTCCATCTGAAACATGGGATAACAATAGTACCTACCTCATACACACACTATGAGAATGAACTATGATTATAATTGCTGCTATTCAACTATTTTTGAATGAAAAACGCAGTTTCATATGAATTAACCCTAACATATTTGAAGCTTTCCTAATAGTTTATAGCATAGAGTGATTGCTCAGTAAATGTTAGCTATTAGTTTTTTATTATTTTTGTTCTCCATACTATTTTCTTCTTGATTTACTCATTTCTTAAAAAAAAAAAAAAAAAAATACCTAAAACAGTCGTCATTTCCTTAAAGTGAGCTGAAATATATAAAGACAACTAGTGTTGAGCTAATTTATATTAAGGTCATGAAATGTCCTGAAATCATTTAAAGAAAAATCATGTATCTTTCTGTGTCTTTTTATCTGTTTTTCACAACTTTAGTACAAATACAAGGAAGGCTACCGCAAGCAACTAGGCCACCACGTGGGTTTCCGCACCTTACAAGATGACCCTAAATTGGTATGGTCTATACATGCTGCCAAGATCCAGAGTGACAGAGAGTACAAGAAAGCTTATGAGAAGTCTAAAGGAATTTACAACACACCTTTGGACATGATGTCAATTGTTCAAGCCAAGAAATGCCAGGTCCTGGTTAGCGACATTGATTATCGCAATTATCTGCACCAGTGGACATGCCTACCAGATCAAAATGATGTGATCCAGGCTAAGAAAGCCTACGAACTGCAGAGCGATGTGCGTATTTTCTGTCATCAGACTCTAGAGAGATGTTCATATGTTGAATCACAGTGTATTCTCCAGAAGTATAATTTAAATGATAATCTTTTTTTTTTTTGGTACTTGGGATTGAACTTGGGTCCCTGTGCTTGTGAGGCAGGTGGCAGAACCACTGAGCTAAACCTCCGGCCCTTAAAGGATAATCTTAACAGAACCTTATATAGTCTTCTGTACAATTCATGGCAGTATAGAATTTTTAAAATATTTTCTACCTCACAAAGATTCTTATGGTGGCAGAACCTTATTCACCAAGATGAAAATCGGTCTCTTATTCTATGTAATTAGATGTTTTCAGTCCCAGCTGTTGTGATTCATTATTTTTTCATCATCAATGTTTACATTTCAAAAATAGGCATAAATATAAGGAAATACTGATTTCAAATTTATCTCACACAGAAAGATAAATATAGAAGAAGTATGTATTTTTTCTTATTACATGTACATCTAAGGATTTCTCTCTCAAATTCCTACAGATCTTATTCCCAGTGGCTCATGAAAGGCAGACTTCAAATGGTGAGCACAGGAGCTCAATCTAATCTAAAAACTAAATTATGTACCATTGCTGTCTGTCATTCCACCAAATGCCACTTGTGATCCCTGGTCCAATTCCCATAGGATATTGTGAATTTCTGGAGATGTGTGTTGGAAACATAAAACCCAAATACCGACATTTCATGTCATCCTTGAATTACATTGATTGGCCACCCAGCTGTTTTAAGTAAAGATGGTGTGTGGTTAGCAAACATCAAACTCTGTGGACAAATTTGATTCTTCTCCACTGTTTGTTCCTTTCTGCCACGTAGAACGTATACAAATCAGACTTGGAATGGATGAAGGGTATCGGATGGTTGACAGAGGGTTCTGTGGATGTTCTGAGAGTGAAGAATGCTCAAAATCTTTTGAATGAAAGACTGTATCGTATAAGACCAGAGGCTCTCAAATTCACCAGCATTGTTGATACACCTGAAGTGGTCCTGGCAAAGACCAATGCTCTACAGATCAGTGAGGTAAGCTGGGTTGGTGACATTGTCAGAAAAATTGAAGTAATCTCAACCAAGAAGAATTCTAAATGTTAACTTCAAACTGCCAATATCACAGTGTTAAGACCTTGAACAAAGCTATGTCCACATAGATCTTAATATAGTCAATCAACTAGCTATCTCTGTATTTCATTTGCTTTGATGCATCTTTGTTCAACACAAGTGTATCTAGATTCTCATTTATACTTACATCACAGTTTGAAATTCAGACCATAATAAGACCCCCACTTAACTCCATTATCACACAATTGTCACCTTTTTTATGGCTATTCAATCATGAAATAGGTTGAGAAGTCCACAGGCGATCTCAACATTTGCAACTACAACATTTATTTGGGCCAACAGAGCAAAGTTCTGAATAGCAGTATGGATTAGCAGTTATCTGTAAGGTGGACTTGCCTATCAGAAAACTAGACATGAATGAATGGAAAATGATAATTTTACTACCAAATAAATGAATCATTTTAAATTTACATTGTTTCACATATGAATGTATTCTTGAAGTACCTTTTAAATTAAAAAAAACACAAAATGAAAACAAAATGTGATAAACATTTGTATTAGAGAACATCCAAAGATAACTTGTAATTTCATTTAAAATTTTATTAATGTGGATAAAGAAGATGTGTATTTTTTATACAATGGAGTACTGTTCTGGCATAAAGGATAAACGTGAGACATTTCTAGGTAAATGAATACACCTTGAGACTATACTCTTAAGTGAAATAAATTGAACGCACATTTTAAAATATTGCATTATTTTTCTGGTGTGCAAAACTGAAAGGATAAAGGACCAAAGTGTATAATAGATACTGTGAAATAGGAAGAAAATGTTTAAATGGGAAGAGGAACTAGGGAGGGGAGAGGGAGAAAGGAAGGGAAAAGGAAAAAAAAAGAACAGAAGGGAAAAATGGAAACAAAGCTTTTATAAATAAGAGGGAGAGGGGTTGAAAAGGAGGGGCGGGGAATGGAAAAAAAAGAATTAATATATATCATGTACAGGTGCAAATTCCCTATGATGAATGTTATCATTATGTGTATCCCAAAATGTGCTAATGAAATTAATTTTAATAAATAAATAAAATTTTATTCATGTGATTTAGTAATCAACCACTGCATTGCCTTTCATTTTTGCCAGCCATTGTATCGTGATGCCTGGGACAAAGAGAAGGCTAATGTGAATGTGCCAGCTGACACTCCTGTGATGTTGCAGTCCAAACTCAATGCTATCCAGATCAGCAATGTAAGACACTGTACATTCATTGGGTTCACAGTGCCCTCTGTGTACACAAAACCTTTATTCTACATACTCAAAAGAAAATGTGACAAAAGACATTTTTCTACCATTCCTTTTATTTCTAATCTATAATCTTATGATGAGTAGCTGTATAGATGTGTGTGTGTGTGTGTGTGTGTGTGCTTATATAATGCAGACTCCTTAGCCATCTTCATTGCATTGCATTCTCCATTTTCAGAAACACTATCAGCAAGCTTGGGAAGATGTCAAAATGACAGGTTATGATATACAACTAGATGCCATTGGGATCCAGCATGCCAAGGCCTCCAGGGATATAGCCAGTGATGTAAGAGCTCTTCCTTGCCCTGCCTCAACAAGCGCTAACTAGTAGACACAAAAGTAGCTTAACTTAATTATTCGGGACTTATATTTAAATAGAATGCATTTATTATTTCTCATATATTATTTTAAAATCCCAAATTTCAGAAGTTGTCTAACAAGAAGCCTCTTGCATGTACATTTGCTTCTACAGTTCTTACATTTAAGTACTGATTTTAATTGTTTTCTCCCAAATATTCTAAATATTAGCCAATTTACTAGAAGTCATGAGACCTAATGAGCACAGAGAATTCTGTTATTACTCACAGTGTACCATGCATACTACTGGTGGTTGCTGAGATCATTTTATATATTTTAAGAAATAATTACCAGTGTATCATATAAAATGATCTAAAGGAAGTAGAATTATTGTTAATAGGATCATTAGAGAAAGTGAGTTTGGGAACCACTCTTCCTTCTGTTTGTACCTACCAGTATCTATACAAGATTACTTATGAGAAGCAGAAAGGCCACTATATTGGATGTCCCAGTGCCAAGGAAGATCCAAAGTTAGTTTGGGCAGCAAATGTGTTGAAGATGCAGAATGACAGGCTGTACAAAAAGGCCTACAATGACCACAAGGCCAAGATCTCCATTCCATCAGACATGGTGTCCATCAATGCTGCCAAAGAAGGCCAGGCGTTGGCAAGTAATGTGGACTATCGTCAGTACCTGCACCAGTGGTCTTGCTTTCCTGACCAGAATGATGTGATCCAAGCCAGAAAAGCCTATGACCTGCAAAGTGATGTAAGTCTGTCCCTCAGGAAGAAAGCTTGGCATGCTGTCTCCTTCCAGTGCCCTGGAAAACACCTCTCAATATAGGAGGTTCCCTTTAGTATTTAACCAGACTTATTTATTGCCTATCTTACTGCCATATTTGCTCAGAAAGTTTTCATTTTCATTGTTAAGCTTCCAGTTTTTTTCTATATGTTTTTGGGCATGTATGTTATTTATAGTTTATTAATTGTAAGAAATTCATGGTCCTTGAACTTTATATTAAAGGACAGGATTGTCTTCCTTGAAATTAATTTCAAAGGTTGGTATCATGCTCTAAACTCTCTTGTTTCCAGTAACTAGATGTTCTTCATGACATGGTGTGTCATTAATTTACTCCAAAATTTTTAGACTTACTTATATTTATACATATTCAACCTCTTAGAAATAAATGATGGATTCCATAGTTATTTAGTTGTTGTGTAGAATAAATACTTTCTTTTAATTATTTGAACCTGATTGTACTTCAAGAGATACTTTTCTTTTTCTTAAACAGATTAGGTTGTTATAGGCCAATATGCTCATCTCTTGAATCACAGGTGGTAGAGAGGTGGTGGACAGTTTTTAGTGAACTGCAGTATCTTCGTTAAGTCAAACCACATGAGTAAATTTAGACATTCTTAAAATTCTTAAAAGTATTTTACAATCTGTGTGTAATATTTGAATTACTTCTTCTGAATTTTGAAGACCCATTATATTAAACAGTAAAACATATATCATTCTCCCTTAAAATATTTTCCAATAATTTTCACTCTTTTTACTATTACTTTTATCTGATATTTGTATTCTATAACTAACAAATGAAATAACATTTCTGAGCAACATGCTGACTTTTTATAAAATTAATAACTGATGTTTAACATAGAACAATTTTATCTGCTTAACTTTTTACCTATATGTGGGAAAGCAGATTTAGATAACCAAAATTTTGCAAGTACCTATTAAAAGTGACATGCTATATTAGATTAAAGAAAACTCAGTTGAACTGTATTGTTTGCTTTAAATTTACCAATAAACTTAATGGTGGGGGGAAGGAAGCTCAGTTTAGACCAAAATTGTGGACTAGTGACGAATTCTTTTTTATTGAGGCAGGTTCTCACTGTGTTGCCAAGAGTAGCTTCTCACTGAAGTGATCCTTCTGTTTCAGCCTCTTGAATGGCCTGGACTATAGGCTCATGCCACCATATCTAGCTCTACATTCTTATTTATTCTAAAAAAATTATTTATTTATAAGTGTCACACACTGCGGCATTGTGTTAGCGCTAAAGGTACAAAGGTGAATAAAGGGAGAAAAAAGACCTAATTCCTGAGTTTAGGGAGTATATATCGATAACAGAGAGCGAGCTGCTACTTAAGAGTATCAGTAAAAAAATAGGAAGGTTGTGGAAGAGTATTCTGTAGTGCTATGAAAAGGGCAGTCAGGATAGCTCCACCGAGAAAGTGCTGATGAGGGCAATGGAGGTAGAGAGGGACACTTGAGGGATGTTCAACATACACACAGGGGGCTGATACAGACTGCAGCGGTGTGTCAGAACACATAGGGCTGAAGGAAGCATGGTGAGAGGGGGCTGGAAAACAGGTAGGGACGAGGGCCAGACCACCCATCTCCTACTCTGTGTAAAGGATTTTGATCTGTATCTTAGAGCCAGTGGGAAACCACAGGATAAGAGGGAAGTTGTCACATCAGATTTGAATTACACATTTTGAAAAGTTCAGTCTGGCTGCTCTGTAGAGAACTTACTAGAGAGCCTGTTGCTGTTGCTTTGAAGGTCCCTATTAGCCAGTCCGATGATTGTCTAAATATTAGTCACAAATCATCCCTACATATGGAGAGCTGCTTCCAGATCATTCTGTCTTTGAGAACACTCATGGGTACCCTGCCACAGAAAGCACAGCAAGACAATACGCTGCTGTGTATATGAGGAATTATGTTTGCCAGGCCAGTGGTCAGCTTTAGACTTTGCTTATGGAAATTAAAACGGCTTCCTTATTTTACACCCACCACCAAAAACAAAGTATCCTGCTTCTACGTAACTTTGCTTTCCTTCTAGGCCATCTACAAGGCTGACCTGGAGTGGCTACGTGGCATTGGCTGGATGCCTGAAGGATCTCCTGAAGTCCTGAGAGTCAAAAATGCCCAGGAGATCCTATCTGACAGTGTCTATCGGACACCTGCCATGAAACTCAAGTACACAAGTATTGTCGACACGCCTGAAGTGGTCCTTGCTAAATCAAACGCTGAAAATATTAGCATTGTAAGTCATTTTATTCCTGTGAAAACTGAATTTGAATTACAAATAAAAATAAACTGATATTCAATTTCTAAAAATAATATTGATGCAAAAAAACCTTAACATCAACAGCATTATTTTGTTTTTGCTTATTGATTTCAAATGACTCAAAGTATTAATAAAAGACAATATAGATTCCATATTGTCTGAGTAATTTATATGAAAAGACTGTAAAGATTCTTAATATGAAAATAGTTTTTTATCAGATCCAAACGAAAAGTTAAAACTTATCTACTGAGACTACAAAATTTCAAACTGTGAAGTGATTTTGTTATTATTGGTTCTTTCCATAGCCGAGGTACAGAGAAGTTTGGGACAAAGATAAAACTTCAATCCACATAATGCCAGATACTCCAGAAATTAATCTTGCACGAGCCAATGCTCTTAATGTGAGCAATGTAAGTACCACAACATTCCGTTTTGTTTGGAAAGTTAGCCAGCTGGTGCCATAACATGGCCATGGAGTCCTCCCAGGTCGGGGGAGAGGATCACCTACTTGGTTAGGAGTTGGGAGGTCTCCTTGCCATGAGCCCTTGGCCAGGAGTAGGAAAAGAACAATTCCATAGCTCTGAATCCCTTGGCTAGGCCACTTACCAGAGAGCCAAGGTCACCATAAAAGAAGGTATAGGAAAGTAAGGACAAAGAAGAATAAAGAGAGGCATAAGTAAGAAAGGGGAATTAATGATAGATTCAGATGAACTGAAAATAATAATTCTTTTGTGAAAATACACAAACCAATTTTAAAACCTGGATCTGTTAGGAATATTCTAAGAAATTTTAAGTTATTAGATTGAACCCAGAAATATATAGAAAACATATGGAAAGAAATTAAGAGAGTTACTAAACATATTCTTTTTCCTGTCACATGCCTCTGATGATGTCATGGAATTCTTTCAGAATCTTAAGAAATAAACTACCATGAGTCTAATAATAATAAAAGAAGGAAAACCATCACAATTAACAAAACTTATTAAAAGTTCTACAAATAAAACTATGGACCAATAATAATAGAAAAACACCTTAAATAAAATGTTAACTAATGAAGTTCAAAAGTACATTCAGATGATATGATAGAAACTACTTGGGCTCATTCGGGAATACCAAGAGGGTTCCATATTTAGAATCCTAATACTATCAATCCATGTGCTCGTTTTGTTAGGTTTAAAAAGATATGTGACCAAATCTAATGTTCATTTTTAAAAATAAAACCCTAGTTTTAAAAAAAATAAATATTTTCTTGATATAACTAAAAAAATCCCAAAAGTTAGCTCATACTTATTAAGTAAACTTCTTAATCAAGTCAGTATTGAAACAAGGATGCCCACTAATATCAAATACTTAACATTTTGCACTTATGGTGGAACCTTGGTTTACGAACTTAATTCTTTCCATGATTCTGGTTGCATTCAAATTGGTTGCGAGCAGAGTCATGGAAAGAATTAAGTTGGTGAACCAAGGTACCCTTGTGCCTGGCTAAGTGAGTAAGCTTCTCATTGATACTGATATCACAGCAATAAGATAAATACTGGGAAGAAAGAGGAACATTGTTATTATTTGCAGAACAAATCATTGCAAGCCTAGAAAAAGTAAGAAAATCAACAGAAAAAATCTATTAATAACCAGAATTCAGTTACATGACTGACTACACAATTCAAGAAAGTTCAAGACAGGTGCTGTCTTTACTGGTCACAGAGATTGCTATTGTGTGGAATAAATATGACCTTAAGAGGACAGTACCTTAGTATGATTCTTCATAGTTTGGAACTTGGCATCTTTTCAGAAGAATAATAAATCTATCTGAAGGGAGAACTTGCCAAGCAAAGATTCCTCACTATGTGCCAAATTGTGCCAAACTTCTCCAATTTTAGATATTAATGAGATTGGCTTGCATTTTACAGGAAATCAAACACCCCATTTGAATGCACAGCAAAACATACAGGCATTTTCTTTACACATGGTATTGCCATTTTTATAATCTTGATAAAGTCTACTACTTAAAACTATTTCCATCATTTAGAAAACACAACTTTCACAAAATATTTGTACATAAGTTTATGGGTAACAAAATGAATTGACATTAAATTGGCTCAGAACTTCATACTAACTACACAAGTAAAATATTATTCTTTTGTTTTTATTAGATGGGAAAACTGATACTTAAAAACGTTTAAAATGAACTCAAATTTAGTTGAGGAAATTAGATTGCAAGCCTCACTTTTATTTTTTTAGTTCAAAGAAAAAAACCTATTTGACTGCATCAACACAAAAAATTTATTATATGGAAATAGTGTAAAAGTATAATGAATGGTGGGCCAGGGATTTAGCTCAATGGTTCCACCACCTGCCTTGCAAGCGCAAGGTTCCCCAAGTTTGGGGATTCCCGAAAAAAAAAAAAGGATCCCCGGTACCAAAAAAATTATAATGAATGAGATAACAAAGAATAAAGTTGAAAGGTAACATGACATACTTGCATTAAGTGTTTCCTAGTATGATACATTTAAATATAGAGAGTACTTTTCTGTGCAGAAAACAAGTCACTTATTAAATATGGCCCATCCAAAAATTCATACAAAACTTGACAATGCTTATAAGTATAAAATTTATCCAAGTACTCATTTTCAGATATGCAAAAGCTATGAAACTGTCAATCATTGAAATTCACCTCTTTCTGTGCTGCAAAAGCCCCTGTATTGGTGGTATGGCTGTGGTTACTAGTACTATGGTTATAATATACCGATATGACTTTTGAATTATGCATTTAAATTGCTGTTATTTCTGAATCTGCTATTAAATTAATATAGAATGTATCCACTTAAAATATGAACATATATTTTAATATATTTCAAGATATCTATAGTCACTATAGTTAACTTCTTTTTAAAAACAAGAAAAATAGCTATTACATTCAAATGTACCTCACCAGAAGATCTAACATTCCCAAACAATATGCACCATCAATCACATCAGAACTAACTAAGGAGCTATATTGGGCGGGGGGCAGAAACCTTACAAATGTGCAAAGTTTGTAATTCTGAAGATCACAAAATTGAATTGAATGAAAGAAATTCAACAATAGCCAATTAATATCTGAACATATTCCAGTGCTATCAATATGTCAACACCAGGGGAAGAAAAGGTTAAAACTTTTCATGTTATACATGAGATGATAAGCTTTGTACAACTATATCAAAGCTATGATTCAAATGAAAGAGAAAGAAGTCTCATCAGGCCCAGATCCTGGGACTCCAGGCAGCATGTCATGTTCCATAACATGATGCATAGAATGTTTGTTTTCACCTATTCTCTCTCCTGTAATTGGTCTTAATTCCTGGGGCTGTACTCCTGTGATATTAATTCTGTGTGAGCCTTTGGAGGTATTGGGTAAGTCTGAGTCTGGAATGCCATCTTATATTTTCTCCTCTTCAGAAAATCTACCGCGAGGGATGGGATGAAGTGAAGATGAGCTGTGATGTGCGGCTGGATGCCATCCCTATCCAGGCTGCCAAGGCCTCCAGGGAGATTGCCAGTGATGTGAGTGTGGCCTTTTTTAACCTTCTCAGTTTATTAAGCAAATGCCCAACGTGCATCAAGAGGGCACGCTGTGATCCATCTGCTTTGTTTTCCACCTGCAGTATAAATACAAGCTTGACCATGAGAAGCAGAAGGGACACTATGTGGGCACTCGCACAGCCAGGGATGACAACAAGATCCGGTGGGCCCTAGTAGCTGGCAAGCTTCAGAATGAAAGAGAGTACCGGCTGCACTGGGCCAAATGGAAGAGCAAGTTCCAAAGCCCTGCAGATATGCTTTCCATCTTGCATTCTAAAACTTCGCAGACCCTGGTCAGCAATGTTGATTATCGTCATCCTCTGCACCAGTGGACATGCTTGCCTGACCAGACCGATGTGATTCAGGCCAAGAAAGCCTACGAACTGCAAAGTGATGTGAGTGGGCTACACCGTAGGATGAGCTCTTTTATTGTTTTGCTATGACTTTTAGAAAGTTCATTACGTTATATCCTTTTGTCACCCTTTCACATTTTTATGCACCCAAGATTTTGATATTAAGCTTTATGATATGCTATAAAAATCACCAAAGCTAGGAAGGCTCTGCCTCACAAACTCAAGGTTGTGAGTTCGATCCCCAACAAACAACACAAAAGAAATAATTGGTAGTGTGAATATTAAAATAGTGTTTTTTCTTATGACACCAGGGATTGAGCCCAGGGGCATCACACTCAGTTATGCCCCCAGCAGCCCCATTTTTTTTTCTGAGACCGTCTCCCCAAGTCACTAAGTTGCCCAAGTGGAGATGAATTTCTCTTACCTCAGTTTCTCTTACCTCAGTCTCCCAAAGAGCTAGGATTATAGGTGTACACTGGTTTTAATAATGATAAGTTTTTAAAAAGGACTAAAGGTGTAGGGGAAGTTTAAAGGGTAGGGGAAAAGAAATAAGAGAAAAGAAAAAAATATTAGACAAGGAAAAAAGTGGAAACAAAGTCTTTGTAAATAGGGGAGCAGGGAGGGGTGAAGAGAGGGCAGGGGTATGGGGAAAAAATAAGAACCAAGGTATATCATGTAAAGATACAAGATTCCAATGATAAATGTAACTGTACTGTATACCTAAAATGTACCAGTGGGCTGGGGATTTGGCTCAGTGGTTCCATTGTCTGCCTTGCAAGCTCAAGGACCAGAGTTCAATCCCCAGTAACAAAAAAAAAAAAGGTACCAATAAACTCAATGGGGAAAAAAAAATAACAATAAGTTAAAAAAAACTACTATGGAAAAATATTATTTTTATAGAATTTAGGTAGCAATTAATGTTTATATCAAGTAAAATATCGGTAGGATAGGATCTATAGGATATATATTTTTAGTTAGCACAGTGGTTGGAGAAATTTTGAGTGAAGTTGCCACAACTTTCAAAGCAAGATATTTTTGTGTAAAAGTCTTGGATTTCTCATTTAACTTAAAAACTCAGAAGATGCAGCTTTAGACATGCATTACCCCATAGCAAAAATAACCTAGAACTGGACAGAGGTTAACTTGTGATTTTTTTTCTAAAACAAACAAACACTATTTACATTGAAGACTACACCAAAACAAATCAGTGTTAAAAAGCTGTAAAACTATAAAATACTGTATCAATAGAAATACCAGGTATAACATGCACAAAGCCAAGAAACCATCATTGCCAGGCACTGAATTTCTATTGTACTGTCCTTTGAACACACCACTGGGAATAAACTGTTGAGTGCAAATACCATACAGTACAAGAACCATGTCAAATAGAAAAAATATCCTCCAGTTTGTTGCACTACCTACCCCGATTAATTTTCTTATATTGTTCACCTGGCTGCCTGAGTGTCTCATCCTTGGGTTATGTAGGGTTTAAATGATGTCACTTCACCAGAACTCTGGAGAAGCTACGTGGGACCAGGGTGCCAGTGGTGCTGAATTCATTCTGATCTTGTTTCCACAGGCTGTTTACAAGGCTGACTTGGAATGGTTACGTGGAATTGGGTGGATGCCAAGTGATTCTGTTTCTGTCAATCATGCCAAACATGCTGCGGACATCTTCAGTGAGGTATTCCAAGACTGTTCTGTGTCCTGTTGCTCAGTGCATTTTCAAAGGGAATGAACAAAAATACATGAGCCAAAATATAGTCCTCTCTTATCAGCAATATTAACTATTTTTAATTGCTGAAACATAAGGTAAATATATTTCCTGAATAATCTTGTACTGTCCCATCATGTTATAAGACCATATCTCTAATATAATAGAATCCAACACACTCTCACTGATGCTTAGAATTGTAAAAATTGAAAAATTCTTTTGTTACAGCAATATACTGGGAAAAGTTTGTCCAGTTGAAAAAAATCGGATTGAACCTATGATACACATATATGAGTTTGGGAAGTAGTAAGACTTGCTACTTTAAAATCTCTGGGAAGTGTAAGAAACCAACCCATTTGTTTAGAAAATAAAATTTGGAGAAGAAAATTAAGTTGTCAAGAAGATGCCATTTAAAAGAAAAAAGATGCCATTTTTTTTAAAAAAAAAGATGCCATTTATTTAAAGCACTCAATACTTCTGCTTAAGAGGGACCTTTTTATTTAGTGTATCTCAGTCACCAAGACCAAAGACTACAACTGTGTAAAAGATCTTTTTCCCCCATAGAAAAAATATCGCACAAAAATAGAAACTCTCAACTTTACTCCCGTGGATGACAGAGTTGATTATATGACAGCGAAGCAAAGTGGTGAGATCCTTGATGATGTAAGTATATGACAAAATTACACAATCACACCAGGTGTGGTGGTGCAAGTCTGTAATTCCAGAACTTGGGAGGCTGAGGCGGCAGGGTTGCCACATGTTCAGGGTCAGCCTGGGCTACATAGTAAATTGAAGGACAGCCTGAGCTATATAACGAGACCTTGTCTTTACAAAAAGAAAGAAATAGGTACAAATTCCCTATGATGAATGTGATCATTATGTGTACTAAAACATACTGATAAACTTAATTGATTTTTAAAATAATAAAATAAAAGGTACACTATCATGCAGCTGTCATTTCTAAAATTTTCTACCTTCGTGCATTTCAGTATGCCATCACTGTCCAAGATACAAATTTTAATCATCGGAATTTTTTTTTTGGGGTACCGGGGATCAAACTCGGGTCCTTGCGCTTGCGAGGCAGGCTACCGAACCACTGAGCTAAATCCCCGGCCCTCATCAGAATTTTTTATGTCAGCAATTGCTTGGACAACATGTTCTTAATGTCAAATAACCTATCCTCTTGTCCCCTTACTTTTAGATTAAATACAGGAAAGATTGGAATGCCACTAAGTCAAAATACACTCTCACAGAAACCCCGCTACTGCACACTGCCCAAGAGGCTGCTCGGATACTGGACCAGGTAGGATTTTTCCTTGGATGCCTAATACTTTTGGTGAGGACGGAGAACCCTAATGGAGCCATAGGAAATGTATACACCTGACTCCTCATTTAACCTCTACTGTGCTCTCTTTCTCTTAGTACCTCTACAAGGAAGGCTGGGAGAAACAAAAAGCTACAGGTTATATTTTGCCTCCAGATGCCGTGCCATTTGTTCACGCCCATCACTCCGGTGATGTTCAGAGTGAGGTAATTTATCCCGATGTGTGTGCACTTTGGAAAAGCTGGATGTCGTCTGTATGGAATGTCAGATGTTCCTGAGGTGTGTGTGGCACTGTATAGATGTCCCATTTCAGCCTGGCGGTTATGGCGGAACTTGCTCAGGGCTGCAATAGTGGCTCCTCTTGTGGTGTTTCCCATGGGCTTTGAACCACCTTCTTCTTTTCCTTTTTTCTTCAAAAGCTATTGTTCGAGTTCCTTATTTTTTCTTATGTCTTCTGCCTTTTCTAAAATCTCTAGGCCCAAGATATTGAACAAGTGTAATATAAATACAGAACAAGTGTATGTTTTTTTTTAATAGCAATTTTTCATATGTATTATTTCAATGCTTTCACAATCCTGGGTTAGGAGTGTCACACAGAAACCTGGTAGGGGCTAAGTTTCTGATATTCCTGAGCAGATGGTCCTGCCCCCTTTGCCCTATGTACTTGTCAGAGCTGATGGACTCTGTATGCTTCTTCCCACCAGCTGAAGTACAAAGCTGAACATGTGAAGCAGAAAGGTCACTATGTTGGTGTTCCGACAATGAGAGATGACCCTAAACTGGTTTGGTTTGAGCATGCAAACCAGATACAGAATGAGAGACTCTACAAACAGGACTATCACAAAACAAAGGCCAAAATCAATATACCTGCGGACATAGTGTCAGTCTTGGCTGCCAAGCAGGGGCAGAGCCTTGTCAGTGATATTGATTACCGCAATTACCTGCACCAGTGGACGTGTCATCCTGACCAAAATGATGTAATTCAGGCAAGAAAGGCCTATGACCTACAGAGTGATGTAAGTGGTTTGTGTTTCTTGATTATCTAGAAATGGGCAATACACCAAGAATGATAAGCAGCATTCCAGAACTACTAGTCTTTGAAACTTTGGACTATATTTACTTGGTACCCAGAAGGGAATCAAGACTTGCTGTGAAGTAGAGGAGGATAAAAACAGTGATTGATTGATTACTTTGCCTACAAACTGCATTTCTGAATTTCTTTCAAAGTAAAATATTTTTTAAATCTACTTTTATGCCACTTCTTCCATGAGAAATTCCTTATATCCACATGAAGAATTTTCAGCTGATATAAGCTAATAATTGGCTTGGGTGAAAATTGAGATTGAATTGGGGTTTTGACAGTGTTAGGTCATAGTAATGGACAAGGAGCTAGGAATGCCTCATCCTGCTTTGCCGAGCATCATTTTTCTCAAGGTGCAAGATCTCTACCTGCATTGAGGAACAGAAACATGATGTGTCAATTCACTGCTCAGGTACACCGAGCAGTTAACCTTAACTGGGCCTCATCATTGCCAAAACAGAGATAGGGAGGCAAAGGCTGCCTGCAGAATAGATACTGAACTTGAACATCCATTTCATTGATTGCTGCAGCAAAAGGGCTGTTGTGAAACTTCAGTCAGATTAGCAGCTGCTCTTCATTTCATGTTGGGTGAACCGGAAGAATCTAAGAGGTGCGTGTAGACGGCAAGGAGAAAAGATGGAGCGGGGGATTTAGCTCAGTGGTGCTGATGCCTGCTTTACAATCACAAGGACCCAAGTTCGATCCCCGGTACCAAAAAGAAAAGATGGAGACAGAGACAGATTTCGTCAGTGTAGTTGAGACACACCCCCTTTCACTGCAAATGCATTGGCATTTACTTGCATAATTTCCTCAGTCTCAATATTACACAGGCTTTTACATAACTAAATGGACCAAGTCCTTCTAAAACTGCAGCCTCCTTGGTCAAACTTTTCTTACAGATAAAAGTGATGACCCCTCCACTTAATTCCAGTAACACTGTATTGCCTTGCTGTCACAGTGCTTAACCTTGTACTTGTCCCTGAAAGTACTGAGAACAGTGTTTCATGTACTTACAAGCTCAAGAAAACATTGCCCAGGTAAATCACAAGTGAATGAATGAGACAACAGCCACTACAGAGAAATCTTTAAAAACCTTCTTTAAAAACTGTTTGGAATTTGCTCTCTGTTATCCTGAGTCTGAGCCACTTACTCTTTATCATATCTCTGCACTATTTTCAGAACATCTACAAAGCTGACCTGGAGTGGCTCCGAGGCATTGGTTGGATCCCCTTGGACTCTGTGGACCATGTGAGGGTCACTAGGAACCAGGAAATGGTGAATCAGGTGTGCAAATCCTGTTCTCTTTGTAACCTAATGCCTATCCTCCTTGCCTGCCATATAGGGCTCGGTACCCTGTGGGGATAGACCTGTCTTAATTGTCTCTATTTTTTTGCAGATAAAATATAAGAAAGATGCTCTTGACAACTATCCCAATTTTACAAGTGTGGTGGATCCTCCAGAGATTGTTTTGGCCAAGATTAATTCAGTCAATCAAAGTGATGTAAGTTTGTTCTGTACATGCAGAAATACATTGAGGATTGATTGCCATCATTGAATGGATTAGCTCATCTCTAAATAACTGCTTGTAAGAAATTGGAATGGGGTAAATTATAAGATGACCTTGGGGGAGATGTCTTAAAAGACACTAGTAGGTGATATACAGTGTGTGCTTTTAGATATCTATATTCTTATCTAAAATACCCTATTATAATAAAATGGACTGAAATTCAACCAGTTGGTTAGTTTTAATCTCTAAATGTTGACTGATTATTATGTTAGGTAAATTGTATGAAAATTTGAATATATATTTATAATAATAAAAATGTTTTATTGTTTTCTCTTCTTAGGTAAAATATAAAGAAACATTTAATAAAGCCAAGGGCAAATATATATTTTCTCCAGATACACCGTATATTTCCCACTCCAAGGACATGGGAAAACTCTACAGTACTGTGAGTCCTATTTTATGTAGTAATATCTTGGTTCCTAATTTTAGCTCTTGTTGGTATTAATCTTCTTGGGCAATTTTGGTGAACAGCTGAATGAAGAACAACAGAGCAATCTATTGTTTTAATTTCATTTTGTCCTGTCTGCTAGAACTAGCATATCATTCAAAGTGAGGAATATGTGTTCAGCTGGACTTTTTGAGCTCCTGTGATGTGCCAGGAACTGTAGGGGGCTAAAGCTAAATGAGATGAACTCTTCAGGAGCTCATACACATGACTGGAACAGACACAAGTAAACAGATACTAATGCAACAAGCGCTATTAAAGCTCTAGGAGCACAAAGAATTGGGAGCAACTACCAAAAGAGAAAAAGGAGGAAAGGCTTGTTTTTCTCAGCAGTCATACACAAGCATCTCCAGCCACAAATTGAAGACTTGCTCTCTAAAATTTAATTCAGCTAATTTAAAGGGGTGTGGTATGCAGTACATATCCAATGGAAAGCAATTTTGGTGATTCCCTGTGTGCACATCTCTCATCACTTTTACTAGAACTGTAAATACATTTCAGCCTGTTATAAAATGCCTCAGAGTCTGTAGATTCAATTTGTAATAAACCAAATGACTGCCTTGTTCTAGCTAGGTTCACTAATAGACATAGAAAAAGATTTTTAAGCCTTCCCTTGAACATTGATTTAGTTTAACTTTACCAATGGTTTTAGTAATATCTGAAAGTACTAGTTGAATGGAAACTTATACTGACACCTACTTTTTTGTTCCAGATACTGTATAAGGGGGCCTGGGAGGGAACCAAGGCCTATGGCTATACTCTGGATGAGCGTTATATTCCCATTGTTGGAGCCAAGCATGCCGACCTGGTGAACAGTGAGGTCAGTATGATCTTTTTCTTTCTTAGATTTGGGGGTCTTTTGGGGGAAGCAAAATACTAGTTAGAAAACTCCAGTGATTCTCAGTGTTGAATCTGCCTCACAGCTGAAATACAAAGAGACATATGAGAAGCAGAAGGGTCACTACCTGGCTGGAAAAGTAATCAGTGAGTTCCCTGGTGTGGTTCATTGTCTGGATTTCCAGCAGATGAGGAGTGCGGTAAGCCAATGCTCACTTCAACGTGGACTTGTACAGCTTCAGTGTACTCTGTGTTTGCCTATACACAGCTAGACCTGTGCTTTGGAACTAGTTGGGGGATGAAGCAGTATAGAATGAGTTATTCTTTTCTTTTTTTCTTTTTTTTTTTTTAGATGAGATCTCACTATGTAGTTCAAGGAGGCCTTGAACTCACTATGTAGCCCAAGCTAGCTCTAAACTTGTAATAATTCTCCTGCCTCAGCCTCCTGAGTGCTAGGATTACCATGAGCCACCATGCTAGCTTTGGAATGATTTATTCTTGAGATTTTCCCCACCCTTACTTTGGGCCCTTGGTGACTAAGAGTTTCCTTTGTTCTGCTTCCCCATCCACCACCAAACACATAGTGGGAGCTCTGTAATGGAAAAGAGAGTGGTGGGCGTGGTGGCACACACCTGTGCCAGCACTCGGGAAGCTGAGGCAGGAGGATTGCTGTGAGTTCGAGACCAGCCTGGTCTACATAGTGAGTTCCAGGTCAGTCTCAACTACATAGTGAGACCATGTCTCAAAAAGGAAAAAGAAAAAAGAGAAAGCAACAAGGTCACTGTTGACCTTGCATTGTAGAAAGATAAGAAGCTTAAAAGAAGGATATAATAAAAAATTTTTAACTTTAGTGTGGCCTAGAGGTATTGATCTATTTTGGAGAAGATGTGGTTTTTCTATAGAATGGAATATTATTCAGCCATAGAGAATGAGAAAATAGATTCATTCATAAGAAAATGGATACATATTGAAGATATACTCCTAAGTTAAATAAATAAGTCACACATGTGTAAATACCGAATAGTTTTCTCTGGTGTGAATAAACTGCAATAATACATAAGATCCTAATAAGATTACTGACATTGTGAAATGGGAAGAAAGGGGCTAAAGGTGTAGGGAAGGTGGGATGGATAGGGGAAGGGTAATAAGGGAAAAGAAAAAAATGTGAGATAATGAAAAGATGGAAATAAAGTGCTTGTAGATGGGGAGGGGAGGAGGGGATGAAGGGAGGGCAGGGACAAAGGGAAAAAATGAGAACCAAGACCTGTCATGTAGAGGTACAAGATCCCAACAATGAATGTAACTGTGCTGTATCCCTAAAATGTACCAATAAACTCAATTAAAGCTGAAAAAAAAAGACTCAAAGGGGATTGATCTGAATTGTTTAAGTTTTAATTCTTATATATTTTTTATTTTTAAAAAATATCCTTCTTTAGTTGAACTACAGAAAACACTATGAAGACACAAAGGCAAATATTCATATCCCCAATGATATGCTGAATCATGTGCTGGCTAAAAGGTGCCAGTACATCCTCAGTGACCTGGAATATCGACACTACTTCCACCAGTGGACCTCTCTCCCGGAAGAACCCAAATTTTTTCACGCCCGAAATGCCCAAGAGATATTAAGTGATGTAAGTTGCCTTTCTGCACTTGACTTAGTTACAAATTTCACCTGGCCCTGCCTCAGGCCCGTATGTTCCAATTGTTCCTGTGTTTATATACCCAGCAACTTTCAATTTTGAGCCTCTGGACACCTATGTTGAATTTTTAGTCTGTTCAACACTAGGTAGAACTGAGGTATTTCTCCCCTACCAGTTTGTTAGGCCAAGAAAGTACAGACCTTCCAGCTAGTGAGAAACCCACTTATGCCCTCTAAGCACTCAGCCCAACCAAGGACCAATAGGAAATTATTAAAAGGCTCAGGATTCTGTAAACCTAGAATACCTATCAGTATTCGTTGTTCTTTGTCCCTTGCAGAATGTATATAAAGATGACTTGAATTGGCTGAGAGGCATTGGTTGCTACGTTTGGGATACGCCCCAGATCCTCCATGCCAAGAAATCATATGACCTCCAGAGTCAGGTGAGTCAATTTTCCTGGGAAGACTGGCTCTCCCAGGTCATCAAAACCCATGCTTCTGTCAGCGGGCTGCTGGGAAAGTTATGTCCATGTTTGACAGAAAAGCTCTAACTAACTAGCTTCCATAATGGTGTATGATTTAAGGGAAACCCCCTGACCCTTTGGACTCAGTTAAATCTGCTCCATTACTGAATCTTCTCGGCTTGAGTCTCTTCTATGGTGAAAGGCTGTGTATATTTATAACAGCAAATTATTTGGAAGGTGTTTCATAGTCTCAAACATTTGTACCTTGACCAAGTTAACTTGGAGGACGTGGATGCAAAAGCATTCTTGGCCACAGATAGATGTATTTTGAAGAAAAAAAAGTAAATCCTGGAACATCCCAGTGTGTAGATGTATCTTAACAGATGGGTCTAGTAGATTACCCAAATCAAGGAGCTGCTGTCAGTGGTGGAGAAAGGCCATGCAGAAGACAACAAAATGAAGAAGGTTATCTGGCAGAGATCCAGGCCCCACTCTTGGTCCAGAAAAGCTGTTCACTTTGACATCACACAAAGTCTTCCGGACCATGAAATGGTAACCTGTTTCTTAGAATGAAAGCAGAAACACAGAAATAAATAAAGGCACATCTAATTTGGCCAAATATTTAAAGCTGGTGATAGACAGTACTTTATCACTTTTGGTGGCCTTTTTCTTCACAGATCCAATACACAGCAGCAGGTAAAGAAAATCTACAAAACTATAATCTGGTCACAGATACACCAGTTTATGTGACTGCTCTTCAAAGTGGCATTAATGCCAGTGAGGTATGTTTCCCATGTCTTTCTCTTCCAGAGACAAGCCATTTCTTGTCTTTAAATGTTTTTCAATAACAGAGGTGAATAAGTCATTTATTTTTCTCTCTGTAGGTGAAATATAAAGAAAATTATCATCGGATTAAGGACAAATACACCACTATAGTAGAAACAGTGGATTATGACAGGACCAAGAATCTCAAGAGTCTTTATAGCAGTGTGAGTATTTTCCTCCTATATCTGAGCCACTTGTTGCCCTTCAGAGACTATAAAAGAATAAATGGGAATATGTACCTTGTCCCCAAGGATTTTTCTGGTTTTGTCATGGATCCTCAGATTTCTACTTTATTTCATGAAATTCTAATATGTACAATTACATAAAGCTCAAATTGAAAAGGAATCCTTGGACATTGGCAAGGATTGTCTGAGAAGGTCAGAAGTAAAGGAAAACCTGCTGCTCTGGAGCTAAACAGAATGCATTGTTCCAGATTCACATGATTTTTTACACCCCTCCAGAATCTGTACAAGGAGGCCTGGGATAAAGTGAAAGCCACCAGCTACATTCTGCCAACCAGCACCTTGTCCCTGACACACGTCAAGAACCAGAAGCATCTGGCCAGCCATGTAAGTCAAGTTCAAACCCAACAGCCCCTTTTCCCCTCCCCTGCTCCCACTGCAGGAACTGCTCAGGCTTATGCAAATGTTCTTCAGAAGCATCCCTAGCACCTCCGTGGGAGTATGCAGCAAGTTATTCCAGAGCTTGGTCATGACAGCCTGTGCACCTCCTGTCTCTCTTGGGGCCCTGCAGTCCAGGGAGAGTTATAAACACTGGCAAGAGGGATACAGGCCTGACTTTGTAGGCTGCCTGTCTGGATAAATGGATAAAGGGTCTCTGTTGTAGCCAGAAGTGAGGAGAGGAAGAAGACATAATGTGAGGCCTGCACGATTGTATGGCCTCCTCCCCTGCCAGCACTGCCCACCTACCCAGCACCCTGGTGTTTCATTAGTGCCCCGCCTCTTGCCCTCCCTCACAGAGACCACTCCTTTGGTGGATGTTTGGGAAGAAATGTGCTTTAATTTATTCCAAGAACACCAAGGAGTCATTTTTTTAAGCTTTGTGTTTACTTTTTGGCTGGCACAGAGAGGAGTAGCCGGGCCCCTGCCCTGAGTGCTGTGGGGCTCTTGTCTAGGGCTAGGTCCAAGGTTTTTGTTGTGTTCTGTTGAAGGTGCCATTTTAAATTTTATTTTATTTCTTTTTTTGTAGATGAGCTTGAGATCTGTAACTTACATTTAGAATGTTAAGATTGATGCAGCCGGTGGTGGCCAGGCTCCCTGGAGGGTTTGGCTCCTTGTCTTTTCAAGTAATTTTCATATTAAACAGAAACAAAAAAAATCATAAAAAGGACCCCCCCAAAAAAGAAGACATGCTGTATCATGCTAAACAGGCTCTTTTCCATAGCATTACATGGGCTTTAGTACAAAAGTAAAGCAGAGACTGATTATTATAATAATAAGATATGGGTCTTGGTTCTGAGAGTTTAATTAACAAGTAGTAGGAGACTGGATCTTTGTCTCTGCCTTTTCATGTAATTCATACATTAATAGGCAACATGACTTAAGAATTAAAGTTTTCCTGGGCTGGAAATTTAGCTCAGTGGTTCCGTCACCTGCCTTGATGGCGCAAGGTCCCAAGTTTGATCCCCGGTACAAAAAAAAAAAGAAAAAAAAAAAGTTTTTCTACAGAAGTTGGTTATGTTTCTTGAAGACCTTGTGGAAACTGAAATTTAAGGACTGTGTCTTTTAAGCATTGGGCTTTTCAGTTATTTAAAACAAAGAGATTCCTGAACACAGTTTTAATTTTTCCCTTGTGGTAGAAAGAAAAATAAAGCCATTATCAAAAAACAGATTATTTTAAAATGAATTGTAATAGTAGCAAAAGTACTAGTATGAGTATAACTGTTTTAAAAATAAAAGCTAGAATTGTGCTTTTATTGCTGTACAGTTTGCAGGCTTTCAGATACGGCCTGACTGAAACCTCACAATGACCCTGTGGTGGGTGCTAGTACTGTGTCCCTATACAGATGAGGACATGAGCTCAGGGAAGTAGTGTCCCCAGATCATCTGGACCTTGGAGCCGGGTCCTTCCCATTAAGCCTCCTGCTCATTTAACAAAATATATCCATTACTCTCTATTACTATGTTTTAACTTTCTACTTCTTTTTATAGGTCAAGTACCGAGAAGAATATGAAAAGTTCAAAGCTCTTTACACTTTACCAAGAAGTGTTGAAGATGATCCAAACACCGCACGGTGCCTTCGAGTGGGCAAGTTTAACATTGATGTAAGTGACCCCAAAGGCCCAACTTCAGAGTTGCTCAAGAAAAATAGTCACATATTATCAGTCAGAAGAGTTTCCATTAAATCACGCAAGTGGCCCTGATTGTGCACATGTAAAGAAGAAAGATGCTACATCCATTTCTCTCTCCTCCCCACTCCTGGTATTGATCTGTAGAAAAAAAACAGGTAATTTCAGCCCACCTTACCCCAAAAGCTAGTTGTAAGCTGTTTCCCTGACTTCTCTAGAATGGGAAGAAAGCATGTATTCCTTGATGGCTTGGCACAATTTTCCTGTATAGCTGGCATGTAATTTTCACTTCACAGCGCCTGTACAGATCAGTTTATGAAAAGAACAAGATGAAAATCCACACCCTGCCTGACATGGTAGAGATGGTTACTGCCAAGGATACGCAGAAGAAAGTCAGTGAGGTTGATTACCGCCTGCACCTGCATGAATGGATTTGCCACCCTGACTTACAAGTTAATAGTCACGTCAGGAAAGTCACGGATCAGATCAGCGATGTAAGCCCATTCATTGCTTAGGAGGGTCCCCAGTCCCTGCACACCCCTCTTACCCACCCTGGGAAGAAACAGACTCACCTACATGTTCACCTCTGCCTTCTTTCGCTCTGGCTTTCCTCTCTGTGGGTCTGACATATTGTGGAACTATCCCTGGATGCAGGGCTCTGTGTGCCCTGAGTTTCTGTGGGATCCTAAGTTCTTCTCACACAATGCTTTTTGCTTCTTATTCCCTAAAGTCATCTGGGTCCAGGGACTTTTAGTGTTGATGTTATGTCAGATTTTCTTTCTGATTCCTTGTACTTATTGAAACCCTATAGATTGTGTACAAGGATGATCTCACCTGGCTGAAAGGCATTGGTTGCTATGTCTGGGACACTCCTGAAATTCTCCATGCCAAACATGCTTATGATCTACGCAATGATGTGAGTTTCCTTGTTATTTGTTTGTTCAGTATATTTCCAGGTCTATGTACTCTAGGGTCAAGGAGTGAATATGTAAAATAGGAATATTGTCACATACCAACTGTGGATAAGTCACGTTATGGATGACTGAACTGGAGAAAGGTGCTAGGGACGGAGTATCCATTTCTTGACAAGGCCTCGGATGTTTCTATTAAACAATGTGGTTCATCTAGGCTATTTGCCCCTGGTGGAAAAGGGACATCAGGCTCTTCTCTCCACTTTTTGAAGTAGTTTGAATATACACATAACTTTCATTATTAGAAAATTTCAGGGCTGGGGGTGTAGCTCACAGGCAGAGTGCTTGTCTAGTGTGTGTGAGGCCCTGGGTTTAATACCCAGAACCATAGCAAAAGAAAAAAAGTAGCAAACAAATTCTCATCTGCTAGGAGTTTATGCACTGTACATAAAATCTATTTGATCTAATTGACAATGTGAAATAGGAAGTAAAGGGCTAAAGGTGTAGGGAATGTGGGAAGGGTAGGGTAAAGGTAATAAGGGAAAGAAAAAAATAGGAGAAAATTAAAAAATGGAAATAAAGTGTTTGCAAATGGAGAGGGGAGGAGGGGGTGAAGGGAGGGCAGGGAGAAGGGGGAAAAAATGAGAACCAAGACCTGTCATGTAAAGGTATAAGATCCCAATGATGAATGTAACTGTACTGTATACCTAAAATGTACCAATAAACTCAATGAGAAAAAATATCTATTTGATCTACTTATAAAGAGCAAAATTGTCAGGCAAATTGGTATTGCAATGAAAATTTCAGCAAGAAAGCTTGAACTTTCCTAGAATAGCAGCTGTCAACCTCCTAGAAAACTCTAGAAGCTCCAAATGACTATAAGCATTGATTACACTGTTACACAATTTAAATCTATCCTTGTCTGTTGAAAAAGTACTGATGAATATAAATCTCGAGTTAAAAGCTACCAAGCCCTCTGTGAAAATCAGCAGTCTCTAGTATTTAATAAATGATCCAACATAGGCTTGTTTAATTCTTCTTTGCAGATCAAGTACAAAGCTCATGTGATGAAAACGAGGAATGACTACAAGTTGGTCACTGACACACCACTCTACGTTCAGGCTGTCCGAAGTGGGAAGCAGCTGAGTGATGTATGTGCTCTCTGGGGAAGTTACCACAGACAGTAACAAATACTGGACCACCACTCATCCAGGACTGGCCTGTGTCAGCCTTCTCGAATTGGGATACCAGATTCGATGTCTTAGACAGTGCTTAAATGCTGCCTCCTAAAACCAAAAGTGTCAAGTAGTTCCCTGGGGTTAAGCTAAGTGAGCTAAATCTATGGAATATTTTGTTTAAGAACTTGTGTTAGGAGCAACATTTTACACTTTCCTGTCTAGGCCTTCTAGGAAGTAGGGCCAACTATGGTAGAATGGAAACAAGCAGGTCTGATAAGAGTTATGGATTGGAGTCCTGCCTCTCCCACACATATTTCAAGGCTTATAAAAAGCATGTAATCCTTCTGAGCCTCACCATCTTCATGCATAAAATGGAAAGTACACGTAAAGACCACTGTAATGTCTGGCTGTGAGCAAATAAAAAGCTGTTCTTTTTACAGTAAATCCACAGGTTAATAGGTATATATTAGATCCCACCAGTGAGTTGAAGGTTGAGATCTGCTATTTTGGAACTTCTAGAGGTGAAGGCTCCCTGTTCTTTCCACCTGAGCTGTCTCTCCACATCTCAGTGTGGTGTCCACAGTCCAGCTCGGACCTTGTTGGAGAAGACACAGTAACACATCAGAGTTTCCTAGACAAAAGGAAGCAGGCTTTATTTCTTTCTTTGTTTTTCTAAGAGGGACTCGAGTTTTCATTTACTTTGCTTCTAATGGTGCTGCCACATTCAGAATCTACTCACCCTGCTTCTGTCTACCCCCAGGCTGTTTACCACTATGACTATGTGCATAGTGTCAGAGGCAAGGTGGCACCAACTACCAAAACTGTGGATCTGGACCGAGCTATTCATGCATACAAGCTGCAGAGTGAGGTGAGCAGGGAGAACTCGGGAATACCCAGCATTGGATCCTGTAGAAGCAACTTCAACTTGGACATCCTCTCGGGCTGACCTTGTGAAATATAAATGCTATTCCATTCAATGAGTTGGAAAAACAAGAACAGCAGAGCCTGATCCCTCTTGGCTGGCAAAATTCTCATGCCAAACAAACAAACAAATGTAGGCTTTTTAAAAAAAGCAATATTTACAAAACTCAAAGAAGAGGGCCAGTCTGCTATCTCTCCTTTCAAAAAGCTTTAAACCAGTATGACAAAGATAAGGGATTATAGAGGCAATTAACAGTAAGAGACAAAGGTAGAAATTGCTGTTGGAATTTAGAAGAGAAAGAACTTGGGCCCCACCCATATTTAATCTCCCTGTTCTGTGCCGCCTAGGGGCATGCTTTGGTCTCATTTTTTCTTGTACTTCCCATATTACATACAAGTAATTTGATTTTTTATCTTAAACACTATCTTATTTCTGTAGCTGCCCTAGAGCCAGACTATTTGAGGTCACAGACAGATACACACACTCTCACTCCTTCTGACATGAATACGTGCATCATGACCTCTGCATAGCCTGATGTCAAGATGCAGTGATTGTGGGGGGTGCCTGTTTCAGGGATGGCCATGATTTGAATATCACCTGAGAGTAAGGGCTAGGATAGATGGCCCTGGGCGCTCTGTCTTTGCATTCCCAATTCTTGCTAGAGTATCTACAGTCAACTGAGTACCTGTTTACAAGTGTAGAATTACTTTTTATAAGTCATTTCACTCTTTGTTCTCTTTTTCCCAATTAATAGGCTATCAGTCGTCTGACTCATTTCCTGACTCTTACTTAGAACTGATTTAAGTTCTTCTTGAAGTCAGTTCACAGCACAAGAACATTAAGTCTGATCAAAACTCTAACATGAGCTGACTGTGATTTAACTGGGACTAGTTATTTGGTGCCCAGTGTCATTTAACCTGTACTTGTTCATTCTGGCAGAATCTGTACAAAACCGGGCTGCGCTTCCTGCCCACTGGGTATCGGCTCCCAGTTGATACACCTCACTTCAAACACAGCAAGGACACCCGATACATGAGTAGCTATGTGAGTGTTCTCTTTCTTGTTCAGTTGGGGTCTGAAGTTGGGGTGGGAGAACTTATATTAACTGACAGGCTAGTCTCATCCTCAGATCATATCCTAAGGGTCAGTATTGGATAATAATGAAATAAGGGATGGAGAGACAGCATATTTTGTGGGGATCCTGTGGAATTACTGCTTCTGCAGTTCTACTGTGCCTGGGCAACTTATTAATTAGGATAGGTGTTCTTAGAAGCCTTGGTTCAGGGACTCAGCTGTCAGTGTATCGACTTCGGGTGGACTTCTCACAGAACCATCCTGAAGCATTCCAAGCCATTTACTCTAAAAGCAACCTTGCATGCACACTAGTGATGTGTACAGGAGATGTAATGCCACTGTGTGTCCCTAAAGGACTTCTTGCCTGGCTGCTGGACATGATATTTTCCTCACTGCTTATCTTCTATGTCCCATTCAGAGGAAGGTAGAGGAGGAAATAGGCTGTCACTACTTCTGACCTTCCCAGTGTTGGCTCTGATACTATCCTTCCTTGCTTTTCAAAATACCACCCTGAGACTTGATGCATTTGCCCATGGGCAAGGATTGGAGGAATCTTGGCCATACCAGTGACTGGCTGCAGGCTGCACTCATCACCTTTCCACTGACTAGAGGCCAAGATCTCCTTTCTACGTTAGTCTTCAGAGTCTTGGGAATCAGTCCTGTGTCCACAAAGGATCCAATAACATGTGGTCCAGTAATGTATGTTAGATTTAACATACTATTTTAAAAATCATCTGAAAAGTCCTTTCATCAATCTTAAAAAAAATTTTTTTTCTTTTTCTTTTTCTTTTTCTTTTTTTTTTTTTTTTTTTTTTTTTGTTGGTACCAGGGATCAAACACAGGACCTTGTGCTTGCAAAACAGGCATCATTGACTGAGCTAAATCCCCAGCCCATTAAAAATATTACACAGGATCCTAATGAGATAATGAATAATGTGAAATAGGAAGTAAAGGGCTAAAGGTGTAGGGAAAGTGGGAAGGGTGGGGGAAAGGTAATAAGGGAGAGGAAAAAAATATGAGAAACTGAAAAAATGGAAATAAAGTGTTTGTAAATAGGGAGGGGAGGAGGGGTTGAAGAGAGGGCAGGGGCAAGGGGAAAAAATGAGAATCAAGACCTATTATGTAAAGGTACAGAATCCCAATGATGAATGTAATTGTATTGTATACCTAGATTGTACCAATAAACTCAATAAAAAGAAAAAAAAAGAAAAAAAGAAAAAATATATATATTTTCTTATTCTTAATTCCCTAGCCATACTGAGGCTAAAAATACAGGGTTTTGGTTTTATTTTGCATTTTGCATAGCTTCTTACAGGGTTTACCTAGCTAGGTTGAATTTTATTCTTTTCTGGACCTGGCTTTATCATTCAATATTTCAAGATTTGGAATAAGATTAACATTTTGTCAGTAATTCTTAATATTTGAAAAGCAATGTTCAAATAGAGATGATATCTCTTTTCTGATTAAGAAAAGTAATTTTGGTCTTTATGTACCTATCATTGATCTCATTCTGACTCTGCTTTTGCAGTTCAAGTACAAAGAAGTCTATGAACACATAAAGGCAAATGGGTATACACTGGGGCCCAAAGATGTGCCATTTGTCCATGTCCGGAGAGTCAACAGTGTTACTAGTGAGGTAGGAGAACACTGATTTTCTGGGGGGAAAACAGTTGAGTTTAAAAGATCATGACTTTGTCTGAAATGCATTAAGAAGATTTTATTGTATTTCAGCCATAAGTTTACACATCAGCAGAGAGTAAGAAGGTCCCTTTTTGTCCCTATTCTGATGCAGGTGTCCCTTGAAAGTGATTTTCTGAATTTGGTATCATCTCAGACACTCAGTTCCATAGACTGTGGACCAATAATTCTCTAAAGAAATAATTCCTTTTTTGATATTTGTATTAAAAAGCTTTAATAAAGCTGCATTTTAGTCTGACTCAGAACTTTGGTTTTCTACATCAACAATTGGTTTGTACCTCTGATCTTACTATGCAACCACATGATTGAATGTAGAATACTGCACTCAGAATTCTTCCCCTAAATGAAACAATTATAATTTTCTCTTTTTGTCTCAATCTTAATTATTTTCTGTATTCCTGATATTTACTCTCCTCCCTTTTCATGAAAAACCTGTGATTGTTTATGTCAGCAGATGCCCTCATCATCCTATACTAAACACCAAAATGGTTTTTCCCTCAATGTAGAGACTGTATCGAGAATTGTACCATAAACTGAAAGATAAGATTCATACAACTCCTGACACGCCTGAAATCCGCCAGGTCAAGAAGACTCAAGAAGCTGTCAGCGAAGTGAGTATTTTCGAAGAAGAAGGGACAACCATTTGGAGTCCCAACCACTAAGTCTCTAATGGGTGCATTTCTGAGGGTTTTTTCCCCTTCTCTTTTAGTTGATCTACAAATCAGACTTCTTCAAGATGCAGGGCCACATGATCTCACTGCCATACACACCCGAAGTATTGCACTGTCGCTATGTGGGAGACATCACCAGTGATGTAAGCATCTCATAGAGTTCTTTCAGGAGGAGATTTAACCAAAAGGCAGGCTTGCTTTCTCAGCATGTAAGACAACTAGTGGTCTTTGAACGGCTTTTTCCATTGAATGCTTCTAACATAAGTATACAACTTGGAGAGGAAATACAGTAGCATGGAAACAGTAATCCACAATTCTCCAGTTATGGAAACAGCAATGAGAGGACCACTGAAGAAGTCTCAGAATTGCCCCCATTCTTGATCACTCAGCGACTACCATTCTACATTCAACTGAGTCATTACCAATTCCTTCCTAAGTACCTATGTCTCCATCATGTGTAGCATCTTCTTTCTGCTCATCCTAGTCCCATCCCTTTAGCAATTTCCGCTGGCCATTATTAAAAACCCTCCTAAATGACCAGTCCATTAATTCTGTGCTTTCCTCCATCAACATTGATAATAATAAAATAATAGCAGTATTCTTTCCTCAGCTCCAGATTAGGCTTACATGAAAAAAAAACTGTGATTTATATGAATGCAGCCAAACCAAGTGCATAGCATAGGCATATTGAACTAAGATGAAAGATACATAGTTCCCTCCATCTGAAGGAGATACCTTCCAAGACCTCCAGTGATGTCTGAAACCAAGAATAGTATCAAATCCTGATATGCTATGATTTCTCCTACACACACACACATACACACACACACACACACACACACACCCCTAGGATAAAATTTAATTTATAAACTAGGCACGGTAAGAAATTACAAATAATAATTAATAATAAAATAGAATAACTACTAGAAGTTACTTAAAATTTATTGATTGTTTATTTCTGAAAGTTTCCATTAATTTTCAGACCGCCATCAATAGTAGATAACTGAAAATCAATAGAAGCAAAACCATGGACCTCAAAAAAGAATTGCTGCTACTCTGTCTTCTCTGTTTGTAACTTACATTTGCTCATGATCACCTTTTTGGGTTTGTCCCACAGATTAAATACAAGGAGGACTTACAGATCCTGAGGGGACTTGGCTGCTTCCTGTATGACACTCCTGATATGGTCCGTTCCCGACACCTGAAGAAGCTCTGGGTGGGTACACACTTTTATAGTACATCACCATCCCTGCACTGCACCATGACCCCACCACTAGCCTTCCAGGGCTGGGCAGAGAGAGTCTTAATCTACAGATACTTTTAAGTAGAAACTGTCCATCGGCCTACTTGGGCAGGTCCTGGCCTACTCAAGATTTGTGTCTCCTATACCAGATGATGAACTGAGGTGATGGCAGTTGGTTTTGTTCCTACCTAGACAGGTACTCACCCAGGATACATGGCAGGGCTGCTCAATTTGCACAGATTAGCTGTTTGAAAGACAAAATGACATGCAATCCCTTCAGTGATAAGTAAACTTATATTTCTGCTTTTTTTAAAAGTCTAATTACTTGTACACTGACAATGCAAGGAAGATGAGAGACAAATACAAAGTGGTACTTGACACTCCAGAGTACAGAAAAGTACAAGAACTGAAGACCCATCTGAGTGAGGTAAGGATGCTTTGCTTGAACTAAGTTTATCAGAGCAAACTGAGTTATTAAAAAAGATTCTTGGTAATTATCTCTAGTGATCAGTTTTCAGGCAACAATAGAAGGTAAGATTCCCTTCTGCCATTAACTGCAGAATGACCATAATGTGTGAGCAAGTCATTTGACCTCAATTTTGCTCAGTGAACTTAATTTGTCCCCTCTTGGTAAGAAGAGGATATCAGTACTTGTTTTTCCTAAGGCTAGGGACCAATGAGAAGTTTTATATGATTTTATAGATTACAGAGTCCTTCTGTGATCTCCAAATATACTACTGTAGTCTTCCAATATAAGTTATTTCAAAAATTTATCTAATCCCTGCTATCAAAAACCTTAATCATAGCAGCAACATTTGAAAAGCCTTCAGTGTCTCCCTGCTTTGCTGATCACTCAAATAAATTCCAAACTGCTTAGTTTCATTTTCATCTGCCCACTTGGCATTGAACCTCCTGATTTATTGCAGTTGTGTGCTGATGTAATCCTGTGACCTAGCCAGTTAGTTCCTTGGGGATTGGACCCCGTTTTATTTTTAATTTTTTTTTATTAGTATGTATTTGCAGTAGATAGCGATTGCATTCGTTATGGGGAGTTGGTGGTACATGTGTATAACACATCTTAATTCTTTTTACTTCCTCTTTCCCCTCTCTTGCCCCCACCATCTCTAGATGCTTTTCCCATTTGCCCAAGATCTATCTCCCTGATTCCTATATCCATCCTTTACTTTGTTCTTAGAATTATTTACATGTTGAATTTCTCATAGAAGAGAAACAGTGGACATTTAAGTTTGTATCTCTGATATATTTTACTTAATATTATGGTCTCAAGGTGCATTCATTTTCCTACAAAGTACTTATTTGTCCTTTACAGCAGAGTAGTCCTCCATTATGTATAAATACCACATATTTCACTATCCAATCATCTGTTGAAGGACATATTGGCCTCTTCTGAGATTCACTTTTTATGAATTATGCTGCTATAAACATGGGTGTGCATGTATCACTGTGATGTTATGTCTTTAATGCTTTTGGAAAAATACTTAAAAGAGGAATAGCTAGATAGAACGGAATTTCCAGTTTTAGCTTTTTGAGGAGTCTACATACTGATTTCTGTAATTTTTGCACTTTACATTCAATGTAGAAGGGTTCCTTTTTCCTAACAGCCTCATCAACATTTGTTATTATTTGATTTCTTGATGATAGTCATTTTTTTGTGGACTAAGATAGAATCTCAATGTGGTTTTAATTTTCATTTCTTGGGCAGGGGATTTAGCTCAGTGGTTCTGCTCCTGCCTTGCAAGTTCAAGGACCCAAGTTCTATCCCTGGTACCAATAATAATAATAATTATTATTATTTTCATTTCTTTAGTGACCAGAGATATTGAACTTTTTTATGATTTATTGACCATTTATACTTCCTCTGAGAAGTGTCTATTCATTTCAATTGCTAAATTGAGTCTTTTATTTTGGGGGTGGACCCTGTCTTATTGACAAATGTGTCTCAACAGGGTCTGAGCCATAGGAGATGCCCATGTTTGCCAATGGCTAAACATGCTTTGCAGAGGTAAGAGCATACCACTGATGTCAGTGGTTGCTCCTCTGTGGTACTGGCCATTCTCATTCTACCATCAGTCTGTATCGTGGCTTTATTCATGAGACTTTGCCAATCTGAGCCAAGTGCTAGCTATAGATCACTTCCTCATTTTCAATAGCTCTGATGGCTGCTGATTGGGAATCATGCTCTTACAAATGCTGCCTTTAGTGGAGGGATATGCAGCTTCAAAACTTTCTTAGTGAGCCAGGGTCAGATGAGTAACACTTTAGCTGTTACAGATGCTACTTGGGCTCATTTGCTTTCCTAAAAGTTTATGTGTGTTGTTTAAACTGGCGCTCACACTCAGATAGGAATGCTTATGTTGTTTTTATCCCAGTAAAGTTGTACTTCTCTACTCTGGCTGAGTGGGAAGACAACCTATGGGATATTTTAAAACTACGCTTGAGTGGAGTCCAACCTCCAGTTCTACACCACAACAGTTCTCTGTGCTTCAGGATCTGCATGTGTTGAGATGCTCCATAGGAGATCCTCAATTTCCACCAGTGTTGAAAATTACTACACCATTTCTCCTCCAGCTACCAATTAATTTTTTAAAATTATTGGTAACTTAAAGTGCTTCGTAGTAAAAGTCTCCCTGAAATACTTTTTCTTCTCTTGGCTATCTGGGTTCAGAATTATCTAAAACTTTAGTTTCTCTTCCCAATTCCTATTGGAATTTTGTGTATGTCATACATCAAAGTTGAGCAAGTAAAAAGGATCTTTTTCAGTAATGCAGTTTTTACCTAAATTATCCATAAAAACAAATATTCCTCTGAGTTGGGAAGGTCTAGAGTAGAGCATGCAAATGTGTTTTTAATAAAGACCTTGGGAGGTCTTATTGTCAGAAAAGTTTGAAAACACTGACTTGGAAAAAAGTTTGATGGCCAAAGAAAATTCAAATTATTTACCTCTGAGTCACGCAAGGAGAATGTGTAGGGTAAAAGAGCCCAACCCTTAGCTCCAGCTCATCACAGAACCCGAGATGGAAGCAAAGCTATGCTCTTGAGAAATTAATCAAAGAGAGGGAAAGAAGAAACACATACGTGGCTTGGCTGAGGAAGCAAGACAGGCAGTTATTTGCTTGAAGCTGAAAAATGCTTAATGAAAGGAGAAACTTGAGTCTGTTGGAGGATATAGGGAGAGGGCTGGAAAAATAGGAAAGCTTGAAGATAGGAAAGAGAGGAAGGTAATTTTCAGTATAGAGTTCCAGAAGAAACAAGCGAGAATGTGACCAAGACTATAGAAGGACATCTGACTCCTGGAGAGCTAGAAAATGTCTCTTAATCCAAGGGAATGAGAGAAGGAAGATTAAGGTGGTAAGTAGTAATAAATGATTGGTTTATTAGAAAAATACTGACACTATTGTAGTGAAGGAGCCCCTGACTTTTGCATAAATTAGCGAAAAGGCATCTTTAGAGAACATGCCACGTTGATGAAGGAGAACTGATACGATGGCTTGTTTTTTGTCTAGCTGGTGTACAGAGCTGTGGGCAAGAAGCAGAAGTCCATCTTCACTTCGGTTCCTGATACTCCTGATCTTTTAAGAGCCAAGCGAGGGCAGAAGCTTCAGAGCCAGGTAACATCAGTTGTCAGTGAAGATGCGTAACCCTCCACGCTGGCATCACTCAGGGAGCTGTGTATCCCCCACCTCTCTGACCAGTCCAGTCTCCCACTCTAGCTTGTCCTCGCCGCAGTTTCATTAACATTGCACTTCAAGAAGTAATTCTCTGCAGGGAGTTGTAGCACACACCTGTAATCCCAGCACTCTGAGAGGCTAAGGCAGGAGGATCATCACATGTTCAAGCCCAGCCTTGGCAACTTGGCAATTTAGTGAGACCCTGTCTCAAACGATACAGGGCTGGAGATGTAGCACACTAGGAAGGTCCTGGGTTGTTCAATCCCCAGTACAAAAGTCAGTTTTCAAGCTGGGGAAGCCATAAAATTATGAATGCTCTTTGGATCCCAAATAGTGAAACGATTATTTGATCATTTCTATGATATATTTGTTATCCACAGACCAATGCAACTACAGTGTATACATTCAGGCAAACCAAGGGAGAAACAATAAAGACTCTGTCAGAACCTTCTCACTATTCCACTGGCATTTTTTGTTGTATGGCTCTAGATTGGACCATGAGAATACTAGATTACTGGAGTGTGGCGGTCCAGCCGTCACAACACGAACATGCCTGAGTCGGGGAGTGAGGATTGAGAAAGGAAAGAACACTCAAACCTGAGCGGAGACGAAGAGAAGTCTGGTTTATTTCACAGAAACAGCTCCTTTTATAGGTTCACAGCAACAGTAAGCTTTTAAGGGCACACAACAACAAAAAACACCAAGTCACTGTTTTTCAAAGACCAGATTTCCTGACTCTTACTAATAACATCAGATCTTCAGCTAACGAGCTTCCTGTTATGTCAGGGTCAAAGAGTCAAAACAAGCTTAACAAACAGTTTCCT